CAAGGGCGGGACTAGAGACTGAGACCTGCCCTTAAATCTGCAGGTCTCACTGTCACTCCGCTCAATTCCTCAACGATCTCTCGAAGAAGACTCATAGAGATTTCCATGACTGCCGCGACGCGCGAGGCCGACGCCCGCACGGCTGGTCCGCAGCCTGGGGGACAGCGTCGGTGGTCCCTGCGCGAGCTGCAGCCGTCGATCCAGTAGAGTGCACACTGTGCACAACGGCGCGAGTGAGCCAGTGACGACGAGAGCGCGGCGTTACTAGCTAGACACCTCATACCAAGCGCACACGAGTGGGCGGAGTCACTGGAGCCCCGTAGTAGTCCGGAGACACACAACCTACGCTATACTATAGCCAGGGCTTCCCGCGACGCATGGCTTCTAGGTCTAGCCTCCCAGTCTCCAGCTCTATCTGCGCAAACGCGTCCTTTACGCTCAGTTTCCCCAGGTCGACTGGCGTCTCCCGGCCGTCGACAAAAGTCAGCATCAGGCGCGGAGGAGCAGCGGCGTCCGTCACGCGGTTGATGGTCACCTCCATCTTCGGCACCGCCTCCCTGACGCTCTTCGCCTTGAGCTCTGCGAGGAAGCCGAGCGTCGATCCCGACGAGAATGGGTTGAAGTCGAGCCGCGCCTTGGTGATGTATCGGGCCCTGCGCACGGGCGATTGGGTCGGGACGGGCTGCAGGGTCACGGCGCGCCGCGGGCGCGTCAGGCGCGCCAGTGCTTGCCCGACATGAAAAACGAGCAAAAACGGAAAAAAGAAAGTAGCGCGCAAAAACCTCGGTTCGCGAGGTGGGGTGCTAGTATGAGACCGATCCGTCGCAGTTCTCTTGCTCCAAGCGCTTGCGCTTCGGCGGCTAGTGGTGCACTAACCTCCGAGAAACCCTCCGGGTCGCTCCTCATCGCAAACCCTGTCAGCAGAGTCCTCCTACGGGAATGTACGTAAGAGCCACATCACAACCCCCCCTCTCTCTTTTAAAAACACATACACTGAAAAATAGCCCGACCCGAGAACGCAGCTGGCGAATGAGGGTGCACGGCGAACCAGTTTAGACCATGTTTAGACTCAGTTTAGACCACCGCTGAACATGAACCAGATTAGTCCTGTTTAGTTTACGATAAACTGGGTCTAAACAGGGGTCGGCCTGGGTGGGGGACCCTATTACACATACCAGGTTCAGACCCGGTTTAGGGCGCCCCTGGGCTAGCTCCGCCGCCGCGGCCGCGCTGGCTGCGGAAGCGGCAGCGTACAGCCGCCATCCTCTGCCTCGGGCCGGACAGCACACCGGGCACACTTGCACCGCGCAACAACAGCCTCGCCGGTCAGGCGCACGGTGTCGTCGGGCAGCGTGATGATCTCGTCCATGCCGTCGTCGAAGTGCATCAGCAGCCGGTCGCAAAGGTACGCTCGCTAGTAGAAGTGGTGTTGGGTCGAGCAGTGGTACTCACTGCCCCTCACCAAATGCTTCCAGGCGCTGTTCCTGGCCTCACTCCCGACGTACCGCGCGAAAGATGAGGGGACGCGCGGCGGCTTCTGCAAGCAGATCTTCGACACGGTGAAGCTGTCGGAAGAGTCCCTCGACGCGGCCGCATGGGACCCTCGTCCCTCGAGACGGTCAAGATTGCCATGCACAACCTCGACCAGCGCGAAAAGAGGCACGGACGCTGACGCTTGCGCGTGCCGCTGAGAGCCGCGTCTCTCTCGTCACAGAGAGGGGAGCTGGGGGGGGGGAGGTGCGCGCTGCGCGGGGGGGGGGGGACCCCATTACACATACCAGGTTTAGACATAGCGGGTCAGCAAGCCCTAAAACGGCGGGAGGGGTAGGGCTATATCGATAGAGCTAGAGGGCTCAACCACCCCTCCACCCCTCCACCCTCCACCCCTCCACCCTCCCGGAGCGAGAGGGGTCCGTCCTCGAGCCCTCCCACTTCCACCCCTCCGACCGGAGGGCTCGCCAGCCCACAGGGCTGGAGGGGTCCCCGTCGGATCGGCGTCGGGAGGGCTCCACAGGGTCCCATAGGGCTAGCGCGCTGGGAGGGTGGAGCGGTCCACCAGGGAGAGGGGTCAGGAGGGCTGGGCGAGGCGGGAGGGGTGGTGGGGTCCAGGAGGGCTCGCGCCCCCCCCCGAGCTCGGGTGGTAGGCAAGAGGGCTCGGGCGCCGGGTGGGCTCGGAGGGACGGTCGGACAAAGAGAGGATCTTCGTGGCGGGAGGGCTCGAGAGGGGTCGGAAGGGCCTCCGGGAGGGGTCGCAAAAAAAGAATGGCGCGGAGCTTCCGAGAGTGCCCGCCACGAGAGGGTTAGAGGGGTCGGAGGGGTTTAGAGGGCTGGAGGGCTGCAGGCCTGCTGAATCCGCCCATGGACGCGGGTCAACCGGCGACGGCGCCCGTGATCGAGGGACCGGCGACGGCGAATGAGCTGGTCTCTGCGCCGCACGACTTCACCCACGTTCGCGACTGTGGCCATCCAACAGTCTGCCGGCGCGGCGGGCGCATTCGAATGCGCCGGCCGCGCCGGCAGACTGCCAGTGCTATCCGGGCGGGCCTGCTGCGGCAGGGCGCTGCAACGCCGCCCCCTCGCCGCCACAGCAGCGCCGCCCCCGCATGCTGCCGCCAGCAATGTCGCCGCCAGCCGCCGCCCCCAGCCGCCGCCGCCAGCTGCCGCCAGCACTGCAGCGACAGCTCTCTCTGCTGCCCAGGCGCCGCCGCGGCCACGAGTGTCACCGCCACGAGTGCCGCCGCCGTCAGCGTCGCCATGGCCGCTGCCGCCGCCAGGCGGGCGAGCGAGGAGCTCCATATGAGTGTGTGTGTCTGGAGGCTGTGGCGCTTCCGTTTTAGCGGAAACCCCAGGTATTTCGAATACCAAACGCGCTTCGTGTTTGCCTTGAGGAGCGCAGCGACGAGTCCGTAAGGAGCGGCCCCAGCTTGCTGGGTGCGGCGCCGCCGCGCGCCGTATCGAGAGACTCTGTCGGGGCAGGTTAAAATAGCGCCCGCAGGCGCTCCCCGGGCCGTCCGCGCACAGACGTCAGACCACGGAAACGCCTCATGATGTGTATTGCACCACTTCCGTATGCCTGCAGGTATCTTTAACCGAGCCCTCCGAGCCCTCCACACCCCTCCACACCCCTCCGACCCCTCCGACCCCTCCGACCCCTCCGACCCCTCCGACCCCTCCGACCCCTCCGACCCCTCCACACCCCTCCGCGAGCCCTCCGAGCCCCCCGAGCCCTCCGACCCCTCCGACCCCTCCGACCCCTCCGACCCCTCCGAGCCCCCCGAGCCCGGCTCGGTGGCTCGCCCCTCCGAGCCCTCCGGGCACTCCATCCCTCATGAGCCCTCCCGAGCCCTCCCGAGCCCTCCAGCGCCACCCTCGTGCCTCTCTGCCCTCCGAGCCCTCCGAGCCCTCCGAGCTCTCCACCCCTCCCGAGCCCCACCCCTCGCGCTAGGGACCCTCTTGCCGGACGACACCCTCTGAGCCCTCCAAGCCCCCCGAGCCCTCCAGACCCCTCCATCCGCACAGCCCCTCCGGCCCCTCTAGCCCCCTCCGACCCCTCCAGCCCTCTCTAGCCCACTGGACCCCTCCCACGCCTCGCTTTTGGCCAGCCCTCCAAGCCCCCACCCCTCCTGGGCCCTGCCGCCTGACACCTCTATCGGTGGAGGGCTTTAGGTCACGGTCCACACTCCCGCCCTCCCGACCCCTCCACACCCCTACAGCGGCACCCCTACCCCTCCCACCGTTTTAGGGCCTCCTGACCCGCACTCGGTTTAGACCCAGTTTATCGTAAACAGGACTAATCTGGTCGTGTTTAGCAGTGGTCTAAACTGGTCATCGCCGTCGGGGAGAGGGGGGACGACACTGCTTCGGCAGCGTGCACCTCGATCCTGTACCGTGTTTGTTATGACCCCCCCCAATGAACACACCAGTGAGGGTGGGCGAGACGATCGAGGGGTCCCGTACCATGCGGAACCGACCCTATCCAGTGCTCAAGTGCTCAACTGGTCTAAACTGGTTGGCTCCCCCTCCTTGGCGAGAACGAGCGCGTTTGCTCGGACAAAGGACGAACGGCTCCTACGAGCAAGACAGTGTTCGCAGTGGTGAGGAGGTTTCTTGCAAAACCCTTACCCAGACGAACCAAAAATCCAAAAAGACAGACAAATGTATTGTGTCGGGCTACCGTCCAAAGGCGGGTGTAGTCGACCAAGGGACCACGAATCTGGTCTGTCGACAGCACGAATTTGGGATGGGACACCTTCGGGACCCGGCTGCGTGCTACTTGGATAGCACGCTTTCGGAGTACCGACGGCTAAGGCCGAGGCAGAAAAGGTTTCTGTTTTTTTCTCCGCTTTTCTTCACAGGATTTTCCTGTGAAGAGAGACGTCTGGCGAGTAGAGACCACGCCTCACTTTTTCACAGGGGGGGGGATCCTCTGGAAAAAGGAGGCGTGTGACAAGCGGAGGGTTGGATCGCCGTCTTTCGGCGAGGATGGGTGTTGGAGCCCTCTTTGCTCAACATGCGGCCTGCTCTGCCGCCTCAACGAGACCGCCGCGCGCGCACGCGCTCGGCATGCCTGCTGCTCGCCTGCCGACCTGGCCAGGCCGCGCGTGGCTGGCGCCAGCTCGTCATCGCAGCGGAGCACCGGAGGCGCGGTTTGCCCGCTGCTGGCTCTCGCCCCGCCGGCGGTTCCACGTGAGTCTATCACACTCTGGAGCCGAAACCAGCCGGAAATGTGCCTCCTCACAGCTCCTCATGGATCTGCGAAGAGAACCGTCGAGTCCAATCAAGTCCACAGCCGGTCCGGCTCGACCCTCGGGGGCTTCATTCAAGCGTGCTGTGTGAGTGTTGAGGTGATACGAGCGCGCGTGGGCGCGGCGCGAGTGCCGTTTTGGGTCTCTTTTATACCAGTGATGAAATATAAACCGACTTTACCACGCGCGCGCACGCGCGCCGCGCTCCTCGACTCTCTCGCACCCGCCCCGAGCCACGCCCCTCACGAGATAGGCGGCTGCGACCCTGAGAGTGCGCAGCGGTGCCGCTGGCGTGCTCACCACACCCACCCATCATGCCTGCATCATTCCTGCACGTACTGCCCGGTCTGGCCGGGGCGTGGGGCGAGATCTGGCATGGCGGCGCGCTTGAACCGCGCCTTTGATCGTCTCGCGGCGACTGCTCGCAGGCCGGGCGGCCAGAAACTGTGCCGCTCAGCCATCCGCCGAAGCGAGCGCGCCGGCGGCGGTCCGCCGCCGGCGCGCTCGGCTCAGTGTCTTCAAGCCCGCCGCCGGTGGGGAGCTCCGCATGCCGCACGCCTGCTTTTCGCTGCGCATGCTCGAGTCCCCGGCGAGGGCTTGTGCTGTGAATAGCAGGCGTGGTCTCTACTCGCCAGGAGAGACGTAGAGAAACAGATCTTTCAAACTCGGTGTCGAACCACCAGCCCGACGCTCACTACAAGCGACACGTGTCCGTCGGCGTGTTCCGTCGGCAGCCCTCAGCCCGTGCACGCGTCCTGCAGTCATCTCATGAGCTGCTGCCAGCGCGACATCGACACGGACTCAGAGACCGAGGCCGACCTCGCCGTCCCGATCGATCAGCAGCGCAAGGACGCGACCGGGCGGCGGGCACCCGGGCAGAGAAGGCGCTCGAGGCCAAGGGGCGGCGCGAGCAGCGAGAGCGGGAGGAGGAGGCGGCGGCGCGGGAGCGCGAGCAGGCGGCACGACAGCGCGAAGCAGAGCGAGCGGCGGACGAGGCGCGCCGGGCAGCGGATGCGGCGGCGCTGGAGGAGCAGAGGCGAGCCATTGCGGCGGAGGCGGAGGCGAAGCTGGCTGCTGAGCGCGCGGCAGCAGAGGAGACGCTGCGGGCGAGGAAGACGGAGAGGCTTGCGGCGGAGGAGGCGCAGCGAGAGGAGCAGCGGGCGGCGGCGGCGGCGCGCAAAGCCGCTCAGGCAGAGGCGGCGCGGCGCGAGAAGGAGGCTGCTGACAAGAGGGCGGAGGAGGAGAAGGCGAGGCGGCGCGCAAAGGCGGCGGAGGCAACGGCGGCCAAGAAGGAGGCCAAGGCGAAGAACAACAAGGCCAAGAAGGGGCCGTCTGCTTTCGCGCTCGAGGAGGAGCGGAGGGCGCGGGCTGCGGCAGAGCTTCGCGCACAGGAGGAGAGGGCGGCGCAGCTGGCTTCTGAGCAGGAGGCAGTGAGGCGGGCGGAGCGCGAGGCGGCAGAGCTAGCGGATGCGGCAGAGCAGGCGGCGCTGCGCGAGGATGCGGAGCTGGCAGAGGCGCTGCGCCGGTCAGAGGTGGATGCGGAGGAGGCACTGGTGCGTCGGGTGTCGCGGTGCGAGGAGGCGGTGAGCAGCGAGTCGACCGGCGGCGGCGGGGACTTGGTGCGGCGTGTCGAGCGGCTGGAGGCGAGCCTCGGCGCGGCGACCGAGGGCAGCCTCGAGGAGCGGGTCGGCGCCATCGAGCGCTTGATCGGGCCAGAGGCGGGAGAGGCGGCGGAGCAGCATCTGCCGGTCACCGAGCCGCTTGCTGCCGTCTCACTCGCGGACGCCGGCCTCGACACGGGGCGGCCGGCTGCCCCCGAGTCCACGATGGGGGGAGAGACCACGTGTATCGTGTGTTTCGCGAGAGTCAAGTCGCATGCTGCGGTTCCGTGCGGGCACCTGTGTGCTTGTGGGCCGTGCTCGGAGCTGATGCGAGAGTGCCCTTACTGCCGCGAGCCAGTGATGATGTGGATGGTTCCGCGTCCGGTCTAGATAGATGGCTGGTAACAAGGTCTCCATCGAGCCCGAGATCAAATAAATACGCCGCGCGAGCTGGAAAGGCGAGGCGAGGCTGTCGTGGGCAGTGAAACCAGAAAAGGCGGAGTGCATCCTCTCCTTGTTCGCCGCATACAAACGGGTTGAATAGCCACATGCGCGTCCTCCGACAGGTCCTCTCGCTCATCAGCGTGGCCGTCCTGCTGCACCAGCAGCCCTTCATGGTCAGGCCGCGCAGGGAAAAACTTGTGCCGCTGACGCTGGCGATCGGCGCCGCCGTTCGCTGGGCTGGCCCGATTGTCGAAAGCTCGGCCATCAACGTCACGGCTCGGTCGCTACTGACGCCGCTCGAGTACGTGAGCTCAAAGCCCCCGAGGCGCACGCTGAGCTCGGCGTATGCAAAGACCGCGCGAAAATTTGATCGGCTTCTGGACACTAACTCCACCGTCCAGCAGCTCGCGGGACGGCCCTCGCCCAACCTGCCACTGATCGGCGCCTCGCTGATCACCTCCGGCTCAGCCTCGGCGGTGCTCCTCCCCGGCGCTGAGGCTGCCAGACAGTAGATTGCGACATACGACGTGACCTTTGCTCCGCCTCTCTCGGTGCGCCGTCCCACCCCTCTCCTCTCCCGCCTGCCGCAGCTTGCCGTGCTGGCCGGCTGTGGTTGCCTGCTCTTCGGCTGCCCGGGGTTGGCACCTCAGCCCGAGCTCTTTGCCGTCGCGCTGCTCGCCGCCCTCGGCCTCGCCGCCCTCCGCAGCTCGAAGGCGAGGCCTCCCTTCCTCTTCGCACGATCCGCCCACACCGCTTCCTCGCAGCTAGAGTGGGCGTCCCTCACCCCTCCTCGCCACCGCGCAGGCGGCGGACCCCAAGCCCAAGCCGAGGAGCCGGAGGAGGTCCAAGCCCGCCAGGCCGCAGGCGCCAGGCGGAGATGGGCACGGGTGCTGCCATTGACACACCGGCCGCTTCTCGTCTAGATGTAATCTCCCAAACTGCTCATGTATCTGTGGCGTGCCGCGCGCGCGAACACGGAGTCGAAGAGCGAGGGATAAAAAATAAATAAAACGGACACCTCTGGCTCTGCTAGGAGATGGGTAAAAAGGAACAGGTCCCCGCCTGTGCGGTCTTTGTACAGGGTGCTTTGTGGGTGTGGTCGGCGACTAGCCGGGGTCGTGCTCACGATGGGGGTCGGGGGACTTAACGGCTCTCTAGTCTATAGCACACTATCTCACTAGAATACTCCATCACCCTCGCCCAGGGATCCACAATGCTGTCTTAAGGTCCGACAGGTTCGGCACCGGGCACCGCCTCGGTATACAAAATGCGCCTGCGGGCGGACCCTTACAGATCACAGATCACTAGAATACTAGAAAAACCACACAGAGACACACACATCCACACTAAAAACCGAAATCTAAAACCGACTAGAGAGAGGGATGCATCGATACAAAAATTATTTTAATAACACAGCCGCCAACTGGTGTGCGCCACTCCGGACAGTGTTGGGATGTTCCGGCCGTGCCCATCCTCATCTTTGAGAAGCGCCCCCGGCAGCGTGCCTGTGGTGAGCGCGGCGATTCCCCGTCCCGGCTGGCGTCCACACGGTGACCCCCATGGGCCGCCTCCGGCTCCTGCTTGCGACGAGGCCCCGCAGCTTCTCCTGCATTTGTTCGCTCGCCGGGTTGCCCCAAATCGGCACCCGCTGGCAGCCCTCGAGGGATCCGTTCGTCAGCACCGTGCAGAGCGCCCTCAGCCCCTCGTCGCCAATCTGGTTGCTCCCCAACCACAGCGTCTTCAGCTTCGACAGCGGCCCACCCGCCGGCGCCCCTACAAGCAGGCGGCCCCCCCGCGGCCCAGGCCACCCCACCGATGGTGGCCGCCCAACCGTCGACTGCGCTATTGCCGTGGCTCCCTGGTCCCCGATGAGGTTGTAAGAGAGATCGAGGTCGGTCAGGCTAACCATCGCACCCTTTGCGATTACGCCGGCGAGGGCCGATGCGCCTGCATCGCCGACCTGGATGCTGCGAAGCGAGAGCGCCCTGAGCCTCGCCAGCCCGCCGCCGTCGCCGACGGCATTGGAAATTGCTGCAACCCCGACGTCGCCAAGGCGGTTGAAGTCCAGCAAGAGCTTCTCAAGCCTCGCCAAGGCGCCGCACGAGAGAGCATTGGCCAGGGCCTGGCCGCCCTCCACGCCCATGCCTGCGAAGTAGAGTGAGCGAACCTCCAAAGCGCCCAGGGTAAGCGCAGTAGAGAAGCACCTCAGAGCCCGCGCGTCAGCACGAGACAGATCCACATGCAGAGCCCGCTCGCCTCGCGTCATCGCGCTCGTGCCCGCGACCTGCTTGAGGGCGAACCTTTCTTCAAAGGTCTTTGCCAGGGCTGCGAGCGACCAGCCTTGGAGCCGCCGCCTCCATGCAATGGCCCCTGCGCGGCAGCTTTGCGCAAAGGAAAAGGCATCGGGCGGTGGGAGGAACCGCGCCACCTCAGACCAAAGGTCGTCATTCATGGAGGCACAGACATTGGCGAAATCTATGTATGTGTTGGTCATGATTTTTTTTGCGTGATCCAGAACTTTGCTTGTGTTGAGACACGCCGGAGTTTGCCTTGGTCCGGTGTTCTGGTCGCCCCACTGTACGTGGGCTACAAGTTTCTCCGAGACCTCGGGAGCGGCAGCGGCCGGCTATTCACACCTCGGCAGTGTGGTTTGGGCCGGGCAGGGCAGTGTGGGTTTCACACCCGGGGCAGGTAGGGGATCGGGCAGGGCAGTTGTGCGGCAGTTTAGGCTGAACAAGGTTTTCTTCTCGCACCCCGTCTCTTTTCCTTTCCTTTTTTCTCTGCAGCACCCTCTCTTTTCCTCTCTATTTTCCCGGGAAACCCATCAAATTTTCCGGGCTCTGAGCCGAGTCTGAGGCTGGTTTGGGCCCACAAAATCAGCCAAATCGGCAAAATACCGGGTATTTTGCGGGTATACCTGGAAAACCCCGGGTGTACCTGGAAAATATCCTGCGACCGCCTGGGTATCGTGCCGATTTCCTCAATTTTGCGTCAGATTTTGCCCCAGACCAGCTCTCAGACTCAGGGAAACTCGCGAGTTTCCAGAATGGAGCACCAAACACCCTCTGTTTTCCCTGGAAATTTCCGGAAACGCAAAGTGCTGGGGACCCTCTGTTTTCCTTTTTGTTTGCCGGAAAAGCTTGTGCAGGCCAAGCGGCAGTGTGCGGGCAGGCAGGGCAGTACGGCAGGGCAGGGCAGGGCAGATGGGGTCATAATTGCAGGGCTGAGATTCGGGATCTCAGGTGGTGAAAAAAAAGGGGAGACAATTGCTGTGAACATGGAATTTGAATAACAATCTCAATGAGATGTGTGAAGAGGACGGCCGATCGACCAAACACACGCGCGAGCTCGCGAGCTCATCTGCATCTCAATCAAATCTCAGGGCTACAGGGGGGGCGCCGTGTGTATCTTGATGCGTGACACTGCACTACGACTACTCCTCGTGGTCCGTGGACTCCGTCTCGGAGTCGTCGTGCAGCGCCCCGCCCGGGTTGACGACGTTCACGACGGTGCCGAAAGGGATGGTCATGGCCGCCCGCTCGAGGTCCGCGACTCGGTGGGTGAGGCGGCGCCTCCCGTAGCCGGGCGATCGACGGCTTCCCACGCCCCCTGGCGGATCCCTCTTTTTTCGACGCCTTACTACTGTTGGCTGGGCTCTCCTCTCTCTCTCACTCTCACACATCTCATCTCTCTCTCTCCCTCCCCCCCCCCCCCCCTCTCTCTCTCCCCCCCCCTTCTTCTCTCTCTCCCTCCCTCCCTCCCTCTCTCGCTCGCCAGTCTACTTATTTGTCGGTGTTCGCCGTTCCTCTGTTACTCAACTTACGTAAACAATCTGTTCGTTGATGGCGTTGCACATACAGTTACGCCGACCTCTGGACGGTTTCATTTCTGCTGCCTGACCGGCATCGATTGCGTTGGACGCATCGATCCATGCCGCTCCGCCGAGTTGCGCTGCTATTTGATGTCATTGTGCCAGACCCCAACGTGGCGCTTCATCCAGCCAAGCTCATCGCCGAGGTCGAGAAGCTCACTTCTCCTCGGCGCGACCGGCTCGGAGCCAAGGCCGTCCCAAGCGTGATGAGGCGGTTCAGTGAGCGCGTCCTCTCTCTGTCCCCCCTCAAGCTGGGATCGGGGAGCGGACGACGCGGAGTGGCGAGGCAGTACACGCCCCGGTCCTCCAAAGCGAGCGCCATAGTGCGCCGCTCGGCCTTGGTGCCTACTCAACGCCTCCCGAGGGTGCCGCCTGAGGAGGCCATCCACTATCCATCCCCCATCGGCGCGCGGTCGCGGTCGCGGGTGTTGCCACCACGCCGCCAGGTCGAGCGCCAGCCACCTTCGGCCCACCGGCGGCCTCTCCCGGGCCACGTCCCGCCTGCGGTCCGCCTGGCTGGCCCGCAGCGCCTCGAGCCGTTACACCCTCCGATACAGCTCCGGCCTCAGCTGCATCGGATGACGGCAGGACAGCAACGACGGCCTAAGCACGCCCACCCTCACCACCCACCGCTCGCACCAAGCCTCCTTCCCCGGCCGGTGCACTTCGGAGCTCGGACCCAGATTCCCGCTCCGCCTCGCCCGCCTGCCCTGTGCTGCTGACAAGAACGGGCATTTTTCTCCGGCCGTTCGAGGCGGATGCGCCCGTGGTGGTCACGGCGCACGCCTCCCAGGCCCCCAGAGGCGATGGTGCCTCGTGAACATCATTGTCCCCTCGTGATGCATTTCTCACGTGCTTGTGCAGGGAGGGAGCGTTTACTCCTCGTGCCGTGGTCCTGCGGTGTGGGCTATGTGGCGACACACCCGCGTGTATACGACACTGTGCGTGTGTGAGAAAGCGAGAGAATGAGAGCTCTGCGTGTGTGGGTCGCGCGGCGTCTGCACACACAATCTGCCTGCGGCGTGTGTGCATATTGTGTTTAAGAAACGGTACGATCACGGTGGTTGACAAACACCTGGCCCCCCACAGCTACACCGGTCACGATTAGGAGCAGCAGGGACCCGAGGGACCATGTGGAAGACGGCTAGTGCTAGCCCCCCATCGGGAGGACGACCCCGGCTAGTCGCCGACCACACCCACAAAGAACCCTGTGCACAAAGTCAAAGATCGCAAGGGCGGGGGCCTGTTCCTTTTTACCCATCTCACAGTAGAGAGGTGTCCGTTTTTATTTATTTATTTACACCGGTCACCGCGCGAGCCGAGCGCGGAGCGCGAGCGGCGTCCGGCTGGAGGAGAACACACCGCTCTCTCTGTACGCTCAATGTTGATGTGTGCTCTTGCTCTCGACGGAGAGAACGTACACTGCCAAACGTAAGAGCTCACGCCAGGAAGCCGTACGCGCCCGACTCCGCGTATGGGTGGCCCCGCATCTGGGCGTCGCGCAAGGCGGCCGCCGTCGCGTCGGCCACCGCCTCGAGCAGCGCCGCGCAGAGCAGCCGGGCGGTTTGCAGCATGTCCGCCGCCAGCGCCAGGTGGACGCCGCAGCCCCCGCCGCCGCGCACCGCACACACCTCGCCGGCGGCGTTGAGCCCGAGCGAGAGGGCGCTGCCCGCGGCGCGCCGCTCTGCGGCCGAGCAGTCGGCGACCAGGTGAGGTCCGAGGTTGGAGACGGTGAGGAAGAGGGGCACGCCGCTCGCGTCGAAGGGGAGGGACTCGTCGAGCGACTCGTCCAGGTCGAGGTCGAGCGGCGCGCCGCCGGAGGGCGGCGGCCCGCCCTCGCCGCCCCCGACCGCCGTCATCCGAGGCACCCGCGTGCTCTGCAGCGCGGCGCGCACGCCGAGGGCGAGCGCGTCCAGCGGGCAGCCGTCGCACGAGATCAGCTGCGCGTGCACGCGCAGCTCCCAGCACTGCGCGCCGCGGCTAATGCACAGCGGCCGCAGCGCCGGGCCGAGAGCCTTGTGCGAGTAGAGCGGCGCGAGCGCCGCCTCGAGGAAGGTGACGGCGTCGGTGCCGCCGTAGTCGGGCAGCGCCAAGTTGCCCGCGGCGCCGACGCTCACGCTGATCCTCCCCGCGTCCGGCGCGTCGGATTCCGGCTCCGACAGCTCTGCGACGACGCCGACAATCGCCTCGGTGTTTCCGAGTGTCACGCGCGCCGAGCCACACGTGTGCGCAAAGATCGAGCACTCGATCGCGAGGTGCCGCAGGTCGAGCCGCGCCCGACCGTCCTCCCGCATGCCCTGCGCGACGCCCTCGAGCGTGTAGGCGAGCTCCGCGGTAGAGGACATACACACACACACACCTGATACACTTTGGGCTGGCGCGAGGCGCGATGTCGTGCGGTCGGTTTTCTTCTTTTCACGTCATCTGTCTCGCGTCCACCCATACCGCGTTGGTGTCCAGTCCGAGCCTGGCTGTTCTTCACCTTTCTACCTACCTACCTAGGGGAGGTTCGGGGTTGAGGGTTGAGCCCCCCCCTCAACCATCTGGTTGACGGTTGAGACCCCCCGTCAACCCTTTAGTTGGGGTTTGAGGCCTCCGGGGCCTATTCACAGGCTCGCGCGTGATCACAAGATAAATTGGAACTTGGCCTGTATACGCTTTTCTTCATATTCTATATTCTTTTTCGAAGCGATTTTCAGCGGGAATATAAAGAATATTCGAGAATATAGGCCCTATTTGGAGCCGTATTCTTGCCATATTCGAGAATATAGACCCTATTTTGGACAAGAATACGGAAAGAATACGCAAAAAGAATATAGATAGTACTCGGCGAGAAAAGCGTATAAAGGCCAAATTGGAACAGCCCTGCCGCCAAAAAATCGCTTCGCCTGCGCGGCGCGCTCTTGGTCTTGCGCTCCTCGACCTCGTAGAGAAGCGGCTGGTGAAGCTCAGCTCATGGCGTAGTATTGCGTCAGCAACCGCGGTCACTAACCATCCACGGCAAGAGTCACGGTGAATATGCTGCCGCATAAAAGCAACAGAGTCTAAGGCTCATTAGAAAGATTGATTCTCGCCCCTCTAAGTATTGATATTGAATATTGACAGACTTCCCTCTAAGTATTGACAAGATTTTCACCTCCAAAAGCATAAAATATCGACATTTGTCCCAAACATTGCCTAGATAGTGGCTGAAATCGACAGACTCGGGAGTTCAAAAGCATTTTGATGCGATCTAAGCGATTTTTCAGCGATTTAGGCCCATTTTGGGCGATTTTAGGGCGTCCGCAAGCTCGGGATGGACGTCTCATCGCTGGATACATCGATATGGTGACCCCCCCTTGACCAGCCCAGCCCCCAGCCCCTCTAAGTATTGACCAATATATTGGAGATTGATCGCTCCTGTAAGTATTGGAACAATATATTCAATATTTCTAATGAGCCTTAACAGAGTCGCGGTTGGCGCGATGGTCTTGTCGCGGTTAACGACTTGACGTTGCACACGGCCATAGACGCAGGATCTGTTTGGCGAGCCTCAAGCAGCGAAAGCAGGCGCGAGAAATTAATGTCAATCCTGAGATCTCAATTTTGGCGCTAGTTTCGATTCCTGGCACATCACGACGACTTGCTTGGGTCTCATGTAGCTCGACGGCTCTTCGACGGCTCTTTCTGGTTGGATCAGACAGTGCTATCACTCAACAACACATACCGAGAGCAGTGACCAGTGTGCGGCCTTTCTTGCAGGGCGGCCTTGGAGGCAACTTAAGTTCCTGCTGCATTTTGCCACTCAACTAACAACTTGATGGCGGGCGGACGTGTCGAGCATGAGATGGAAGACGGCCATTGCTCAAACCTATTCGAGTTGGCCTCCGGGAACAAGGGTGCGTGGCCGGCGCGGTCTGTTTCACGTGCAATAAGGGCAAACGCCATCAAAATCGCGAACATGGGCCGACATGCCTCCGACATTTCTCAGGGCTCGGACGGAAGCTCTGCAGACAGCCAGACCGCTCTGCGGACTGCGCGGTCGCCGGTCGGACCGACTTTTTCAGACTTTACTATTCTGGATACTGAGGGTTTGTGCTGCTAGATCTCACTGAGCTGAGCTCGTATCTGCCTTTGGTAAGCAGTTTTGAGTTCGGTAATGTCTCCGGAGACGGACGGCCGCGTCCGCGGACGACCATGACGTCGGCCGGGACCCCCCGCGCCGTGCGGGGGCCCGCCTTCGATGGCTGTCAGCGCTCCTCCGGGCTTTGCATCACACTGTGCCTGAATCACACACACCTGTCACCTCCCATTCAGAGAGAGAGAGAGAGCACGTAGCTGAAGCAAGTTCTCGTAAAAACGGCGCGTCAAATGCAGCATCCAGGCGTCTAAAGAAGACGGACATGATCAGAGAATGTGTGTTCAGACCTTTGCGCGGGGGGTGTGAAGCTGTGAACAGCCATTCCGCGTGGTTGAGGGGTCCGTCAACCAAGTTTGGTTGAGGGTTGAGGCCTCTGTCAACCACGTGGTTGACAGTTGAGGCAATCGGCCTCAACCGGCTAACTAATTCTTTTCGGGAAAAGAGAAACTTTGCCTGCAGGCTTCGAGGACGTATAGGGTGGAGCGACGGTGTCCGCCGCGACGAGAGCACAGCCCGACACGCGATGTCGACGAGATTACTCCAGCTGCTGCTCTCGCTCTGCTGCGCCGCCGCGTCGCTCGTCGGCGGCGCGCGGCGGGTGCCCGCCTGCAGGGCCTCCTCTGCAGCCGCTCAGCGCGCCGCCACCGCGGTTTCGACGGCCACCGCGCCGCCGCGCCGCACGGAGGGTGCGGGCATGCCGGAGCTTCCCAAAAACGAGGAGGGCGGCTTCGTGTTTGGCGCGGACGCGCTGCAGGATGTGGTCGACGCCTTCGGCGACGGCCGCTTCGTCCTCATGTCCGAGGACGACGACGACGCAACCGAGGTCAGCCTGATGATGTCTGCGCAGCACGTGCGGAGCGAGCACATCGACTTCGCGCTGCAGTACGCGCGGAGCCTGCAGGTGGGCCTCGCGCCGCAGCTCTACGACCAGGTCGCCGGCGGCCTCGACCAGATCGTCCTCGACAACTTCAACCTCTCGCGCCCCGCGCTCTCCGTCTCTGCGGCGGGCGGAGGGCGGGACCCGCGGAACAGGCGAGTCGAGGGGGAGGGGGAGGGCCTGCCCGGCGCCGCGGCCCCTCAGCCACCCGCCCCCCGCCACCCGCCCGCCTCCTCCCGACCCCGGCGCGCGCGTGCGGCGCGCGCGCCCTCACGCCCCCGCCCCCCCTCGCGGATGCAGCGACGACGTGGCGGAGGCGGTGAGGGCGCTGGCGGCGGCGGCGAGGGCGGGAGAGGAGGAGGGGGGCGAGGGCAACAGGAGCAGCAGGGGAGACGGCGGCGCCTCGCACCAGTACCTCTCCTGCTCCGGCGCCATCCCCATCCAGCGCGGGAGAGAGGGAGGCGTCCTCCGCCGGGCGGGAGGCACCGAGGCGCGCCACGCCCTGCCGCCGCTGCCGCCGCTGCCGCCGCTGCTACGCTCTGCCGCCGCTGCCACGCCCTGCCACGCCCTCGTCGCCGCCCCCCCTTCGGCCCTCCCCCTCCCCCGCCCGACCCCCTCCCCGCCCTCCCTCCCCTCCCCGCCTCCCCGCCCGCAGGCCGTAGTCGAGCTCGCCCGCCTCGCCGGCCTCCCTCCCCTCGGCCTGCACGCCACGATGCGCGTGTCGGGCCTCGCCGCGCTCCGCGAGGCGACGGCGCGGTGGGGGCTGCCGCACGCGTCCACCGCCGACCTCGTCGCGCGGCAGCGCCAGCAGCAGAAGCTCGTAGAGCGGTGCGGACCGCCCGTCACCATGCCAACCAGGCACGGCGAGTTCATCGCGCACACGTACCGGTCGCTCGTCGACGGCGCAGCAGCACCGCCGCAGCGGTTCGCGGGGATGCGAGCCCCCCCTCACGCGGCTCGCTGTGCGTAGGCCAAGAGCACATCGCCCTCGTCAAGAACCGACCCGTCTTCCGCACCGTCGGCAGCTCCGGCGGCGGGGCCGGCATCGCCCCCACCGACCTGCGCCCCTTCTCGTCGCAGCCTGCGGGCGCGACGGCGCCGCTGGTGCGCGTGCACTCGGAGTGCTGCACGGGGGACGTGTTTGGGTCTCTGCGTTGCGATTGCGGGCCGCAGCTCGAGAAGGCGCTGCAGGCGATCGAGCTCGACGGCTGTGGTGTCTTGCTGTACCTGCGGGGGCAGGAGGGGCGCGGCATCGGCCTCGGGGCAAAGATGTGAGAGAGGAGCCGAGAGGGAGACGAGAGGCAGACGGGAGGCAGACGGGAGGCAGACGGGAGGCAGACGGGAGGCAGACGGGAGGCAGACGGGAGGCAGACGGGAGGCAGACGGGAGGCAGACGGGAGGCAGACGAGACATCTCCTCTGTGAGACACGTCCTTGTGCCTCCCGGTCGCAGGCACGCGTATGCGCTGCAGGAGCAGGGCGTGGACACGCTCGACGCAAACTTGCAGCTCGGTTTGCCCGCCGACTCGCGCGAGTACGGCACCGGCGCGCAGATCCTGGCCGACCTCGGCATCCGGGACATGCGCCTCATGTCAAACAACCCGAAGAAGTTCTCGGGGCTCGCGGGGTGAGCCGAGAGGACCCGCGAGGACCCGCGAGGACCCGCGAGGACCCGCGAGGACCCGCGAGGACCCGCGAGGACCTGAGAGGACTCGAGAGATCGTTTGGGCCCAGCGTGGCGGCGCCCCCTCACGCCGCGCCGCCGCGAGCGCAGGTTCGGGCTGCGCATCGTCGAGCGAGTGCCGTCGCACGTCGCGCCCAACCCAAACAACATCAAATACCTCCGGACCAAGGAGGAGCGGATGGGCCACCTGTTAGACCTCGCCGACAAGATCGATCCGGGAGGCGTGGGCGGCGACGCCATTTAGCCCTCACGTGCGGCACCGCGCTTTAACTCGCGCTGACGGCTGTATTTTACTCAGACCCCCGCGCTGCACTGGCGGTGTGCACTCAGCGGACACCGCGGGCGGGCGCTCGAGGTCAACTAGGACGCGCGGACGCGACCAGCCATTCAGCCATGCTCAGTGGAGACCTCTCTTCTAAGCTCTCTAAACTCTACAACTTACTACAAGTACAACCAGCTGTTTTAACGAGTTGGGAGCTGTCAGCTGAACAGACAAGTCAGTGTTGCTGTGTTTTAACAGTAACAACAGAACAACAGTGGGGCTCCCCAACAACAGTAGGAGTAGCTAACCGATTAGGCCGGCTGAACAACAATAAGGAAGGCCTGGCAGTGTCCAGTGACCCACGACGATCTCCAGCGTCCAGTGCGGGTAAAACCCGCAAATTTTTCGGGTTTTACCCGTTCCTTTTGCCGTTTTCTGCTTGCTGGCCGCTGAACAACAGTAAACAACAATAACAAACAGTAACAGCATGGGCTGGGGTGAACACTTGAACAACGTTGAGGATTTCAGCCAACACTAGCGCAACTGTTAGGCCCAAAGTTAATGTTAAACAGCTCTAACAACCACACGCACGCTGCCTGCTCTGGGACGGCGCGCCACCGCTCGTCGTCCAGCATGTGCCACCACCGCCGACCCGAGTAGCCGTCGTACTCGACCTCGTGCACGATCCGTCCGTCCCCGTCCTCCTCCCGCGCCATGACGGTCGCAGGGTACCACCGCTCACTGTCGCAGAAGATCTCGAGGCGCGATCCGGTGGACAGGACAGAGTAGCCGTCGAGCGCCGCCCTGGCATCCTCGCGCTTTCGCTTCCGCAGCTTCGCCTTCGTCTCCTTGCTGCGCAGCAGGGTGTAGTTCGGGCCCACCTCCGCCACGCTGTCCAGCACGTGGACGGCGCTCGCCATCTCGACCGCGTCGTCCTCCGGCGGAAGCTCCGCGTCGCCCGCGGCCGCTTCCCGAGCGCGCTCGTCGCGCATCCGCTCGTGGTGGGCCTGCCGACGCGCCACGCCGGCGCCCGTGTGCCTCGCCGCCGCGTCCGGCGACGGCATCGGTGCTGTCCGCACGAGCGTGACTCGCCACTCCACGACGTCCACGATCTCCACGACCGACCGCCGAAAAGTTCTCCGACGCCGCTGACCCAAACTAAATCTTTCTACAGTTACATACACAACGCCAGGAGGACGCCCACCTTGCCAGAACCTAAAAGGTGGGCGTCACACAGGTAGAGGCTAGAGGTAGAGCCTGCTAGAGCTGGACCAGCTGTCACACTCACAGGAGACTAGTCTAAAAAGCTCTCTATAACGCTAGAGGACGCCCACCAAAACGCCTAATAGGTTTAATAATAATGTATAAGGCCCTCGGCGATGCTCAAAAATGGCGCCGGGCCCCGGGCTGGCGGCTGCCAAAACGCGCCATGTGCATGTCAGATGTCTCCCGGCTGCGGCCTCGGCGACGGCGTGCTCAGTGAGGCTGTGGGCTGTGGCGTGTGCATGGGCGTGTGGCCTGTGCCGCGTGCCGCGGACGGCGGTCGGCGCGTTGCAAGCCAGGGATGGGAGAGCGAGAGAGATTTTAGAAAACCAACAAGAAATCACGTCTCTTCTTCTTGAGAGCGAGACAGAAAACAAAAAGCCAGCAAAATTTCTCCGACGAGAGGTGTGAAGCGCGCCTTTCGCGGGCCCAGGGTGGTGCTTTTGTGTGAAGCGCTGTCTGTCTCTCTCACTTCTCGACTGTCTGTGCGTGTGCGTCTTGCCGTCTTGGGCCCGGGGTTGTGCTTTTGTGTGAAGCGCCCCGGCCGATGGCGACTGGCCGGCGCTGTCGGCGGGCGAGAGTTTGCGGCGCAACGCGCTGCTCGTAGGCGGCGCGTGGGCGGGTGGCCCGCCCGGCCGTCGGTGAGCACCGGACGCGGGTCGATCGGCTCCTAGGTAGGTAATGCGATAGTAGCTCACACAGAGGCCGTCATCGCATTCGCCTTCCTGAGACCCAGTGGCAGTGCTGACTTCTGACTGTCGTCGCTGTCTCTCCCTTCTCGACTGTCTGTGCTCGTGTCTTGGGCCCGGGGTTGTGTTTTTGTGTGAGAAGCGTGTCTGACTGTCACTCACTGTGCTTGCGTGCGATTTCGGGCCCGGGGGTTGTGCTTTGTGTGAATAGACCAGCGATAAGGGTTTTGCTCACCTTCCCTGGGACCCCGTGTTGCATGTCTGACTGTCACTGTGCGATTTCGGGGCCGGGGGTGAAGTTGCATGGCGCCTTGTGAGCAGCGAAACCGCCGCATCTGGATCCACAATTACATGTCTGTGTCCGCTTTTGCCCCGCCGCTCCTGCCCCCCGCAGATCCGACTGCGAGACCTCCTCTGGCTCCTACAATCGGGGCGCTTCCGCTCGCGCCCCCTCAGCCCTTCACTCCGCCAACCTTTACTCCGCCATCCTCGCCGCCACCACCAGCGTATCCGCCGCCCTCGTATCCCCCGCCCTCTCCTCCAGCATCTTCGCCTCTGCCACCTTCGTTTCCGCCAGCGTCACCTCAGCCGTGGTTCCCACCGCCATTCTCGCCACCACCTTTTCTACCACCCTCACCGCCGTCACCGTCGCCATCGCCGCCGCTCGCACCGCCGACGCCGCCATCCTCACCGTCGCTTTCGCCGCCAGCAGTGCCACCACCAACCTCGCCGACGCCGCCTTCAGCGCCGACGCCGCCAGCGATACCTTCACCGGCATCGCCTTCACCGGCATCGCCGACGCCGCCTTCGGCACCGACGCCGCCAGCGACACCTTCACCGGCATCGCCTCCACCGGCATCGCCGACGCCGCCTTCGGCACCGACGCCGCCAGCGATACCTTCACCGGCATCGCCTCCACCGGCATCGCCGACGCCGCCTTCAGCGCCGACGCCGCCAGCGATACCTTCACCGGCATCGCCTTCACCGGCATCGCCGACGCCGCCTTCGGCACCGACGCCGCCAGCGATACCTTCACCGGCATCGCCTCCACCGGCATCGCCGACGCCGCCTTCGGCACCGACGCCGCCAGCGATACCTTCACCGGCATCGCCTCCACCGGCATCGCCGACGCCGCCTTCGGCACCGACGCCGCCAGTGATACCTTCACCGGCATCTCCTCCACCGGCATCGCCTCTAGCCGGCGCTCCCTCGGCGCCCGCCCCGTCCCCTCCGCCTGGCGCGCCGGACCCTACCCCCGGCGAGACTGGCTCTGGCGAGGCTGGCTCTGGCGAGGCTGGCTCTGGCGAGGCTGGCTCTGGTGAGCAGCCACGGGCGCCGCCGCCGCTGCCGCCGTGGCTGCCGCCGCCGCTGCCGCCGCTGCTACCGCCGCCGGCTGCGCCGACACCGGCTGCGCCGCCGCCGCTGCCGCCGCCGCCTATCACCCCAGGGTCGGGCGAAGAGCCGGGATCGGGCGAGCCGGGATCGGGCGAGCCGGGATCGGGCGAGCCGGGATCGGGCGAGGCGCCGTCCCTTCCTCCGCCTCCGCTCCAGCCGCCAAAGCCGCCTCCGCTGCTGCCTCCATCGCCAGCTCCGCCCCGCATCCCTCTCGGCGACCCGCAGGCGCCCCCGTCACCTCCATCCACACCGCCGCCGCCGCCGCTACCGCCGCCCTCGCCGCCGCCGCCGTTGCCGCCGCCGCCGTCACCGCCGCTGTGTGAAGCCGTGCTCGCGGACCAGGGGGACGGCTTGGGCCCGCTCATCGACCTGAGCGCCCTGGACCCGCCCGAGTCTTGCCACACGGACCCCGCGCGGTTGTACGACCCTCTGCTCTGCGAGCGAGCATACTGGCGCCAGCCCGAGGGCGCGCTGCAGCGCTGCGAGCACGCCTTCGGAGGCGTCGGCGGCCAGGAGCCGACGTGCCTGCTCTCGACTGAGCTCGTAATCTGCTCGCCGCCGCCGCCGCCACTCGCTACGCCGGCCGGCTTCTGCGCGCAGCTCGAGCGGATGACTGACTTGCGCTCGCTCTCGCCTCCACAAACCTGCCACTCCGACGCTACCCGCGCCCAACAGCCGGAGAAGTGCGCGGAGGCCTACGTCACGCAGGGCAACGGGCTTCTTCAGCGGTGTAAGCACGTCGGAGGTGGGCCGGCCGCCGCCGCCACTTGTGTCATGTCCCGCTTCATGACCCGCTGTGGCCTGCCGCCCACCCCTGACGATCTCTCGCCGCCGCCTGGTCCGACGCCGCTCTCGATCCCTCCGCCCTCGACCCCGTCCCAGCAGCCGCAGGCACTGCCGCCAATGAGCGAGGCCGCCATTGCCATCGTTATCGTCGCGGGTCTGTTGTCCTTCGTTGTCTGCCTCTGCCTCGCCGAAATCTGCTTTCTCTCCACACTGCGGAGGCAGCGGGTGTCACCGCAGCCGTGGCTGACCGCCGGGGTGGTGCGGCGCCGCGGCCGAAAGGGGCGCCGGAGGACGGGGCTGGCGACGCCACGCACTCGGGAGGTCGAGCGCGGCGGCTACGACATGACTCCCGTGCTCGCTGGCGGCGGCGGGTATGCCCTCGAGCGCCAGGTGGAGATGATGCAGGGAGGCGCATACGACGGCACGCCCCCGCGGCCAGCTCAAGACCCTTGGTATCACTCCCCCGCTCGGTGCCAATCACCCGGTGAGCCGGCGAGAAGTAACGAGTACATCGAGCGGCTCGGGCGGGCGGCCTCAGCACGCCAGACACCACCCCGTGGCGCCGCCTCCAGCGCAAGCGGCGGCAGCGGCAGCGGCGGCGTTGTTGGCACGGCGCCCAAGGACATCGAGATGCACATCGAGCGGCTCGAGCGCGCCACCGCGGACATCCGCGCGAGGCGCACCGCGCACTCCAACATCTCCGACAGTGACCCCTCTCGCACCGGGACCCCGACGAACAGTGGCGCGGGGAACAAGCAACGCGACACCTTCCAAACGCTGCAGTTGTCGCACTCCAAGACGACCGAGGTGCACATGCATCGCACGGCATACGTCTTGATCATTGTGAATCAGCGCTCTCAGTCATCGCCGTTGCCATGTACCGTAGGATCCTGGTGCTCGCCAAGCCGGAGGCGGAGCCTCCGACGATTGGTTGTACTAAGCGAGTACTCTATATAGCGAATAGCCAGGAGAGGAGATACACCATGGGACACACAAGAAGCTGGACACGAGAGCCGCGGAGAGAGAGCCCCGCCACACTTGTGTGCGCGAGAATACATGCTCCCTCTTCTCTTCGCTATCTATAGCCCGTTCACACGCCGCCCTGTCAGCGTACAACGACGGTTCAAACAGCGAAAACAGTGTTTAAAGAGTAAAAGATGTGTGAGATCTTGTGTCATGTGTCATGTGAGGACCAGGTGTTTTTACCTTCTTTTCTCTTTCTCAAAACACGAAAAACAGGTTTCAACCGGCGATTGCAGCAGTCGGGCCAGCTGAGCCACCGCCGACGGCGGGCCCGCGCCGCAGCTTCGTCGGGTCCTTGGACCCCGCTTTGATGGCGCCCGGTGTCCCCTGCTTGGCTGGCGCCTTGCCAGGCGAGGACGTGAGCCTGGCAGGTGCAGAGGGCGCCGTGCCGCCGGGCGGCTCGAGCATTGAGCTCCACACCCGAGGGACGTCGAGCTCGGGCCTCGGCTCCCGCGGCTCCATGGGCGCGCTCCCGCAAGTCGCGCCGCCGCCCGCCGACTCGTCGCGCTCCTCGAACTCGAGAGGCGGCTCCGCCTGCTCCAGCGCCCGCTCCGTCGCGACATCCAGCAAGACGTGCGCCATCGATTTTGCCCCCTCGATCGCGCTGAGCAGCTCCTCCTCACTCCCTGCCGGGCGACCCAGCAGCGAGAGCCCAAGGCCCAGCCCCTTACCAGGGCCGTACAGCCGCATCTCGGGCGCCCACCGCACCCCCTCGCCACGGCAGAGGCGTAACGCCGCGGCCTCAGCCTCGGCCTGGCCACCGGCGGCGCCACCATCCTCTCCCTGCTCCTCGGCAGCCCCCTCTGCCTCCCCGGCCCCCGCTGCCCCCGCGGCGGCCTCCACTTCCTGCCTCCCCCCCTCCGCCGCCCCGTCCCCAGCTCCCGCTGCCTCCTCTTCCTGCCTCGCCTCCGCCTCCGCCTCCGCCTCCGCCTCCGCCTCCGCCTCCACCTCGGCCACCGCGTCGCTCAGCACCGAGACGAGCTCCGACCACACCGGCAGTGAGCGGCCCTGCGAGCGCGCCAGCCTCCTCGAGCGTGTCGCGACGTCGAGCGCGCTCCTGCCGGTGAGTGCGCTGCCGCCCTTCTTAACAACGCGCGACACGTTTGCGCCGTGACGGAGTAGGAGCGCGGCCACGCGGCTCGCCTCCTCCCCAGAGCTGCGCATCGACTCGAGACTGACAGCAACCATGAGCGGCGTGGCGCCGTGCAAGTTGGGCGCGTCGGGGTCTGCGCCGCGGCGCAGGAGCAGCTCGAGGAGCTCGTACCGAGCCTCCGCCATCACAAGAGGGCGAGAGAGCGCGTGCAGCAAAGTGCCGCCCGACACGCGGCCAAGGGCAAGCGGCGGATACGCGCGCAAGAGCCGCCCGAGCTCCTGGCCGACGGCTTGTTTGGCCGGCTGCTGCCAGAGCCCAGAGGTGAGGCCGAAGACGAGGGCGAGCGGCGGCCTCCCCCGCTCCTCGCTGGCCGGCGCTTGCGGCGGCGGACGGTCGAACAAGCTCTCGTAGATGCGCACGAAGTCGACGTGCGAGGTGCAGCTGTTCCGGCCAAAGACCCTGAAGAGCGAAGAGGCACGCCTGCTCTTTCTGACGTTCTGCGTGTCCTCCTCCGCGTCGTCGCCTCGCCGCTCGCGCAAGTCGAGGAGCTGGCTGGACGCCTTGCCGGCGGCGAGGTCGGCCGAAGCGCCCGCCTCGCGCAGCGCGAACACCACCTCCGCCTGGCACAGCAGCGCTGCCCAGTGGAGAGGCGCGAGTCCGTCGTCGCCCTTCCCGTCGGCGGAAGCGCCGTGCTTGGTCAGCAGCCGAACCACGTCCGCCGCCCGTTCGGGCGGGTGCGCGGCGGCGGCCCACTGCAGCGGCGTCGCCCCGCTTGAGTCGCGCCCGTTGATGGCGGCAGCGCATGCAGCGGCTCGCGGCGCGTCGGCGGCGCAAGCCAGCTCGAGCAGCGACCGGATGGCGGGCACCTAGCTCGCGTGCGAGGGAGGCTCTCGGGTCAGCGCGACAAGACGCGCGGCCGCCGCGCGGATGTGAAGCCTCGGCGCGCTTCGCTCCGCTGCTCAGGAGCTCGCAGAGGCGGGGCGCAAACTCGTCAGCAGGCGCAGCGTGCAGCTCCGCCACCAGAGCAGTGGCGTTGGGCTTGGCCGACGACTCCCTCCGCTGCCGCACGCGCCGCACGGCAGCCGCCCGCCGCTCCTCCCTCGCTGCAGCCAGTCGTCCCTCCTGCGGGCGGGCAATGGGCAGGTCGGTGGCCCCTCCCTCTCTCTCCGCTCCGCGACGGGCGCGCCTCCCGCCGACACGCCTTCTCCTCCTCTTCCACCTCCTCGCCGTACCACTCTGCGTCTCGCTGCGCTTGCTGCCGCGCCTGCGTGAAGGCGAAGTGCTCTGCCGCCTGCTTGCCGCCGTCCGGGAAGTGCTCGTGCGAGAACCAGTACTCGTCTCCCCCCTCCTTGTCGTTCGGCTCTGTCTCGCGCGGAGAGCTGGCCGCTCCCCCCTCGGCTGGCTCGGCCGCCGGGCACTCGACGACGCTCACGTTGATCAGCCTCGCCTCGCCGAGCAGCGCCACCGCCCCACGCGCAATGTCGCAGAGGCTGCAGTCCGGCTCCGTGAAGAGGACCAGCTGCGGCGAAGCGACGAAGTCGGCGGAGGCCGCCGCCGCTGGCGTCAGCTGGCGGAGGCCCTTGCCTCGCTGGGCGGCCGCGCGCTGGCGGCGGAGGTCGGCGGCGGCGCGGAGGGTGAAGTTGACGAGGAGCTCGGGCAGGAGCGGCTGCGGCAGAGAGGGACCGAGCTCGAGAGCGAAGCCTGAGGAGCAGCACGCCTCGCGCCTCTTGGCGGTGGGAGGCGAGAGGCGAGGCGGCGGGAGGGGGCGAGGCGCCCTTGGCTAGCGCGCGGAAGGTCGGGTGCTCCGGGACTCCGAGCTCCGTCTCGCACCAGCCGCCCGGCTTGCGAGGCACGCCGCAGCGCAGCGCGCCGACCCGCACTCTGTCGCCGAGGATCTGCGAGAGGCGGCGCGCGGCGAGCACGTAGTAGGCCTAAAGGAAGGCTCCAAGAAGGCTCATGGAAGCTCTCACGCCTGCAGCCGGCGAGGGCGTCGTAGGCCTTGTTTGCGATGCACTGGTGGCACCACGGCGCGAAGTACTGCACCAGCCAGAGCGGTCCCTCGCTCGCTGCGGCGGCGGCGTGGGACGTGCGGTTGAGCTCGACCACCGCCGCGTCGGTGAAGAAGCGGCGGCGATCGTCGTCGTCTTGCGCCGTGCGCCAGCTGCCCGACTTGAACTGGTCGAGGGCGGCACGCAGCTGGTCGAAGAGGAGCGCGCTGTGCGGCGAGGCGCTCTTGTCCGGGTGGAAGTGGCGGCCCAGCCGCCGGAAGGCTGCCTGCGGTGCGAGGGGGCGTGTGGTTGCGAGGGTGTGGGTGCGTGGGCGTGGGAGCATTGGCATGTGGGTGCGAGGGTGTGGGTGCGAGGGCGTGGGAGCATTGGCGTGTGGTTGCGAGGGTGTGGGTGCGAGGGCGTGGGAGCATTGGCGTGTGGGTGCGAGGGTGTGGGTGCGTGGGCGTGGGAGCAGTTGAGGTCGGGGCGCCTTTGCAGCCTCGACCGGCGAGAACTCTCCCACGCCGAGCAGCTCGTGGGGCAGCAGTCGCTCGAGCGCCTCCTCGCCCTCGTCGCGAGCCAAGCCTTCGAGCCACGCGGCCGTAGGCTCGGGCTGCCCCTCGCGTTGTTCCTCCGCCGCGTCGCCCTCCGCCGCGTCGGGTGCGCACTCCACGCGCCACTCTTGGAAGGGGAACATATGGCTCTCGTGGTAGGAGCAGAGCTGCAAGGACGCGCGCTGCACGTGCGCGTTGCGGTGGCCGAGGCCCCACAGGCCCGCCTCGAGGCAGCACGCCGCCTGCGCCATCCCAGGGCACCGCACGCGCGCAAGTTTGTAGTCTGGAAACATGGAGCTCCAGGCCTGCAGCTGCACGCGCAGGTGCCGCTTCTCGCTGCCGCGCGGCGCAAGCCAGAGAAAAGGTGCCTTTGGCGCGCGGACGAGCAGCTTGAGCTCAGCGCTGTCGGCCGCAGAGCCGGGAACGGGCGTGCGGTGCGACCACACGCTGCAAATCGGCTTGGGATGGCACATCCCGCAGGCTCGGCGGCACGCATGCGTCATGTAGACCGCATTTTTCTCGCACTCGCCGAGGCGCGCCCACGCGGGACACTCGGGGCTGGCATCCTCTGGGCAGGGCGTGGCAGTAGTCTCGCTCTTGGCGGGCGAGTAGACGGTGAAGCTGGTCCCGTTTTTGTTCGGCTCCAGCCGCCACGTCTGTAGTGTGGCGTTGGCCTCGCCTGCCGCCGCACACGCTGCGAGCGCAACGCCACACCCGAGACCTGGCTCCGCCGTCAGACACCGGCCGTCGTAGAGGAGGCTGAAGCGGACGCCATTGGCACAGGCGTCCATAAGCGGAGAGCACTGTGGTCTGACTGTCGGGACACCAGTTCGTTGCCGATAAGGCGCGGCTGGCATTTTAACCTGGCTGTTCTTCCCTAACTAACTAACTAACTTTGAGGAGGTTTTGTGTTTCGCGGCGGCAAATAGGTTGGCAAAGAAATGAGCACGACTTTACTCGCCGCCATGGCAGCCTCGCCGCGGCGCGACCACGCCTCGAAGGAGAGGGCCCGCCGCGCGCTCCCGCCTTCACGTGGAGAGCGCCGCGCTGGCGTCGGCGAGGCCGCTTGCTCCCAGCTGGAGGCCGACGGCGAGCGTGTAGAGGCCTGTGAAGGGCACACACCCGTCCCGCTCGAGCTCGCGCAGCGTGGGCAGCAGCGCCTTGACCGGCACGCGGTTTACGCGGATGAACTCGGACTCGTCGAGCGCCTGCTCTGGCACGCGGTTGGCCGGCGAGTCGAGGTCCACCTCGACCACCACCAGCGCAACCGCCTCGTCCGTCAGACCGGGGCTCATCGCGAGCTGGCCAGACACGCAGGCGGAGGAGCCAGTGTATCCCGTCTCCTCCTTGAGCTCGCGCAGCGCGGCCGCCTCAGGGCTCTCGCCCGGGTCGACGAGCCCGGCGGGCAGCTCGATCGTGACCGCGCCCATCGGCGGGCGGAACTGCCGCACCAAGAGCATCTCCACCTCCTCCTGCGGTGCCGCCCGCCGCCGCAGCAGCGCCAGGATGGCGACGCCGTCGACCTCGGCGCCCTCCTTCCTGGTCGTGCGCTGCGCCATGTCCCACTTGCGAGGTTTTCCTCGCGCATCCTCGTAGTCGAGCGTCGTCAGCCGCAGCCACCGGGTCGCGCCGACCTCAGAGCTGCCGGTCACGCGGGCGCGACTGAGGCCGGGGTCCTGCTCGCACATCGCGATGGTACCGCAGAGCGCTCCTGCAGCCGTCGCAGCAAACGCAGGCAGGCGCCGCAGCACCATATCGGTTTCGAGTGCAGCGCCGACTCTCGCCCGCCACCACCAGGAGGTATTCAAAGAAAGAAAACACGCGACGGGCGGCACGCCGCCACCACACAGGGATTTTAAGGCGAGGGGTGTGATACGCAGGGGTATTCCCCGGGAATTCACGGGGGGGAGATTTTTTTCTGCGGTGCAGCATGCGGTGCACACACACGCGACCGCCTCCTCCAGTCACCTCGTCCTCCTCCCTATGACACTGTTGCCGAGCGAGAACCCTCTACCGCTCGCCGCCGGCGTCGCGCTGGCGTTTGCGCTGGCGTGGCGGCATTACTCGCGCACAGTCGCAAAGCATGTCGCGGCGCTGGAAGCGCTCAGCAAGCGCGTCGAGCAGCTGGCGCCAGAGTTGAGGTCCGAGCCGTCGGACGGCGGCCTGCAGGGTCCGATCCAGAGAGAGGCGCCTGTCCGCCGGACGCCCAGTGCTTTTTCGCCCACCATCCTCCCGGCGGAGGGCGGGCGCGTGAGTGCGTCCGAGCAGCAGACGGCTGCGCTGTGCGTGGTCGTCTTTGGCGCCATCAACATGGACGTCAAGGCGACTGCCGAGGTGTCGACCTGGCCGGAGCACGACGTGTCCTGCAAAGGGCGCTTCGAGCAGTCTGCGGGCGGCAAGGGCGCCAACGAGGCGGTCGCCCTCGCGCGGCTCGGCGTCCCCGTCTCGCTCGTCGGCCGAGTCGGCGACGACGAGAGCGGCAGCTTCTTGCTCTCCGCGCTGCGGAGCGAGCGCGTCGATGTGGGTGGGACGCTGCGGCTCGGGAGGACGGGGACGGCGGTGCACATCGTCACCAAGGACGACTCGCGCAAGTTCAACGTCACCTGCCTCGAGGCGAACGGCGAGCTCGACAGGACAGACGTGCAGCGGGCGGTTGCGCTCGTCCGGCAGAAGGAGAGCGGAGAGAGGCGGGTGGTGGTGCTGCTGCAGCTCGAGGTGAGCCCCGTCCTCTCGCGCCAGCTCGTCAAGAAGGTGGGCGAGCGCTGCCTCGTCGCGCTCAAGCCGTCGCCACTCGCATCCGACGAGAGCAAGCGGCAGGCGACGGCGGCTGCAAGGCCTCGCAACCCGCGCGCCCTCGCGCTGACCCGCCGCCGCACGCTGCAGGCGCGGCTGCTTCTCGACGAGCGGGTCGACCTGTGCTTCGTCGCCGAGAGCGAGGCGCTCCAGCTGCTCGACGACGAGGGCGGCGAGGAGACGCTCATCTGCACCCTCTCCCAGGCGGCGCTTGCGAGGACAGACTTAGTGTTTGTCTCACCTCACCTGCACGCTCTCCCTCGCGGAGCTCACCCCTAACCCCAGCCCCTCACCCTCCTCCGCATGCCGCCAAGGCGGAGCGCGCCGCCGAGGCGATGCTGCGCCGCTGGCCACGCCTCCAGACAGTGGTCGTCACCTTCGCTGCCGGCCACCTCCTCTGCGAGAACCCTTCCTCCGGCGGCTGGCTCGGCGCCGCTCCGCCGGACGAGGCGCCGCACGCCCGAGGAAGCCCGAGCCTGGTGCGGCGCCGCGTCGAGTCGCTCGCAGGAAGCAGCCCTCCGGCGCGCCGCCGCATGGAGTCGCTGGCCGAGAGTGCCTCGGCGCCGGTGCGGCAGCCGCCGTCGGCCGTGCAGCCGCTAGTGATCCCGAGGTCCAAGTGCTCGGTCGTCGACGTGATCGGCGCGGCCGACGCCTTCATCGGCGGCTTCCTCGCGGCGCAGGCGGCGGGCAAGGCGAGCGGGGAGAGCCTGGGCCGGACATGTCCAGCTCACGTCCGAGGACACGTCCGAGACATGCCCCTCAGGCGAGCGGGGAGAGCCTTCTCTGGGCGCTCGCGAGCGGCACGCGCTCGACGCTGGCGAGCGCTTAATGAATAGTTAATTAATAGTTAATTAATAGTTAGTTAGGCACGCGCTCGACGCTGGCGAGCGGCGCGCGCAAGGCGGTGCCTCACTCCGCTGATGAGCTGCTCGAGTTCCTCTGCGGCGACGACCAGCTCTACGACGCGGGCGCGTGCGGCTGCAAGGTGGCGGAGAAGGAGCACGCCAGCGCGGCGATCACCGTGCTGCCGGGCGACGCCAAGGCGGACCCGTTCCACCTCCACCTCGCCGCCCTGCGCGCCGACCTTCACGCCGTGTGGGACATGCTCCCCTCCTCCTCCGACGCCGCCGCCCCCGCCAACGAGCCGGCCCCGGGCTCGCACGGCTCGGCCGTCTCGCGGCTACTCTGCGCGCTGCAGCAGAAGGACTCGTTCGGCCTCACGCCCGCCCAGCGCGCGCACCAGGCGTGGCAGCTCTGCCCGCAGCAGCAGCAGCGGCACAAGCGCGCCTTCCTCGCCTGCCTCCGCCAACTCGTCGCCGCGCAGCTCCTCCTCGCCCCGTCGCGCGCCCTCATCGAGGAGGTCGCCTCCCTCCGGCCGGAGGTGTCGCTGCGGCCCCGCCCGCCCTCGAGGTGCTCCAACTCCGACGGCGCCGCGAGCCGCGACGGCCGAGAGGCGGAGGCGGGCTCGACGGCCGCCGCCCTCGAGCGCCTCGGCGCGGCCCTCGAGCTGCCCCTCGTCTCGCGCCACGCCATGTCGGAGGGGTCGTGGGCGGCGGGCCGCGCGCCGCTCTCTCCGAGGCGCAGCGTCAGCCTCGGCGAAAAGTCGCAGCGCGAGCCCTTTGCGCTCCCACCGAGCGAGGCGCCCCCCAACGGCGCCGGCGGCAACGCGGCGGGGGCGGACCGGTCGGCGAGCCGAGGCTCGAGCGGCGCCGTCGCAGAGGCGCGCTCCGCGCTGCCGGCGAGGCGAGCCTTGAGCCGCGCCGATCCCCCCGCGGCTCCTCCTCCTTCCCTCGAGCTCGACCCGAACGAGGTTGCGGCGCAGATGGTGCTCTCGATCCTGCTCCTCCTCTCGCCGCCCGCCGCCGAATTTGGCCCGCTCGTCGTGCACCACCACTCGTCGCAGCGCCAGCACGGCTCGGCCGGCCTCCTCCCGCCCGCGGCTCCTCCCGTCTTCGACGCGGAGGAGCGCTCCGCCATGTTCCGCCTCCTCGCGCGCCTCCTCTGCCCGCTCCTCGAGCGGCGCGGCCGGGCGGGCGACGCGCTCTGCGCCGCGCTGCTGCGGGCGCGCGACGGCGAGGACGCTTCGCTGCTGCTGTGCGCGGCGTCCGCTGGCGCCGACGCGATCGTGCGGTCGCTCCTCCTCCTCTTCGAGCGCGAGGGCACGCGCGCCGAGGTGGAGCTCCGCGACCGGGCCGGCCGAGGGGCGCTGCAGCGCGCGTGCGAGGCGGGGCCGTCACGGGAGCACTTCGAGGGCATCGGGCTGCTGCTGCGGCACCTGCTGCCGCTCGAGAGCTCGTGCCTAATTAACTATGAATTAATAGTTAATTAATAGTTAATTAGGCATGGGCTGCCGCTCGAGAGCTCGTGGCTCAGCCGCGCCCCCTTCGAGGGGCACGAGTGGCTCGCCGCCGTGACGGACCTCAACCGGCTCTACACGGGCGACACAAACATCCCGGGCACGGTCGACGGGCGGTACTGCGTCCGCGGCAGCACGTGCTCCGAGTGCGCCGCAGCTCGGCTCGGGGCGAGCGGCAGGGCGCGACGCGATCGGCGTGAGCGTGCCGCACTCCCTTAGGTACGTCAAATTCGCCTTCGACACGGACGACTCGCGCAACGTCGTGCTCAAGTTCTTCGAGGCGAGGGAGCCGTGGGAGCTCGAGGCTCGCGTTCTCGTCGGGCTCAGCCGCATCTTCGAGCGAGGCCAGACCCACTCCGACGGCGAGGGCGGCGGCGACTCGCTGCACGCCGCGCCGCGGCTGCTCGAGCGCATCGACCTCTCCGGCCCGCGCAGCTTCACGCCGCTCCCGTACGTGCTCGTCCTCGAGGAGGGGAACCGCGCGCCGCTGGTGGCGACGCAAGACTCGGAGCTCGAGCGGGTGGCGGTCGTGTCGCGGCTGCTTCGCTGCGTGCGCCTCCTGCACGAGGCGCCTCGCGAGCTAGAGACACTTCCTAGACACTTCCTAGACACACTTCCTCCTGCACGAGGCGCCTCGCGAGCTAGAGACACTTCCTAGACACTTCCTAGACGCACTTCCTCCTGCACGAGGCGCCTCGCCAGCGAGACCTCGCGAGCGAGAGATGTATATGTATATAGCGGCGGCAGGCCGGCGGACAGGTCCGGGACACGCCCGCACGCCCTCCTCTCGCGCGTAGGCGGTCGAGCTCGAGGACGACCTCTACGCGCCGACCCCGAGGTCGGTGGAGAGGGCGGCGGCCTCAGAGACGGACGAGGCCGCCGGCCGCTCCATCGCGGTGCACTGCGACCTCAAGCCGTCGCACTTCCTGCGCGTCGGCCGCCACTATGGCTGGCGGCTGATCGACTTTGGTTCGGTGCGGCGGGAGGGTGCGGAGGTGCGGAGCCTCGAGTACACGCGCGCCTACTGCGCGCCCGAGGTGGCCGAGGCGGAGGCGAGCGGGAGGCCGCTCGTCGTGACGCGCGCGATCGACGTCTGGGCGCTCGGGCTCATAGTCTACGAGATCTTCGCCGCCGAGCCGCTGCTGCGCGGCTGCTTCTCGCCGCGCGCGCAGCGCGAGGGGGCGACCGGCGCGGCGGCCGACGAGGCGGTGCACGCCGAGTCGCTCCCCTTCAGCAACGAGGAGTGGAAGGAGTACGTCGCTTGGCTGGCGAGCGGCGGCGCGGCGGCGATGATCGCCAAGCTCGAGGCCAACGAGAAGCAGCTGCCCGAGGCGCTGCTGCACATGCTGCGCCGCATGCTCAAGAAGGCGCCCGAGCAGCGGCCCACGCTCGCCGACCTGCTGCGGCTCTCGTACCTCAAGCCGGGCGTGGCGACCGTCAAGCGGCAGCAGAAGACGCTGCTCGGCCTCTTCTGTTGCCCCTCCAAGGGCCGGCAGCGCCTCGACCTCGAGCGAGACATGCGCACAGTGCTGCGAGCGCTGCCGGTCGGCGAGCGAGAGATCCGCGCGGCGGCGCAGTTCCCTACCGACCTGCTCGGGCCGCTGCGGGGCGACGCGCGCAACGAGCCGATCCGGCCGCGCGTGCTCCACTTCTCGTGCCACGGCACCCCGGACGGGCGCCTGCTGATGGAGGACTCGGAGGGGCGCGCCTTCACCGTGAGCACGCGCGAGCTCGTCTGCACGCTCGAGGAGTGCCTGCAGCTGCAGGACGGGATCGAGTGCATCTTCCTCAACCTCTGCTCGTCGCACCACATCGGCGAGGACATCCACGCCGGCTTCCCGCACCTCTACGTCGTCGCGTGGAGGACCGTGGTGCAGGACCGGGTGGCGCAGGCCTTCGCGAGGGAGTTCTACACCTACCTCGGCGTGGAGAGCTCCAAGGGCAACCGCGGCTCCGTGGCCGAGGCGTACGCCGCGGCCGAACGCGACTTCCACGCCAAGTACCGGGAGGGCGACCCGACGGTGTACGACGAGGCGGGCAACCGCACTGGCAAGAAGGACAGCTCGGTCCACGGAGTCCCCATGCTGCTGCGGCCCGTGGGCTGGTCGTAGCGAGCAGAGGGTTGGTGTTAACATCCCTGAGAGGGGTGTTTCAGAGGGGGAGGGGGGAGCGAGCTTGTTAAGCGTGTATGTGGCATGTTTAAACTCAAACATCAAAGTTCAGAACGGCGATCGGCGTGGGCCGCTGGCGGGTGGCGGCTGGCGCGTGCCCGTGTCCGGACGTGTCCGGGGTTGTGGCGCGCAGGACATATGTGGAGCACACCTCGTTGGAGTTTCGAAAAGAACGCTTTGACGTTGCTCGTTGGACTTGGAGCACGACTTGGAGAAATAAAAAGGGCGAAAATAGGAACGAGAGGGGAAAGGGTCCGGAGGAGGAGCGTAAAGGCAACGTAAGGGCTAAGGGCGCGTTCTCTGTCTCCCCCTCCCGCCTCCCCGTGCTCCGATCACGTGGTGCCGCCAATACATGTCGTTGCTCAGGTCCTGACGTCTGAACCACAGCGTGTCCCAGTCCATATCCCGGGGGTGTTTCTCCTCTTATCCGTTACCATGTAGAGCAAGACCGAGGGCGGGCCCTTTCGGGCTCGGGCCGCCCTCTCGCCCGCACCTCTGCGGGCTTGCACGCCTGACTCTCCACGGTCGGTTAGGTTAGGTTAGGTAGAAAGGTGAAGAACAGTCTGGCTCGGACTGGGCACCAACGCGGTATGCGTGTGGACTGTTGGGGCTGTTGGCCGGATTTCTCTCTCTTCACAACGGCCGCGCTGTGGCCAACGCTGCCAAGCGATTTGCCTGTTCGCGATTGGTGTTTGTACACTCACTCTTTCAGCCTACGCCATGCCCGCCGCGACGTCGATGGACCCGCAGCCTCTGCTCGCGGTACCCGGTGCTGGCACACGCGGCCTGCAGCAGCTGAACGAGACGCAGCGCACGGTGCGAAACCCGGTCACCGACGCCTTGAGACGGTGCCGTACACACACGCGCTCTCCCTCACTCAGGTGGCAGACACGCAGCAAGTGGGCGCCGACATCATCGAGACCCTCGGCGTGCAGCGCGAGCAGCTGACCGGCGCCGTCCAGACGCAGAACGAGATGGAGTCCGTCCTCACGCGCTCGTCCAACCTGATCAAGCGGATGCTTCGGCGCGCCGACATGATCAAGCTCACGCTTTGGCTCATCGTGTTCGCGCTGCTCTGTACCATCGTCGGCATCGCGCTGTACCGCTGGGGCCCAAACGCGCACGGAAAGCACTCCCCCTCGCCGCCGGCCGGGCCCCAGCAGCCGCTTGTGCAAGCCTCCGCCTCGGCCGCCTCGGCCGCCGCCTCTGCCGCCACCTCTGCCGCCGCCTCTGCCGCCGCCTCTGCCGCCGCCAAGGCGGCGCCGAGCTCGCCGCTCGCTTCGGCGGGCCGGCGGCTGCAGGAGAGGCGGCGGCTGAACGAGGTGCGGCCGCTCGGCGGAGGCGCGTCCCTCTCCCCTTGTAAGAGATATGGGGAGATATGGGGAGATATGGGGAGATATGGGGAGGCGCGTCCCTCTCCCCACCCCCTCTGCCGCGCCGCGAGTGGCTGCTCTCCTCGCAGCACGCGCGGGCGGTGGTGCGTCGGGTGGTGGTGCGCGCAAGGCGTCTCTGCTGCTCCAGGCGTCGTGATACTGCTCGTGGTCTCCGTGCTCACCCTCCTCGGCTGCTACTTCGCCGGTGCGCGCCCGAGAGAGGGCCGGCAGCGACATACGGTAGCGACACACGGCAGCGACACACGGGAGGGATACGGGAGGGGCGCTGCAGCCTGTCTCACCCCTCGCCCGCCCCTCCGCTGCAGGCGCCATGCAGCCCGCCAGGCGTGCGTGCGTCTCGTGCAGCCTCTTCGTCCTCTTCTGCGCGCTCGCCTGCTGCCTCCTCGCACTCCCCTTCTCCTCCTGCCTCCCACCGCCCGCCTCTCCCTCCTCTGTAGCCGCGACCCTCCTCTTCCTGTCTTGCTACCCGCGCCAGACCGACGAGTGGAGAGGGGCGGCCAGGCACCGCCCCCCCCCCCCCCCCAAACTGCCTCTCCCCCCTGCCCCCCTCCCCTGGCAACGTCCCTCCTTAGCCCCGCCACACACACACGCACCCACCCACCCCCCCCCTTCCCTAGACTATGCCGGACCGACCGACGCCTCGCCCCTCCTCCGCTCGCTCTTCGCGCTGCTGCTCTTCCTCACGGCGCTCGCCGGACCGATCGCGATCGCCGCCACGCACCTGGCGCCGCCGCAGCGCATCGACTGGCCTCCCCCCCTCTCTGCGTGCAAGGAGGAGGCAGGCGGCGCTGCCTGAGGACGAATATCGGCCACGCCCCGACTGCACCTCGCGCCGGTGGGTGTGTCGACGCGCGTGTGGTTGTGGATCGCCCCTCAAACGCTCAAAGAGAATGATTGTGGCTTCGCGCATTGTGGCTCACTGCCAAAATAGGTGTGTCGCACGCGTCGCGAGATGAGTCACGAAATGTGCGCGGTGGTGTGTGCGGTGTTCTGTTTTCTCTGAAGCCGATGCCTGTTCTCTCCGAGTGCGCCCGCACCACTCCGACTCGTCGAAACTACGCACGTGCGCCCGCGGGGGGGGCCACATCGCGCCATCGCGCATCGCCATCGGCGTCTCTATAAATCTATAGCGAGTCGCTAGTGGACACACGACACCGCAAAAACATGAAAATTGTCTGTGTGATCAAATATCGACACCCTGGAATTCACCACAGCCCACACCACTATACACTGCACACACGCTGGTGTCCGCCCTGTGCCCGACTGCGGCACGTGGGGACTGCGGTGTGCGGACTGGCTGTGGCTTCCGCGCCCGTCCCCCGGCGCGCGCGCGAGGCGTGCTGAGAGAGGGGCGGCGGTGAGACTGAATATGACTGTGGTCTGTGCGTGCCACCACAGCGCACATCGACGGAAGCTAATGAACATCACTTCAACCGGTTTGGGGGGAGGCGACGGATCGCTCGAGGCCGACAGACGCCTACTTGTCCTTGCACTCCTGCTTGTTCTCCTTCCACTTGCAGTGGCCCGCGTCCTTGCACTCCTCCTCGTCCTCGAGCGTGCAGCACTCCGGTTCATCCTCCTCGCCCTCGCCCTCGCCCTCGCCCTCGCCCTCGCCCTCCTCGCCCTCCTCGCCCTCGCCCTCCTCGCCCTCGTCTTCGTCGTCCTCGTCCTCGTCCTCATCGTCGTCCTCGTCCTCGTCCTCATCGTCGTCCTCGTCCTCGTCCTCATCGTCGTCCTCGTCCTCGTCCTCATCGTCGTCCTCGTCCTCGTCCTCATCGTCGTCCTCGTCGTCGTCCTCATCGTCGTCCTCGCTGTCCGCCTTGCACTTCTTCTTCTTCCATTTGCAGAATCCCGCGTCGTTGCACTGCTTTTTTGTGTTGAACTCCTCGCAGAGCCAGAGGGGCGGCTCCTCCAAGTCCTTCTTCCTACACCTCTGCTTCGACCACTTGCAGTAAGTGATGTCTTTGCATTCTGCCTTGTCCTCAACGTCCTTGCATCTTGGCTCCGGCTTCGGCGGTAGCGAGTTCTTCTTCCTGCACTTCTTCTTCGACCACTTGCAGTAAGCAATTTCTTTGCATTCTTCCCTCTCCTCAACGTCTTTGCACCTTGGCGGGGCTGGCGGGGCGGATGGTGGCGGGTAGGGGTCGCCGGAGGACCATTCGAGAGGCGGTGGGGACGGCAGCGGTGGAGGCGGCGAGGGAGATGGCGGCGGAGGGCGAGCAGCCGAGCATACCGCTATGGGCGCAGGTCCATTGCAGCCCTGGCACATGGGCAATGCGCACTTGTGCTGGCAGACGATTCCGATCAGGCACCTGCATCTCCTCTCATTGCATCGTGTGCCGCCACCTCCGCCGCCGCCGCCTGGTGGAAATGGCCAAAATTCTCCGTCAATAACGGATCCGCCGATATCGTCGTCCGCAAGAATGCGCTGTTCGAGAGCTCGTACGAAGTGCGTTTGATCAGTGCCAGCACTGGGACGGCTTGAGCTCACCCAATCGCCATTGACAAGTGTCGCTTGTATGAGAGGCCGATCGCCGGCGAAAGGGACTCCCTTGTCGTCGTGCGAAACCCTCGTCACCCAACCTGCCACGTCCCCGACCACCTCGTCAACACTAGTAGGGGCGGCGACACTCCCGAGAAGTGCAAACCACATAGTGTGCGTTGGTGTCGCACAAAATAGCGAGCACCGCTTGCCGGCCCGAAAAGCAAGTTTCTCGACAGTTGCAGAGATTGCAACGAAACGAGGCGGCATTTCACGACCGAAATAAATAAGCTTCGCCTGACTTTTCACACGCGACACACGGGGTTCTCCTTAAAATCCCTGTGTGGTGGCGGCGTGCCGTCCTCCCATCCCTCCCTTGGGTTGTCTGTTTTCTTTCTTTCTTTCTTTACACACGGGGTTGAAGCGAGAATCGGAGAGAGACTGCGAAGAGAGATAGGAAGAGGCGGACGCCCAAGGGTGGGCGACGGCTAGCGCACCACACCCCTCTCCTTAAAATCCCTGTGTGGGGTGGCGGCGTGCCGTCCTCCCATCCCTCCCTTGGGTTGTCTGTTTTCTTTCTTTCTTTTTTACACGGGGTTACGGTTACGGGTGTGCCAACTTGAAACAGGTCACAGAGCTCCGTCCGTACAGCTGATACGTACGTGATACTGAGACGGACGTACAAGCGCACGTAGGTAGGTAGAAGGAAGGTACTTATGGGCGCGTCTAGGGGAGTGTAGGGAGTCTGTGTTAAAGTTAGAGTGTGCACTCTGAGTCGACTCTCTGACGTGGCGCGTCCCACCGCGGGTCTGAGTGAGTGGATGAATATTAAAAACTGGGTACTACTATCTCGTAGGAGAAGGGAAAAGGAACACGAACAGCGTCCGCGGGCCGAGCGGCGCGGCGCGACGCCCGTGCCCCTCGCCGTGCATCTGGATATCGGAAGATTGAAACAGGATCATGAAAGAGTAATTACTCATTTCAAGTCGTGTGAAAAGACTAAAGAGGAGACGATATTCTGATTTATTCTCAGTTCTCACTCAAACACCCAGAGCCATCCCCCCGCTCTGACTCTTGAGTCTTGTTCCGGCACGAGCAGCATCTCTGTATTCCAGGCGCCGCGTGCCGGGATATTATTCTAGTATAGACCGCTGCGCAGTGTGCGATCCAAATCCTACCGCGCCGGGAACAAACATATAAATTGACTGTACGGATCGGCATAGTCTATCAAGTATCAGTTCTGCGTACTCACCGTTCCGGGTTCGGGTTGCTCTCGTCGCCGTCTTGCGGGGGCGTGCAGTCCGCTCGCACGCGTCCGCCAAGATCGGGCAGGTCGTCTCAGCAGGTCGCCTCGCCGGCTCGCCGGCTCGCCGGCTCGTCAGATCTTCGCGGCGACGGCGTCACCGAAGGCAACGGTCGAGCAAGGCGCCACACCGGGCGGGGCGATGTCCACCGTGTAGAGCCCCTCCTCGAGTGTCTCTCGCACGGCAGCCTCGATGGCGTCGGCAGCGGCGGCCGCGTCGAGCGAGTACCTGTGCAAGAAGAATGGCGCTCCTAAGCTGATGAGAACTCAAGAACGGCAGTCAGCGTTCGAGCGAGCACCTGCAGAGCATTGCCCCGCACAAGATTTGGGCGGCCGGGTTGGCGATGCCCTGGCCGGCGATGTCCGGCGCCGAGCCGCCCGACGGCTCGTACATGTTGATGCCGGAGCCTGCGGCAGCAGGAGCGGGGGCGGGGTTGGGTGGGAGAGGCGGCGTTGGCGGACTCGCGGCCGTCTGCTGCGCGCCGATCGAGGCGGAGGGCATCAGACCGAGCGAGCCGGGCAGCACGGAGGCGGCGTCGGAGAGGATGTCGCCTGCGAGGCGGGCAGGCGGCGTCGAGGAGAGGGGCGAGGGGAGGGACGTGGCTCGAGAGGCGTCCGCTTCGCCGAACAGGTTCTCCGTTGCGACGACGTCGAAGTGGGAGGGGCGCCGGATCAGCTGCATCGCCGCGTTGTCGACGTACCTGCGCCCGGCGGCGGCGGTCGACGCTGGGGCCACGGCACGGGCTCTGGGCGCGGGTCGTGCGGTGGCGGTCCCGCACATGAACTCGAGCTCGACGCTCGGGTGGGCCGGCGCGAGCCGGTTGGCGACGCGGCGCCAGAGGCGGGAGGTGTCGAGGACGTTGGCCTTGTCGACGACGGTGAGCTTGCCGCGCCGCTTCTCCGCCGCCTCGAAGGCGGCGCTCAGCGCCCTCTCGATCTGCGCCTCGGAGTAGGAGCACGTGTCGTGCGCCACGTCGCCGACCGTGCTGTGCTCGCCAAAGTAGATGCCTATAGTATAGTACAGTACAGTATAGTACAACACAGTAACAGTGCTGTGCTCGCCAATTAGATGCCTCCGAGCAGCTCGCGGACGATGAGGAGGTCGACGCCCTCGGCGACGATCTCGGGCCGCAGCGGGCACGCGTGCGCGATCGAGGGGAAGATCGCCGCGGGCCGCAGGTTGACCGCCAGGTCAAAGGCGCGCCGCATGCCGAGGATCGAATTCTTCTCGGCGTCCGCCCACTTTGGCAGGTGCTGCTCAGCGACCGGGCCGCCGACCGAGCCGTAGAGGATGGCGGCCGAGCGCGCGCACAGCTCGCGCGTCGACTCGGGGAAGTGCTCCCCGTGCGCATCATAAGCCGCGCCGCCGATGAGCGCGGGCTGCAGGTCGAGCGAGAGGCCGAATTTTCCGGCCGCCTTGTCGAGCACCTTGACGGCCTCATCCATCACCTCGGGGCCGATCCCATCGCCCGGGAGGACCGCGATCGTGTGCGCGCTCCGCGCGGCGAAGGAGCGCCTGATGAGACCACGTGCCAGCATCGTCGAGCTGCCGACGAGGTTTGCAAGCCGAGGTGCCCGCCAAAAGGAAGAAAATCCGCTTCCTTTCTTTCTTTTGGGACCCTGTTGTGTGCGTGAATCCTGCCCACACTCGATGGTCTTCCCCCGGCCCGTGCCGGGCACTCGTCCAGTCGATCTGACGTTTGGAGCGGGCTCATTTCACGTTTCAAAACATCGAAGCGTGCTCAAAAAAGAAAGCGCCCGCTCACACCAATCCTCGCTACCCAACGCGGCCGAAGGAAATCCACCTCGATAACCTCCGTAGCTCGGCCCGCTCGACGCCTCGAGGCGACCTAGGAATTCGTAAGGGAGCATCCGTAAGTGAGCGGAGCAGATTTGTGTCAACACACATGCTGTCCGTCGCCGCTAGCGCGGCCGGCGCGCTCGCACTCTCGCTGCCGACCTTCGTCGTGCTGCTCCGTGCGATGGAGCGGTCGGTCGGCCTCGCGCCGCCGATCCCGTCGCAGCTCGCCGGTGAGTCGGCCGAGGCCTGCGCGCTGTTTCGCCATCTTCCGGCGCTGCGCCTGCGGCTGGCATGGCGGTCGCTCGGCGCGGTGCGCACGCCGGTCCACTCCTGCGGCTTGAACGGCCGCTCCTTTCTGGTCAAGCGCGAGGACCTCGCCTCGCCCGCGTATGGCGGGAACAAGGTTCGCACGCTGCAGCACACCCTCGCCGTGCTCGAGGCGCGGCGCGCGCGCGCGGTGGCAGAGGGCGGCGCCGCACCGGGCATGCTCGTCGTCGGCTCCGGCGGGTCGAACCAGGTGGTGGCGACAGCCGTGCACGCGGCGAGGCTGGGCCTGCCTCCGCCCGACGTCGCGTGGCTCTCTCCCGACGAGCCCGACCTGGACAACTCGCTCAACATGCTCTCTGCGCTCTCGCTCCCGCTGGGAGGCAGAGTCACGGCGTGGGGCGCGAGCGCCTCGGGCACGCTCACGCTCGCCGCCTCGCTCCTCGGCCTGCTACCAAAGCTGGCGCGCGGAGAGGTCGTCTTCCCGATCGGAGCCAACACCGCGGCGGGTGTGCTCGGGCAGGATGGGCGGCGCTGCTCGAGCTCGCCGAGCAGGTCTCATTCACTGTTGATCACTGTCTCATTCATTGTGAACCACAGGTTGGCGCGATGCTCGAGCTCGCCGAGCAGGTCGCAGGCGGGGAGGTAGCCGACCCGGGCCGCGTCTACCTCCCCGTCGGCTCCGCCTGCACGCTCTCCGGCCTCGTCCTCGGCGTCGCTCTCGCCCGCCGCCTCGGCCTGCCCGCCTTCCGCGCGAGCGAGTTCGAGCTCGTCGGAGTGCCGATCCACCACCTCTTTGCTGCGGCGGAGCGCACCCTGCGCCTCCACACCGCCGCGCCGTTCTCCGCGGTGCGGCGCACCGCCGGCCTCGCAGCTGCCAGGCCCCCTCCGCACCTGCCCGCCCCCCTCCCGCTAGGTGCCGCTCACGGTGGGGCATACTGTGAGGGAGGGCGCGGCGGCGCTCGCGCAGCTCGGCGGCCCAGACGTCACCGCCGAGGCGCTGGCCGTGCTGGAGAGCGAGGTGCGCTTCGTCACGCGGCCGGACCTGGTCGGCCTGTACGGCGCGCACTCGGCCGTCTCCAAGGCCGCCGCCGCGGAGTTCGACGCGGGCGCGCGCGTGGCGGACGGGGCGGGAGAGGCTGCCCCCACGCCTTGGATGTGCGGCCACTTCTGCGCCAAGGCCCTCGCCGCGCTGCTCGAGGAGCTCGACGCGGCGGGCGCGCCCGCGGCGCCCTCGCTGCTGTGGCAGACAAAGTCGCTCGTGCAGCCGCGCGGAGAGCGAGACGAGTGGGCAGCCCTCGCCGCCATGCCCTCCTCGGTCCGCCGCTGGGCCGCCGAGGGGGAGGCGCAGTCGTCGCTCCGGCCCGGCTGCGTCCCTGCAGAAGGAGCCGCGCCCGACGGGTACCGGCACCTCATGACGCGCGTCGAGACGAGCCCCAGTAGAACGGGTGACTGAGGTGTTCTCCGACTCCGTTCGGAGAGATTTTTTGAAAACTCTCTCTTTCCGTTCGGTGTGTCGTCTGTGGATCTTTAACAGAAGAGTCTCGCAAAAAAGAATGATTTAAAAAGCCTCTCTCACAGCACACTTGACACGACAAGGGCGCGGACTGGCGCAGACTCTTCGCGCAGGGCGCGCCAAAAGAATTGGGCGGGATCTCGCGCCACCGCTTCCGCACGAGCTGCACGTGCTGCTGGGACGTGGCGTCCTCCGCGAGGATGGCGCCACGCTCGCCGCTCGCAGCTCCCCTCCTCGGTGCATCTGAAGGTCAGCTCAGTGGAATCGGGTTCACAGCGGCGGTGCTCAGCCTCGTCAAGGGCTGCATCGGCGCCGGGGTCATGGCTCTGCCGTGGGCGACGATCCAGGGCGGTGCGGCGTCGGCGCCGGCGCTGATCCTGCTCGGCGCGTGGAATGGGTACACCGGCTGGCTGCTGCTCGACTGCGACGCACCCGGCTCGTACTCGGACCTCGTGCGCCTCGCGCTGGGTCGCGGCGGCGTCGTTCTCCTCGAGGGCTCGCTGCTGGTCGTCCTGTTTGGCGTGTGCGTCTCCTTCCAGGTGCAGGCGGCGACGCTGCTCTCGAGCCTGCCCTCCCTGGGCCGGCTCGCCTCACACGACGTGTACGCCCTGACCACCGGCGCCGCCCTCCTGCCGCTCGTCCTCCAACGCTCCTTCTCCGGCATCGCCGCCATCTCGATTGCCGCGCTCGCCGTGCTCTGCCTCGGCCTCACCGCCGTCGGCCTGTGGGGCCTGTGGGCGGAGGGCGCGCCGACGCTGCCGCCGCAGCTGCTCGAGCCTCCTACCGCGCACGGGTTCGCCGACTTCCTCGGCGTCGCCGCCTTCTCCTTCGGCGGCCAGGTCTTTGTCCTGCCCGTGCGGGACGCGATGGCCAGGCCGCGGCTGGCCGCCACCGCCGTCGGCGTGTCCACGGCCGCCATCCTGGCGGTGTACGCGGCGGTGGGCGCGGGCGGCGCGTCCCTCTTCTGGCGGGCGGGCGTGAAGCAGCTCGTCCTGCTCAACATCGAGCCAGGCTCGTGTGCCCGCCCCTCCCTCGGCTCGTGTGCCCGCGCCACGCACCACGCGCCACGCACTGACCTGGACCCCGGACCCCGAAGGCTCGCCCTGCGCCTCCCTCGTCTACTCCTGCTCCGCCGCCGTCGCCCTCCTCTCCGTCCCCCTCGTCTTCGTCCCGCTCGTCGGCATCGCCTCCACACTCCTCCCCGCGTTTGCCCAGCCCAAAGCACCAAGCACCACTCCTGACTTCTTAGGCATCGCCTCCGGGCTCCTCCCCGCGCCGAGCGAGCCGCGCCTCTCCGCACTCGCCCCGAGCCCGCAGCCACAGCCGATGCAGCCTTGGCGGCGCGAGGCGCCTCTGCGCGCTCTCCTCCTCCTCCTCACCTCCGCCGCCGCCGCCGCCACGCGTGACTTTGGGCGAGCCAGCCGCCGCCCCCCTCCCGCCGCGCTCCCCCTCCCTCGCCACGCCGCCCTCTCGCCCGCAGCCTGCTCACCGGCATATCTCCCCATATCTCCCCATATCTCCCCATATCTCGCCCGCAGGCTGCTCACCGGCATCCTCGGCTGCCTCGCCAACCTGTCGGCGCTGCTCCTCCCGCCCCTCATCCACCTCCGCCTCCGGGGACGCAGGCCGGCGAGCGCGGCTCGGCCGGCGGCCGTCCGCACCGCCCTCGCCGCCACAGACGCGCTGCTGCTGCTGGCGGGCTTCGCCTCCTGCGCCGGCCCCGCCCTGCTCATCGTGCAGCAGCTGGCGAGGCGCGCGGGCGAGGAGGGGCCGGAGGGCCTGCCGCCCGCCCTCGGCGAGTGATTCGCCGGGGGGGGGGGGGGGGGTCGGCGGCACGGACAGCTGCTCCGTGCTCTCAAAACGCGGGGCGGACGGCGCGCCCCCGCGCGCCGCGGGCCTCGGCCTGCTCTCTCATGCTCATGCTCTTGCTTTTTGAGCGCCGCCTGCTGCGATGAGATATTTGCGTGCTAGTATTTGACTAAATATACGTCACCGACACTCTCTCCTCACAGGTCGTTGGCCGTCAAGTAGTGGCTAAAGTCCGTAAAGTGCAGGCAGACCGACACACACCCCTCGACCTCGACGACTTGCCCCGGAACGAGCGCGGATACGGAGCCCTTTTCACCAGATGGTAACCTTCACGGCTGGAAGCGGCGCAGCCGCGGCGGCGCTCGCCAGCTGCTGCTGCTGCGAGCCCGGCAGGGGACTGCTGTCGAGTTCGCGGAGCGCAGCCGCGAGGCTGGTGCAGTCGGCGGACCTGGCGCCGGCACTGGCGGCTAGCTGGGGCGCGAGCGCGAGCACGCGCTCCCGCTTGTCCTCCGACGCGACCAGCTCCGCCAGCAGCGCGCCCTGCAGCCGCTCCATCTCGGCCGTGTGCCGCTCGTGCTGCCGTTGCTGCAGCACGCCGACGAGCGCGCAGAGCGTCGCGGGCACGACCAGGCAGGCGGTCCGCCTCGCCGCGCGCTCGCCGGCAGCCCGCTGAGCAAGCGTCCCAGCCGCACGCGCGCCGGCGGACATATACACACGCAGCTCTTCCCGCTCGTACAGCAGCGAGGCTGTCGGTCCTCGGCGCGGCGGACCAGAGGCGCGCTGTAAGAAACTAGGAGCCCGCGTGCGAAATTTTTTTGAAAGACCAACAAGAAATCACGACTTTCTCAGGGTGCGAGCGGAAACCCTTGGAAAGGCCAAACGCCGACCCCTTGCGTGGCTGAGGCTTCTCTCGCCTATCTGCGTACACACCTCCGCCGAGCGAGGAGCTTTTTTGAGTTAAGAGCCGGTACTATTCGGTTTTCCACAGTTTTTCAGTGTATGTAGCTCTTACGTACATTCCCGTAGGAGACTCTGCTGACAGGGTTTGCGATGAGGAGCGACCCGAAGGGTTTCTCAGAGGTTAGTGCATATGTGACTCGCCGGACGGACATTAAGCCAGTCGGACGGTAATACGAAAAAGTCGTCCGACGTCCGGCGTCCGGCCCAAATCTGCTGCCGTCCTTTTGCCTTTTTCGGTCCGTCGCCAGACAGACTTACGAGTTCACCGGACGCAGCGTCGCTACCGCCCCATTTGATTGCGCGCGATGCTCTCGGGCCTGCTGCCGTGCATCGCCGTCGCCGCCCGACCCGCCTTCCAAACCAGTGAGGAGCTCCTCGCCAGCATCCTGCAGGCGGGTGGGAACGTGGGAGCCACCTGTCTGACTGGCGAGGGGCGAGTACTCTTCGGGCAAGATGCGGGGCGCAAGCAGCGTCGGGCGGCGGTGCTGGCCATCCTGCACTGCATCATCGCCAAGAGAGACAAGAAGCAGAAGCGGCGGCGGTCAGGCCCTATCCTGGGCCTGATCAGTCAGACCGTACGCGAGCACGGCTTCTGGGCCACGGTGGCTCACCTCGACGACGTGCGGTTTCAGCGCAAGTTCCGTCTGTCACGCAGTGCCTTTCGGGACCTGTGCGTGCTGCTTGGGCCGCACCTTACGCGTGAAGGTGGTCGAGGCGGGGCGCACGCCGGACATGCCGCCCCGCCGCTCAGCGTCGAGACCAAGCTGTCTGTGGCCCTACGCTTTCTTGCGGGAGCGTCAGTCGAGGATCTGGACAGGTATGGAGTTGAGCGCAAGAGCAGCATCATGGGCTGCTGCGTCTGGCCAGTCGTGGGCGCGATCCACGCGTGCCCCGAACTGGAGTTTCGGCACCGTCCCTGAGTGCGTCCCGCCTTGGCGGCACACACTCTCGACGAGGACAGTCCGGCCTACGGGAACGTGTCGCGCGCCGGCGACGATTGCGGCGTCGTGGTTTCGAGTACGAAGCGAAGATGGCACTACCACCGCCCTGCATCGCAGACCGGGCAAGGAGGGGCCTGCTCCCGTTCCGCGAGGAACAGGAGGTCTCCCCCCCTCCCCCGGCCTGAGCAGCGACGGCTGGAAGGCAGCCCCTTGAGTCGAGGGCGGCGCGACCATTGCTCTGCTCCAAAGACCAGAGGCCGAGGTCAGTGCAGATGGTCACGCCGCCCCGCTCCGCGTCGCCCGCCCGCCGCGCCGCGCCGCCGCCCAATGATGATTAATTAAATTAATAATGAAGTAATTACCCCACCCGCCGCCGCGCCGCCCCGCCCTGCGTCGCCCGCTGCCTCGCCGCGCCGCCGCCTCGCGCCGCCCGCCGCCGCGCCGCGCCGCGCCGCCGCCCGACGATTAATAATTAATAATTATTACCCGATGATTAATATGTGTGAGTGTTTGTGTGTGTGTGTGTGTTTGTTTGCGCGGTGGCAGGGAAGGGCAGGGCATCCGCGAGCGGCAAGTGGCGTCGGCGACGCGGCGAGGGCACGATGGTGAAGTCCACGCGGCAGCAGCCCCGCCGGTGGCCCCACGCCGCATCAGCGGCGCTCTGAGTGAGTCAGGCTGCGCTGCACATCCTGCTGAGCACGCTCCCGACGAGCGTCGCGCCCCGCGGGCCCGCCGCAGGCGACGCGGGCGGCGAGCCGATGCGCGTGTCTAGGCGCGTGTCGTAGGCGTAGGCAGCGCTGGCGAAGCGAGGCGGCCGGCGCCGGCCCCCGCAGGCGGTTGCAGCGAGAGGAGCGAGGTAAAAGACACTGTTGAAAGGTTGGAGAGCAGCCTGACGTCGAGCAGCGCGCCGCGCAAGCCCGCTGCCGGCGACCCGATCGAGAGCTCGTAGTCATGGTAGTATTCAGCGCGCCATCGCGCCCGAGACAGCCCGCCCTGGCCCTGTAGGCCTTCCCAGACAGCTTGTCGAGGCTGTACAGAGTGCCGAGAGCATGCTGGGCAGGCTCCCGTCGAGCGACGAGCCATGCTGGCTCGTCGCGGGTCGCGAGCTCGAAGACCCGCGCGGAGCGTCGCGGGCCAAGGCTGGCGTGCCCGCCCGCACGCCCGCGGCCGTAGGCAAGGAAGGCGAGCTTCCTGGCGTCTATGCCAGCGCTCACATGCCAAAAGACACCTCGCAGCGCGCGTGACGTGACCGAAGCGGCACGCCTCGGCGCCGCGAGAGCAGCCGGTCGACGTCGGCACCAAGCTCGCGGCCGCCGGGCGCCTCCGAACCGACAGGGGCGCCGCGGCAGTAGAGAGCACTCCACCCGCCATACCGTTTTTCTGCTGGCGGGTCGAGCAAGTCAACTGGGCACGGGACTGGTGCGCACTGGCACTAACACAGTACATACGTAAAGAAATAAGCACAGGCAGACGGAGTCCTTTCAAAAAATAAAGAAAAGGGAAAAGCAAGAAAGAAAACAGACAACCCAAGGGAAAAGAAAGAAAGAAAAAGAAAGAAAACAGACAGCCGAAGGGAGGGATACCCAAAGAAAGAAAGAAAACAGACTTACACTGAATTCTTCAAGGCGCCGAAGTCTGTCGCGCCGTCGGCCCGCATTCCATCACAGCTCTGCACCGCACGGAGCATTATGCCCGTCGACCGGCACGTGTTGGCGAACGAGCGGACGCTGATGGCGTGGCTGCGGCTGGCCGCGACGATGGGCCTCGGCGCCTTCCTCGTCAACGTCCTCCAAAAGTCCTCGTCAAAGGCCGCGCTCGGGCCGATGTCGCTGGTCCAGTCGCTCGTGGCGATCATCATAGCTGCCGTGTCGCTGGTGCGCTTCTACCAGCGCGACTACCTGCTAAAGTCGCGGCACATGGGCGCGGCGTTTGGCGACTGGATGCTGCCCGTGCTGTCTGGCGGCATGATCCTCGCCATCGTCGTCTCTGCGACCGGAAGCGCAATCAGCCGGTGGGCGGAGTGGCACTTCCACGGCCCCGAGTGCGTCGCGCTGCCCGGCTTTCTCGAGACGCCCGGCGCACCGCGGCCGCACGTCTACGTCTCCTTCCACGGCTCGTCCGAGCCGACGTCTGCAATCTGCCACCCCGAGCAGGGCGTGTCTGGCATCCACAAGTTTTCTCTCGCGAGCGGAGAGTACGTCGGCCCGGCGACGGACCAGCTGAGCGCGGTGCAGAAGATGCCTCGCCAGCTCCTCGTCGCGGGCGACCACCTCCTCGTCGCCGACGGCGCCCCCTCCATGTCGTCGGTCGCCGTGTTTGGGCGGTGCGTGCCTCCTGAGCCGGACCACGTCTCCGTCCCGCCGCGAGAGTTCCTCGGCGTGATCAGGTTAGTGACTAGTAGTTAGTCATCAGTAATCAGTAATTACTAACTACTAATTAGTAGAGAGTTCCTCGCCGTGATCAGGGCGCCGGCGCAGGACACGCGCAGCGCGGAGGGGCTGCTTGCGCACGGCGCGCCCGTCACGCCCCTCGCGATGGAGCACCCCTACGGCCTCGCCCTCGGGCCGGACGGGTCGACGCTGCACGTCTCGACGCAAAACGGAGGCGCCGCCATCTCCGTCTCCCTCAAGAACGGGTCGATGGCGCTGACGCAGCAGGTGGCCCCGCCGGTGCCGCTGGTCGGCCGCCAAGTCGGCGGCCCTCTCCGCGGCATCGCCGTCGACGCCGCCAACTGTATGCACGTCGCCGACCGAAAGGCGCCTCTTGTCCGCCTACTCACTTGTCCGCCTACTCACTTGTCCTCCGCCGGACCCACCCCCAGCCCTGACCCCGACCCTGACTCACCCGGACAGGCGCACCGCGTCGCCCACTACTGCCCAGCAGACGCGCCGCAGCCGTCCGGCTTCACGGAGGTCAAGCACCCCATCGCCCTCTCCGTCGTACACGACATGCCGCACGAAGCCGGCACGCTGCTCGTCGGCTCTGTCGAGAAGCGGGCCTCGCTCGACGCAGACGGGTCCGACATCGGTGCGCCACGCCGCCCTGCCTCCCCGCCCCCGCCCTCTCCCCGCCCCCGCCCCCGCCCTCTCCCCGCCGGACACGCGGACCACACATGCACATGCACATGCACATGCACATGCACATGCACATGCACATGTCTCCAGGCGACGCCGAGGGGGTGGTCCTCGCCTTCCCGCTCGACCTGCACAAGCCAGTCTTCCCGCTCCAGGAGCGCCGCCCCGCCCGGAGGCCGGCACCTCGCCCCCGCCCCCGTCCAGCGCCCGCCCCTCCTCCCTCGTGCGCAGGTGTCCGCCACGTACGGCGACAAGAAGTCGCTCTCCCACCCGGCGGGCATGCTGGTGTCGGGCGGGCTGCTCTACGTCCTCGACCAGTCCTCGAAGCAGCTCCTCTCCTTCGACCTCGAGACGGCTAAGTACAAGGGCGCCGCCATCAAGACCCTCCCCGACGTCCCGGAGGACGTCGCGCTCGTCCCGGACGGATGCTAGCTCGCACCCAGACCGAGGACGGCCCGCTAGGTGGACGCCCCCAGCCGCCCGCGGAGGAGAGAGATCATTTAGTCCATAACGCAGTAACCGCGGAACGTGTTTGAGAGTTCATGCGAGAGAGATTGTGTTCATTGTGATGTGCGCCCACGCCGTCCGGCTAGGGCCGGCCACAACTCTGTCCGGCGTGGGACATGCATCCACTGCGCTTCCCCCCTCGCGCCGCGTCGCGCGCGGCGGGGGGCGTCTTCTCGTCTATGCCGTGGGCGGCTCCCCCCTCCCCGAGAGAGGGGGGCGGGGGGGGAGGTCGTCTCACGTTTGTTCATGTGCACACACAACTCTTTTTGTATGTGTAAGAGCTAAGCACTAAGAAAATACCAGTAACTCTACGACCCCTCCTCCTCAGTTCTCGCGGTCGCCTCCACCACTGGCACCGCCACCGCCTGCTGGTGCCGAAAACTTGTTTCGGCTGAGCCCTCCCCCTCACCGCGTTTTACTCCTCGCCGCTGCGACCCGTCGCCGTCCCTCCGCGCGTGCCGCTGCCGTGGGTGACTCGGCCACCACCGCCGTCGAAAGCGCCGCAGCGAGGCGCGCCGCTCCTCGAGCCAGCCTCGCATCGCTTTCGGGAACCGCGCCGGCCCGCCCTCCCCCTCCTCCTCCTCTGCGCCGCTCTCCTCGGGCTCCGCGGCCGCCGGCTCGAGTCGCTCGACAGACCCCGCCATCGCGAGCAGCCAAGCGGACGCCTTGTCGAGCCACCCGCTCGTCTTGCGGGCCAAGTCGCGCGCCGGCAGCAGCACCTGCTGCCTCTGCAGCACCGGCAGTGCGCGCAGCAGCTCCGCCGGAGGAGGAGAGCCGGTGAGGCGAGAGAAAGCCTCGGGGAAGGAGAGCGCCTGAGCACGGCCAAACGCGAGGGTGAGGAGACGCACTCCACAGCGACGACGCGTCGCGGCTCGAGCGAGCGCCTCGGGCGCGTAGTCGCGCTGCAGCAGCCGGCTCTGTAGCGCCGCCCACCGCTCGCCGTTCGCCTCGAGCCAACGGTCGGCCTCGCGGGCGAGCTGCGAGGCGCGCCTACCAGAGACACGTCCACGACACGTCCACGACACGCCCACCGGCCCCGCCTCGCGAGCCGCAGGCGCTGCGAGCGGCGAGGCGCGCCTGCATCACACGCCACGGACGCGTCACTCACGGCGCCTGCAGGCCCCCCCCCCCCCCCGCCTACAGCCGCGGGCCGCGCCCGAGCCGAGCCACCCACGGCGCGAGGACGAGCGAAGTCCACCTCTCGAGCCGCGAAGAGGCGAGGCGCGGGCTGCGCAGCACGACCAGCCTGCGCGCGCGGGAGGGCCGCAAGGTCAGGGCGAGGGGGGCGGAGGCGAGGCGAGCGGCTGCGGCGGCACGGCGCCGCTGCGCGATCGCGTCGAGCTTCGGATCGAGCGGCGCTCCTGTGCCAAGAGCGATGATGAATCAGTCAATGCCAGCGGCGATTCACCTCGCCGGCCGAGCGGCGCTCCGACGACGAGCTCGTACAGCTCATCGAGGGAGAGGTTCCTAAATAATAATAACAACAACAATAATAATAATAAGAAAGAGCTCGTACAGCTCGTCGAGGGAGAGGTTCCTAACGCACACAGTGCTCAAGTGCCGGATGCGCGAAGAGATGGGCGCGCGCAGCTCGTCGGGCGAGAGGGGTGCCCGTCCGAGTTCTTGTCTGCTGCGGCGAGCAGCGCGGAGAGCTCCGTGTATGAGGACGACACGTTGAGCTGGACCGCCGCCGAGGCCGTCTTCTCGAGCCGCTCGGCGAGCTCGAGCTGGAGGACCTCGGTGAGGGCCCGGGTCAGCTCGTTCTCGACCACGTCCTGCACCGACCCCATCGACGCCTGCAGCTCCTCCCGCTCCTCCTGCAGGAACTTGTCGAGGATCGCCTGGGTGCTCAGCGCCGCCTCGCCCGGCCGGCGCGTGGTCACGCCGCGGATGATACGGCTCACGCGGTCGTCGAGGTTGCGCCGGAGGCGCTCGGCGGTCGAGGCCGCCTTCTCCTGCGCGTCGCGGCTCTCGTACAGCGCCGGCACCAGCCGGTCTCGCACGTCGCGGCTCGTCAGCTCTCGCGAGGAGATGCCCACGACCGAGAGGAGCAGCCAGCGCGGCAGCCCGGTCGCCAGCCTTGACCCATACCGCTCGCCGAGCACGATTGCCCGCGACGCGTTCCGGTAGTGCTCGTTGCGCACCGGCGACGAGAGCGACCCGGCACCCGCGCTCACATCGAGCGCCCAGAACTGGATCGCTGACGGGCGCGAGTGCACGTGTGCCGGCCCGCCAAACCACGCTCCTCGCACAGCAGTGCAGAGGAGGAGGACCGAAGCGACGCGGCGCATGCGCTGGCCGCAGGCTGTGCGCGGAGCGTGGTTGCGAGCAGCGAGCGCGGTTTGTTTGGCTCTCCTGTCGCCCAGCAGCGCGCGCGACGAAGGGCGGTTTGGAAATAAAGAAACCCTTTTTGTCGTGTGCAAATTTCGGCGTCTTCTGCCGCAGTCCCTTTGCTGGACGGCCCCAGGGTGGGGGCCACCTCGACTAGGGGTTCGAGCGGAGGGTGCCCCGCTGAGGGAGGGTGTAGAGGATGTAGAGTGTAGAGCGCTGTAGAGCTGTAGAGATGTAGAGCGCTCTGGAGCGCTGTAGAGCTGTAGAGCTCTACATCCGCCGCGGGACGAGGCGCGTGCGTTGTAGAGCGATGTAGAGCGCGATTTTGCTGTAGAGTTTGTTGTAGAGGCTCTACAGCCAAACCGCCGGGAAGGCAGTGACTCAAAGAGGTCGAGCCGCGCTAATGGGGTGTCTCTTGGGGCAAACGTAGATTTCCCGAAATATTTTGAGAAATATGACAGGCTTGTTCGGAAGGAGAAATTTCCGGAAATTTACCATACCTGTGACAAGATCCTACTATTCATATACGAGTACTGTTCCCAATCATACTGTGCTCACTCAGCCCACGCGGCGCTCGTTGATGCGGAGCATTAAGGCCGTCTGGATGATATCTGCCAAGGTCTCCATTTGTTGGTCGCCGAACATTGACTTGAGCATGGAGAACACACGCTCCGCCGCGGCTGAGTTGGGCGTGAACGCGAAGATGATCTGCGCCGCCTCCGCCCACGCCGGGAACTTGGATGCCTTCCAGCGCTTCCTCGGTTCGCACTGGCGAGGCAGGCGCAGACTGGATGGTTGTCTCCTCCTGCGGTGCGGAATCGCCGGCAGCGGCACCTTGCAGGGTGGCGAGGTACTCCGTGTCCATGTCGTCGTCGCTCATTGCTTTCGAAGGTTGAGATTGGCGTGGGTTTTGGTGGCAAGGTTGACGCGAATGACACTGACGCCTGAATGACACTGACGCCCGATGACCTGCTTGACCGGTGACCGATGACCGCTGACCGCTGACCGATGACCAGCGTCAGCCTCTCCGCGGAGGCGCACCATCACTGCCGCGCGGGCCTGCCGGCTCAAGCAAGGCACGGCAGGCCCGCACGGTGCCTGGTCCAACATGGGTGTCCAACATGGGCGAAACGGAAAGGGGCGAAACTTGAGGGCGAAGAAATTTCTCGCAAATTTGCCGTGGTGGGGCACGAAATAAAGACGAAATAAATGAAAGAAATATCCTTACGCTGGGCAGGAAATCTACGTTTGCCCCAAGGTGTCTCCGAGCTTACTGGAGCTCTGATCGACAGCCCTGACTATCCCTGACACACAGAGAGTCACTCCGACGGCAGCGCGCGCGTGAACAGGGCTCTGCCACTCCCCTCGATCGAAGGGCAGAAATTAAGGAAACACGCTGGCGAAGCCGGCAGCCACGCAGCGGCAAGACACGCAGTGGCCGCACTGCGGCGGTTGAACCCCGGCCCGTCGACAAAAACGCGCTATCCGCGCGCGGCGGCGGGCCCTCGCGCCAGTCGCGCTCCCCCTCCCCTGACTCGCCGCCCGCAAAGCGCGCCTCCTCCGCCGACTCCTCCGGCTACGACTCCGAGACGCCCGACGAGGTCCAGACGGAGGCGGTGCGCAGGGTGTGCGGCGCGCTCGGCATAAAGGGAGCGGTTCGACGCGGCGCTGGCGGCGGGCGAGCTGCCCGAGCTGCTCGAGGGATTGCCGTGTGGAATGGTTGAGGCCTCCATCGGTCTCATGCGGGGGTACATGCGCACGGGCAAGTGGCCCGAGCCCACCCTGCCCAGCCCTGAACCGGAGCGCGGCCGCTCGCGTAGTAGCTCACACTGCCCCTCAGAGTGGTCGGAGGATTAGTGCCCCAAGAGCGAGGACCCCGAGGGGAGCACCAATAGCAATAGGAGGCCCAGCCTTGCCCTCGTGCCGCCGAGTGTGTATCCTATGCGAGAGAGATCCCGAGAGCTGGGCGCACTCTTCGACTTGGGCTATTATCTGGCCTCGGGAGGGCGGCGGCGGCGGCGTAGAGGCGGCGGCGAGCTCCCGGTGGCAAATACTCGCCTCACGGTCCAAGATGGCGGCTCGCGCCCCCGGCCGTGCTCTGGCGTGCCTCTCTAGTCCCGCCTGCCACCCAGATACCGAGGGCGGGGCGCACTCTTCGACTTGGGCTATTATCTGGCCTCGGGAGGGCAGCGGCGGCGGTGTAGGGGCGGCGGCGAGCTCCCGGTTGCAAATACTCGCCTCACGGTCCAAGATGGCGGCTCACACGCCCAACCATGCTCTGGTGCGTCGATTGGGTCGCGTCTGCTGCCCGTGTCTCTGTCTTATCGGCGCGACGACAACAAGCTACCCCTAACCCTAACCCTAACCCTAACCCTAACAACCCTACCCTAACCCTAACTCGAGAACCCTAACCCTAACCCTAACCCGAAGAACTCGGAGCATTCACCGAGAGCTCGCGTCAACGGACCGGAGCATGCTCCCGCTGGTTCCTCCATTCCGACCCGAAGCGGCCCGTTCTTAGGAGCTGCACAACGGCTTGAACTCTCTGACCCTAACCCTAACCCTAACCCTAACCCTAGCCCTAACCCTAACTAACCCTAACCCTAACCCTAGCCCTAACCCTCGGCTGTGGGTCAGGCTGTGTGCTTTGCTACCACCTACCTTCCTTGCTTGTGTCTCCCGTGGCCGGAGGGTTGGTTGGGTGGTGGGGATGGGTCGGTCGGTGTGGGTGGGTTATATCGCCTCATCAGCCGGGTGGGCCGTGCGTGTGAGGTGGGTGGGGATGGGTGGGTGGTGCCAAGCCTCAGCCGGGCCGTGAGGTCGGTGGGATGGGTGGGTGGTGCCAAGCCTCAGCCGGGCCGTGAGGTCGGTGGGGTGGGTGGGTGGTTCCAAGCCTCAGCCGGGCCGTGAGGTGGGTGGGTGGGTGGGTGGGTGGCTCAAGAAGCTCCGTGCACGTGAACGGATGTGCTTAGGCACGTGGGTTTTGGAGAAAAAACGGAACGCTGTTGCGCTGGCGGGCTGCAGCAAACGCGTCCATGCGTACCTATCTTCCCATCGCTTGCCAGCTTTGCGAGTCGCGTGTAAATATCACCAAGAATTGCGACTCGCCGCTTTCCTCCCGCTGTGATTCTGTGTGAGCTCTGTGTCTTGATTTGCCAACAATACACCTATCCCCCCACCCCCTTGCTCCCCTCCCCCCCTCGGGAGGGCCGAACTGAGGCGCCCGTGGGGACCCCGCAATTCCCTTCCCCCCTCGGAGGGGGCCGGACGGAGGCGTACCCCGTGGGCCCCGCTCTTTCCCTCGCATAGCGGCCACTCTTCGGATCGCCGCTGGTCGAGCGACCCGGGGGATGCCCCGCGCGCCTGACCCAGGCGCGAAAACGAATCTGCGAGGCGAGGCCGCTCACGCGGCCCGATGGGGAGGAACGGGGCGAGCCCCCTCCAACCCACCCGCGCTAGGTCTCGGGGGACGAAGGGGTCACACCCGACGACCTCGGGAACTGGCCGGGGCAGTCGGAGAAGTGGCAACTCCGTGCACTGACGGTCGGCCGCCAGAAAACACGCCTCCGTGGCTCGGGTTACACCAATCCTCGCTACCCAACGCGGCCAAAGGATATCCACCTCGAGAACCTCGAGAACACCTACGAGCCTCGTAACCAAACGTAGAGGCAGCTCATCAGAGCACGCGAATGCGTTGCTCGTACGCTATCGCCTCGCTGCCAGCCCTCCTCCTCCTGCTGTACCAATCGTGGCAGCCCAGTCCAGTGATTGCGCCGCCGGTGGTGCGGCGGCCTCAACAACTCACGCAACGAGCCTGGCAGTCTCGATGGGCACCGGCGGTGGCAAGTTCGCACTCCGCCATCCGACCGGCAGCGAACACAGCAGCGCCTTCCGACCCGGCCGCGACACAACCGCCGCTCTTGTCACACCAGTCCGCCGAGGCTCGCCGCGCCATCGCGATGGCGCTCGCGGAGCCTATTCCGCCGACGGGCGACGGGCGGCGGGGCGGCTACGACCACCAGGCCAACGTGCAAAAGGAGTCGGACACGGTGAGGCACATGCTGGCGCAGGACGGGTTCGAGCAGTGGTCGCCCGACCCGAGCCTGCTCCCGCCGCAAGCGCCCGCCGGCGCGTCGATGGACGAGCTGCTCAGCGCGGTGCCGCGCGCCGGCGGCATCGCGTGGCTCGCGTTTGGCAACTCTGGCGCGACCGAGATGCTGCTCAACTGGGTGCACCACGTGATCGCGCTGCGCAAGGGGCACGCGATGGTCGTCGCCTGCTACGACGACGGGCTCTTCGTCCACCTGCGGAGGCTGCGCGTGCCGGCGTACAACTACTCGGGCGCCCTGCCTCCGGTCCACTTCCGCGGCACCCCCTTCCTCTTCCACCGGATGGGCTTCCTCAAGGCGATGACGATCAAGGAGGTCCTGCTCTCCGGTGTCGAGCACAGACAAACACAGATGGGCAGGCGCATAGATCGACTCAGTCAAGGTCATGCAACACGGGCGTAGGTCGGCACGTCCTCGTCTCGGACTCGGACGTCGCCTGGGCGAAGGACCCGACGGCGGAGCTGGCGGCGCTCGCGGCGGCGGGCGCCTCGATCGCGCCCTCGACCGACTGCCTCGACGCCGCAGCGGACGCCGACAAGACGCCGCGAGGCGCGTCGCCCTTCATGTGCGGCCACAGCCCGGGCAACACCGCCGGCGCCGTATTCAACACCGGCGTCATCTTCCTGGCGGCGAGCAACTCCACGGTCGCCTTCTGCGAGCGGTGGGCGCGGTCGACGCTCAAGCTCGAGACGTGGTGGTCGGACGACCAGGGCGTCTTCAACCGGCTGCTGACCGCGCGCGGCTTCTACCCCGTCCGCGCCGCCAGCAGCGACGGCAGGCTCGTGCACGGCCCCGACGGCCTCGTGCTCGGCCCGCTGCCCGCGCGCCGCTTCTGCTCGGGCCACATGGTCTGGATGCAGCAGGCGGGCGCGGCGGGCGAGTGCGCGTCGGTCCACGCCACCTTCACCGAGTTTGGCGACGCGGGCAAGCGTTGGCGGTTCCTCGAGGCTGGCCTGTGGGGCGCCCTCCCCGCGAGGTACTTCAGCGAGGGCCGCTACCTCTCCTTCGCGCCTCCCAAGCCGCCGCCCGACCCGCGGCCCTGCCATAACGGCGAGGGGCTGTGGCGGCCGGGCGGGCCGGTGCCGCGCCCGTGCGGCGGCGAGGACGCGTCGCACGGGCTGGGCGGCAAGCGGCCGGGCGGAGTGCCCGCCGAGGAGGCGCGGCGGCGCTCGGTGCGGCTGCGGGCGAACCTCGAGCTCATGCGTCGCCAGCTGCACGCGCTTCGCGACGCGCTCGCCCTCGCGTACGTGCTCAACCGCACGCTCGTGCTGCCGCACTTTGATTGCCTCTGCGACCGGAGCGAGCTCGTCGACTACGTCCCCTCGTGCGTCTACCCGGGCGCGCCGCCAGGCCTAGCGTTCCCGAGGAAGTGCTCGACCCACTTTGTGCTCAACATCCACAAGCTGCAGTACTTCCTCGAGCCGGCGCGCTACGCCGCCTCAGCGCCGTGGACGACCCGCAAGCCCGCGCCGCCGCTCTCCCTCCGCGCCCACTCCTTCCTCGCCGACCCGCGCACCGCGAGCGCCATCACCGACGCGCCGCAGCGCGTCCGCGTCCTCGGCCGCCCGCCGCCCGTCGACGAGGCGCACTGGCCCGTCTCGCGCTGCTCCGCGCCGCACGACCGCACCTGCTCCAGCGTGCTCGGCGCGGGCGACGCGGCCTTCGACCCCGCGGCGGCGGCGCTGGGCGCGGGCGACGGCGAGCCGGCCGCCCCCGACGCGCTCTCGCTCCGACGAGGCGCGACCAACCGCGAGGTGCTGCGGCTGCTCGACGCGCCGGCGGTGCGGTCGGCGCGGCTCGTGACGCTTGATGACGCCGAGGGCGCCTTTGGCGGCTGGGAGAGCGACTTTGAGCAGGCGGCCGGCTTCGCCAACCTCGAGTCCTTCTTCCTGCTCGGAGGCGACTGGTGCTGCTCGAGCCGCGAGGCAAACGTGGGGCGGCTGTATCCTGTCGATCCGCCGAGGCTGCGCGTGCCGGCGAGGGGCTCTTGAGTCTCCTGTGGTCCTGATCGGCAGCGGAGGTTGTATAAGCAGGCCAGCCCACAATGTGTTCCCCTTCCCTTGCGCCTTGGTGCTTGGAGAGAGATTTTTTTAGCAATACCTTAAAATAGGATGTTACAGGTGGGGTAAGATCCGTTAGCGGGAGATCGGCGGGAGCTGCGGCAATACCAAACAACTTGTTTTGCGCCTTGGCGATCCGGACATCCGGTCATGCATCAGAGAGAGAGATTTGAGAGAGAGAGAGCTCTTCTTCTTGAGATTTGAGAGGGTAATTTCTCGCAGCTGCGAGACAAGTTTTCTCGGAGCGACAGCCTCAAAGACAAAAGGGTGGATGGGTGGGGGACGATTGCGGGCGAGCGCCAGCGCGCCCCAGGAACGGTGGGGTGCCCTCGACCGCGCGTCCGAGTCACTTGGGCGGACGAGCGAGCGGCACATGGCCCGACAAAGAGAAATCGGAGTCTGGCGACGAGATCGATAAAAGAAGTGCAGCGTTTCCTCTGAGGTGCCTCAGAGGTGCACTACACCTCTGAAGGTGTCTTTCAGAGGTGTACTTCAGGAGCAGAGCTGACGTCAGTCTGTGCGCGCTCCCTCTCTCCTCGTCGAACTTGGGAACGAGGAGGAAGAGTTGAAGCGCGCTCAAAGTCGCCCTCTGCGAGGGTCGCCAGCACTCGCGACCAGGCTGAGCCGGTCAGCGCGAACGTCAACGGGCAAAGAGCGAGAAACTGCGGGTGGCCCGGGGGCTGCTGGCCCGCGGCGCCCTGGCGGCAGCGCGCGAGAAGGGGGGCCGCGGCGGCGCAAGGGGCCGCCTTGCGCGGCGTCCCGTCGGAGCCGGCGGTGGTCGCCGTCCACCCCAAGAACTCGGTGGCCTCAAGAAGCGGGGAGCTCTCGGGCATGATCAAAAGCATGGTGGATCCCGTCGGGTCCACCTCGGCGTCAAAAGAGTCGGCCATCGTGGCCTTCGGAAAGGCGCAGAGGGCGTCGAACCCACCACCATCCCCTTTCGCCTCCTATCTGTCTTGTGTGTGCCTTGCTGGGGGGAACAAACGGCTTCATCGCAAAGCTGCCCCCAGCAGGCGTCTTGACGGGTATCAAAATTCTTCCCTACGAAAGAGGCCAACGGACCCGAGAAAGAGATTTTTAGCAATACGAAACAACTCTAACACTCACACGTAATTTGGGGCCTGGAGCCCTGTTCACGCGCGCGCGAGACGTGCAGACAGGGTTGCCAGGTGAGAGCGAATGGCGCGGTTCACGCCTCGCACAACATACTTGGGCGAGTAGGCTGTGCGGTTTTTGAGATTTTTTTGTTTTTGAGATTTGTGCATCAGAGCACCTCCGGGAGTTTTGTGAGGACGGAATGTTTTCTCGGCAAACGACCGGCCCAAAAGTGAAATGAGCCCACGGCTCTACTAGTGTAGCCAAACGTCAGATTCGACTGGAGAGTACCCGGCATGGGCCGGGGAAAACCATCGAGTGCACGATGTTCACACCCTGTACAGGGGAATCCTGTACTGGGGACGGTCGCACGAAACCTTTACGGATGGTTTCAATGCTCGACGTCTCGTGCCCGACTCTGACTCGCGCGACTGCTTTTGGCTGCTCGTTCCGCATTCTTCTATGGCAGCCAGTACGGTCACGGATCCTTCGTCACAGGGCGCGACGACGCGGCACGCGGCGCGGCGCCGCGGCAGTGACACCCGTCATGACGACGCAAGCCTTCTGGGATCACATCGCTTGATTCTTGGTGGATGGGATCAAGAAGGCGGTGTAGACGCGTGTGCGGAGGTGGTCGCGCCGTCCGTCACCTCGCAACGGACGCGGGGGACGCGGACTGCGGCGCCTCGTCGGGGGACAGGGCATGCAGGAGCTCCAGTCAGGCATGGAGAGAGGGCATGAGGAGCTCCCGTCAGGCATGGGCGAAGTGTACAGGGAGTGACGGGGATGCTAGAGGCGGCGAGTGGCAGCATCAGACAGCGGCGCTGTCTTGCACCTGTCGGACCTGGCACTGGTGCAGCAAGGGGTTTGCCTCGGGTAACGGAGCAAAGCGCCGCACAAGCCGCTGAGGCCGCTGACTGAACAGGAGCTGGTGAGATGCTGCGTACGGACTCGACGTGCTCGGCTCTACGGCATCACGTCATCGTGGCTCTGACGAGGCGCGCGGCACGTCGTGAACGCGGTCGTTCTTATCCCGCCATCAGCAGGACACTGAGGCCGCTGCACAGGACACTGAGGCCGCAGAAGGAACAGGCCTGCACAGCTGCGAGAACGACTACTCTCCCTTCATCTCGAGGCGAGATCGCGATCTCGGGCGATCTCGGACGATCTCGAGCGAGTGGATGGACATGGACTCGACGTGGCCTGCGTGATCTGATGTCGATCATCACGCCGTCGAGACTCTGGCGAGGCGTGGGGCGCACTGGCAGCGCCGCCGCCGCCCACTCATCCTTCATCTCTGGGCGAGATCGCGATCTCGGCGATCTCGGGCGATCTGGAGCGAGATGTCGGACATGGACTCGACGTGGCCTGCGTGATCTGATGTCGATCATCACGCCGTCGAGACTCTGGCGAGGCGTGGGGCGCACTGGCAGCGCCGCCGCCGCCCACTCATCCTTCATCTCTGGGCGAGATCGCGATCTCGGCGATCTCGGGCGATCTCGAGCGAGATGCCGGACATGGACTCGATGTGGTCTGCGTGAGCTGATGTCGATCATCACGCCGTCGAGGTTTTGGCGAGGCGTGGGGCGCGATGGCAGCGCCGCCGCCACCTACTCTCCTTCATCTCGAGGCGAGATCGCGATATCGGGCGATCTCGGGCGATCTCGAGCGAGTTGATTGACATGGACTCGATGGGATCTGCGTGAGCTGATGTCGATCATCACGCCGTCGAGGCTCTGGCGAGGCGTGGGGCGCACTGGCAGCGCCGCCGCCGCCCAATCATCCTTCATCTCGAGACGAGATCGCAATCTCGGCGATCTCGGGCGATCTCGAGCGAGATGTCGGACATGGACTCGATGGGATCTGCGTGAGCTGATGTCTATCGTCACGCCGTCGAGGCTCTGGCGAGGCGTGGGGCGCGAGGGCAGCGCCACCGCCACCTACTCTCCTTCATCTCTGGGCGAGATCGCGATCTCGGGCGATCTCGGGCGATCTCGGGCGAGATGTCGGACATGGACTCGACTTGGTCTGCGTGATCTGATGTCGATTATCACGCCGTCCAGGCTCTGGCGCGGCGTGGGGCGCACTGGCAGCGCCGCCGCCGCCCAATCATCCTTCATCTCGAGACGAGATCGCGATCTCGGCGATCTCGGACGATCTCGAGCGAGATGTCGGACATGGACTCGATGGGATCTGCGTGAGCTGAGGTCGATCATCACGCCGGCGAGGCTCTGGCGAGGCGTGGGGCGCGAGGGCAGCGCCACCGCCACCTACTCTCCCTTCATCTCGAGGCGAGATCGCGATCTCGGGCGATCTCGGGCGATCTCGAGCGAGTTGATTGACATGGACTCGATGTGGTCTGCGTGAGCTGATGTCGATCATCACGCCGTCGAGGTTTTGGCGAGGCGTGGGGCGCACTGGCAGCGCCGCCGCCACCTACTCTCCTTCATCTCTGGGCGAGATCGCGATCTCGGGCGATCTCGGGCGATCTCGGGCGAGATGTCGGACATGGACTCGACGTGGTCTGCGTGAGCTGATGTCGATTATCACGCCATCCAGGCTCTGGCGAGGCGTGGGGCGCACTGGCAGCGCCGCCGCCGCCTACTCTCCCTTCATCTCGAGGCGAGATCGCGATCTCGGCGATCGCGGACGATCTGGATCGAGATGTCGGACATGGACTCGATGGGATCTGCGTGAGCTGATGTCGATCATCACGCCGGCGAGGCTCAGGCGTTGGGTGCGGGCCCTCGGCGGGAAGGGGCTTCACTCGCCGCTTCCGCCTCTACCCCCTGGTGAACCCCCGGGGTGGCCCTGGTGATGGGTAAGCGTGCCTCCTCCTCCCGCGCGGCCCTTGACCCCGGGCCGCCGGGAAGCTCGAGGCCCCCACTCATGTAGCGTCTCTTCACTCGGATGCTCTGAACGGGTTTTTACTTCTCACACCATTAAAGAAAGAAATACAAAAAGCCCCCCCACTTAAATCGGCCAGCCGCCACTCCGCTTGTGGCTCGGCCGATTTTGCCCGAGTGGTCAATTCCCCCCACACACTTACTTAGACGAGACACGATCTCTATCTCAACATATCTCCTTCGACGCCGCATTTCCAAGTTTGGTGCCCGAGTGGTCAACTATGACCAAACTTGGTCGGTTATAACCGATGGCGTCCACTCGATCGAACCTCGAGACCCCAGTTCGAGACCGAGTCTCGAATCTGTGTCATAATGCGGTTCGTATGCGTACGTCCGTGTGTGTGTGTGTGTGTGTGGTGGGGGGGGAAACACGTGTGAACACAGTGTGTGTGAATTCAGGACGAGCAGGCAACCCTAACCCGTAGCCAAATTGGCACTCGGGCGTGTGCGCGCGTAGACACTACTCCTTGCTGTGTGTCCCTACGGCATATTAAGATGCCGATAAATGCCTCAAGAGCCGAGTGTGGGCCGGAAAGCCCAGCACTCTCTCGCCAGGAAGCATCGCAACACAAAGAGCTACCCCGGCTGCTGGAGGCATCGGCGCGCCCGCTGGCCAAGGTCGAACAACTAGTGTTCGATTCGCCAAGACGGGGGGGGAACCCGCCGCATTTGCTTCGAGGTGGGGCACAAGCACACAGTGCCGGCGCGAGCATCTCATCTCTCTGATTGGCCACAAGCATGCTCTCGCCAGTGCGGTCGCGCCCCCCTGGCGACGAGGAGTGGAGCCTGCTCTCGTCGTGCATCGGCGACATGGAGGAGACCGACCTGCTCGCGTTTGACGAGGACCTCGCCGACGCCTCCGTTTGGGAGGAGAACGATATGGGCACGGGGCCGGACGGTGCGATGCTCCCTGCGCCGCCTGCGCCGCGCTCCCCCGGCCGCGCGTGGCATCAGCAGGGGGGGCGGTCAGCGCGCGCGCCTCCCCCAACCCCGCAGGCAAGATGGCCATGCTGCCCGAGTGCCCGTCGCCCACGCCTATGTCGCCCATCTCCAAGCCGCTGCCGGCCAACCCGCCGAGGTTGCAGCGGCAGCGTGGCGGCGGGCGGCGGCGACCGCTCTCGCCGCCGCCGACACGGGGCCGCGCCGCGCACGACGAGGGAGCTCGGACGCCGCCGCGCCGCCAGTGCCCGCTCAACCCTCAGGGCACGCCTCGCGCCGAGCTGCTGGGCCTTTCTCCGTCGGAGGTGCTGCGGCAGTGCGGCGACACGCCGAGCCGGGAGGCGCTCGCGCGCGCGTCCAGGTCCAAGGGCGGCACCCGCGCGCTCCGTCGCGGCCTCGCCCAAGACCTCTTCGGCGAGGCGCTGGACGGAGTTGCACTCGACGGCGTCGGCTCGAGCCTCGACCTTGCGCCTGAGGAGACGCCGCCGCCGCAGGGCGGAGGCGAGCGACGCCGCACGCCAGGCCTCTCGGTCGCTGCGCGCGGTACGCGGTCCGCCTCACGCCCGCCCCCCTCCCTTCACCCTCCCCTCCCAGGCTTGGGCGAGTGCGACTACCGCGGCGTGCCTCGGCTGGTGAGGAAGCTCTCGTTTGGGGCGCCGCCGCTCGCAGAGGAGAGCGACTCGATGGAGCGGGTGAGCCGGGACCCCCCCTCCCCCCCCCTGCCTCGCCACTCCACACGCACCACGCACCACCGCCTCCCCCCCCCCCCCCCCCCAATCGCACTCGCCGCCCACCAGAGCCACCCGCCTCTCCGCCCTCCCCCTCTCCCACCCCTCCCCCGCGCCGCGCAGGTCAACCACTCTCCGAGGCCGCCGCAGCAGCGCGGCAGGGCAGCCAGGCCGCCGGCGCCGCCCAAGCCCGCGAGCAGCATCGGCAAGCGCGGCGCCGCGAAGCGAGCCGCGCCCGCGCCGAGCCCGGCCGCCGCCCCCCCGGCCGCCGCCTCCCCGGCGAGTGCTGCGGCCTCGGCAGAGACGCCCACCAAGGGGGTGCGCGGCTTGCGCCGGGTCGGCGAGTCGCTTCGCCCAGGTGCGCCTCGCCATGGCGAGTCGGCCGCGGCGGGCGGGGCCGAGGGCGGGGAGAGGCGCTTGGCCGAGGGCGGCGGCCTCGCGCTTGGAGCGGCGCAGCCGGCTGCGCGCGTGTCGTTCGGCACCGTCGGCGGAATCACGCTTCTCACCCCCGCGGCCAAGCGAGCGGCGGAGGCGAAGCCGGCTAGCAAGCCCGCGACGGCGCCGCCCAAGCGCCTCTCCCCGCGCCGGCTGGTCGCGCACGCCACGCCAACCGGGCGGCCGGGGATCACCTTCCGGAGCATGAAGCCGCGAGGCGGCAGCTTGGGCACGGCCGGCGACGGCAAGTGAGAGCAGCCGGCCTTGCTCGCGAGGAGGTGGGCGCTTGCCGCTTGGGAGGAGGCGCGGGGGGGGGGGGGGGGACGGCAGCATTTAGGCTGCTGCCCCTCGGCTGCCTCGTGTAAGCTGAGAAGGTGGACACGGGTTGGTGGTGGTGCTGCTGGTGGGGAGATGAGTGTTGTAGGCGTGCGACGGCAATGGGCGGATCAGGCGAGTGTCGTCTGACCCGGACCTAGCTGACGATCGGAGCGCGAGTGGCGTTTGGCTTTTGGCATGTTGTGCGAGTATATGGGACAAAAGCGTCGAAAATGTCCCAAAGAAGCGTGACTCGAGTTTGTGGCAGCCCCACAGCCGGCGCGCGCTGCCAGGAAGCACCGCTCGCGTGTCGGCGGCACTCCCTGGCACCCAGTGAGTGCCGCGAACCGACCAGACCGCGAACAGGCTCGACGCCGCGCTCGCTGTGGGGCTGCCACAAAGTCGCCGCCGAGCGTGCCACCGAAAGCGTCCCTTGCTGTGTTGATAGGGGTCCCGTCGAGCGCGCGAGCGGCGCTCGGACGCCGCACGCCGGCGCCCGATATCGCCTCTGTCTCGAGCACACCTCGCGCCCGCCCGCGCGCGCGCCCTATCCGCGCGATACATAAAGCCGTATTAGTAGAACCAAACTTGTGTGGAAGTTTGGGTAACACACGTACCTTAAGGTATGTAGACAGAACTTTTCGCGCGATGCGGGGCCCCCGCCCGCCGCCCCCCGGGCCCCGCCATGTGGCTTCCTCCTATCACCTATGCGTGAGCCTCTATGGCGTGGCCGCTATCGAGGCGAGCACCGCGCCTGACGCGCGTGCCACGACGTGGCCGGGCGGGCCGAGCCCGTAGCTGTTTGCAATGGCGGGGTCGCTGAGAGACGCAGACGGGGGATTAGAGTGACGTTATAAACGAGGCACGGCTGCTGAGTGCGAGATTATTACGTTAGATCGAGAGCGTTCTCGTCGTCTCTCGCGACCCCTGTGGCCTTGCTTGTTGCTTCTCCGTGCCTCCACCCTCCAGACTGTCGGGATGCGCGCGCCAGGTCGCGACACATTCGCTACACTAGGCAGAGATGATGGGTTTGGCGGGCGTGCTGTCCCGCTCGGCGCTCGTATCATGCACCAGCGGCAGCATCTGGTTCGTTGCTTCTTGGTCCGATTCGTTTTCCTGCTCCCGCAGTGGCGCCTGCTGGTACGACGCAGCCGCCGCAAGGCAACACAGCAGGCATGTGAGCCCGAGCGGCGAGGCGTGCTTATCCCAGATTAAGATATTGATCAGCACCGTCAGCACCTGCTCAAGAGTCGAAGGGAGAGCTCAACCAGCAGTGGTGCAGGGGGTTTGGGGGCGAGAGTGCGGGCTCGCCTTGCACACATTGCCGATGACGGTGAAGGAAGTGGCGGAGACTGCGGCACGGCAGAGGAATGCAAAATACGACATGGCAGTGCCTGGAGGCGGGCACGGGGCTCAGTCAAGAGACTCTTGTGTCTGCGCCGGTGAGGGGAGCAGTCGGGACTCGCCGAGCACGCACGAGACGGAGAGCGCCGCAATCGCCGCGGGAGTGAACTGCTCCACTGCGCCGTTTAGGAAGATATCCCTCTCGGTGGCAAATGTGAGCGCGGTCAGCAGGATCGAGGCGACGAGGTTGGTGTAGAAGACTCTCCTGCGCGGGTGCGTTGGGCGTGAATGTGTGTGGCGGGGTCGCCCAGCGGTCAGCTGGTGGTGGGGTGCCCCCAGTTGGAGTCCACTTTGACCGTGTCGACGACGAACTTGATGTAGAGCTGGTCAAAGCAAAAGATGACAAACCAGATGCACACCCACTTGTACCCAGCCACGACAAACTGCGCGTCGGTCGCCACGTAGAAGAAGGCACCGCCGACCAGGGCCATGATGGCGAGCCAGGAGCGCAAGCTCGGCAACTGGCGGCCCATGAATACTGCGCGGGTAGGAAAGGGGGAGTGCTCACCGGGCAGACGTGGGCGCAGCGGGATGTGACGTGCCAGGGCCACTTACTCCAGTCTGCGATCGAGATGATGACGGGTGTCGCCGCGCGGAAGACGATGAAGGTCTCGACGTTGGCGTACTGCAGCGTCTTGATATTGGCAAATATTGAGGCGAGGAACGCGACCGCTACCGGCGTGAAGGAAACGAGCTTACGCCACTCGAGTGCGTCCACCGTGATGAGACCGCAGAGGCCAAACGCCTTGACGGCGACCCACGAGCAGACGACCTGTGAGAGCAGGACAAAGGACGGCGCTGGGAGGTAGGCCACCGCCAACTTGTTGCAGATCAGGAGCAGCGAAGAGCAGGTGGCATAACCCGCGACGGCGATCACTGTGGCCCCTGTCTGCATGGCTACCGAGGGTGTCTGCATGGTCGGGTTGTTCCGGCGGCCGGTTGAACTTCAGACAGAACGCGAACTTAGGACCGGAGCCGGGACCGGAGGGCCCCGGGTGAGGCCTGGAGCCAACTGTCAAGGGAGGGGAGAGTCGAGCTGACTCGGCCTCTGCGAGTGGAGTCGGGCCGTGCGAGCCCACCGGGGGTAGACCTGTCGCGGGGGCGGCCGGACCGCCGTGATCTACGGCGAGAGAGACCGCGCCTCCCTCCCCGAGCCTAGTGAGTGAGGAACCGGCGGGGGGGGGGGAGGGCGAGCCGAGAACGATAGAGAGGCCGCGGATGCGGGCGCGACTCGCCGACCAGGGAGATCCGGCCCGACCTCCCGGGGAGGGGTGGCGACGAGACACGATGCCGCCGCCCTCGCCCGGGGAGACCCCCGCCGGGCCGTCGATGCCCTCGGAGTCGGTGGAGCCGAAAGAAGCTGGCGAGGACGAAGGGCGGCAGCGGAGGAAGCGGCACCAATAACGAGGGAAACGGCCACACCGGCCGTCGCATGACGCTCGGGAGACGAGCCAGAGAGCGAATCAAGGAGGATCGGGACCCTGGGAAGACGGGGGTTGAGCCCTCAGGCGGGGGGGTCTACTCAAGTGGCCTGTGCGAGTGAGTGCGGAGTGGTGGTGTGGGGCGTGCAGACGTGCAGTGTGGTGTTCATTAGCTCCGAGTAGAGGGGGCGTCCTGCAGTTAAGGGGAAACCCGGTACGCGGGGCCAAGGCCCTCGGAGACCCGTGTTTACTTTTACGGCCCTTGCCCTGCGAACGCGCACCCCCAGGGCTAGGGCTCTCTTGCCCGCAACCCGATCCCGATCATCCGCCCCGCTGGGTGCGCTCCTCAGCTCCCCGGCCCTGGATGTGAGGTTAATGACTGCACTCCAAGTGCTCCAAGTGCTTAGGATACAGTGTGGGTTGCGGGCATTAAGAAAACAGGATGCCCGGCACGGCGCCGTTTCTATAAGCCTTTCCACAGCCCTCATCCACCCCACGCCGTGGTTTCTTAGCTCCGGCCGGGTATCCCATGACGAAAACGAAACACGCACCAGGCGACTGCCTGAGAACGCTGGATCGAATCGAGGAGGCACCTAAAGCAAAATCGAGCCCGCTTCAGGTGAGAAAAAAATAATATAGTAAGGGTCGGAGCCGGTTTCGAACTGGCGACCTTCACCGCTCGCGGAGAGGGGAGCCAGCCAGAGATCGGTTCATGTGAGAGGGGGGCCGTACGTGGCGGCCTATATAGCATAAAATAAAAATAAATATAATAAAAAAACCGGGGGAATTAGACACCACAGTATACGCACACACAGACGCCCGAAGTGCCAAGAAGGACGTCATTAGTACGAAACCTCAGAAGGCCATGGGCGCCGAGAGAACATTCCCCCGAGAGCACAGAAAAAGGCAAAACCGAACCTCCTTCCCTGGTTCCCCCCGCCAAATGTCGCCGTTCTCGGGGCATGCTATCCTGTGTAAGCAGGGCAGGTGGGGGAGGGGGGCACTCCCCCTGGTCTGATACTGGGGTGTGACTGTCTCTAGCGTCGGAGGCAAGGGCGAAGCTAAGAATATTTAATCTTAGCTCCGGCCGGCACTCAAGCCAGAGAGAGCCGGCCCGAAGGATTTTTATTTAGGTAAGAGGTACAAGCTGCGGTCCGCGAGGGCGATGCCAGAGTCTGCCGCCGAGTCGGCTCTCTGGATGACGGGAAAACGCACACACACGCGTCCATCTACTCCACTCAGAACACCGCAGACTTGGAAAGTGACAAGTGCGCGCGCCGCAGGCGAAGAGAAATTTTGAGCTGGGGCTCCCATTCATTCACATTCGTGTCCGGCCTTTTCTCGGGGCCGCGCCTGCGGCGCCCGCGCCGTGGTTTCTTAGATTTTTGCGGAAATCGCTCGGCGTGGACCGTGGTTTCTTAATGCGATGTTTTCTTAATGCCCGCAACCCACTGTACCCATCACTGAGATGAAGATGCTACGGGTAGCGCCAGGGTGGCGCCCATCGCCATACCCTCGGGCCATTGCCTGCGCCCTCGCGCGCTAGCCCACGCCCTGCCCCGCAAGATCTCACTCCATCCCGGCCTGCGGCATACCTCGGCATCCCCTTGCACGGAATTTCAAAACGCCCAGCCAGGTTCCCTCCCTGCTCAGATCGGCGAAGCGCCACACAGTGCCACGCAGTGCCGCGTAGTGCGGCGTGCGCGCGGAGCGTGCGCGGAGCGTGTGCGCGCGCGTGCGCGGCGTGCGCGGGCGTGCGCGGGCGTGCGCGGGCGTGCGCGCGTGTGCGTGTGCGTGCGCGTGCGCGTGCGTGCGCGGCATGCGCGGCCAGGGCGCAGGCAAGTGCCCGAGGGTATTGGGGTGGGCGGCACCCTGGGGCTACCCGTAGCATCGTCGGCTCAGTGATGGGTTATCCTTAGTCTGCGAATTTTTCCTCGCCGTCCGGGCGCGGAGGCCAGACCAGGAGGAGAGGGAGGAGAGAGGGAGAGAGGGAGAAACGGACCCCGCACTAGACCCCGCACGTCTAGCACTCTAGCTAGATTCGACCAAGCAAGTCAAGCAAAATCGCTCTAGATAGACACGTGTCCGGACTTATAGAAATCGCTAAAATCGCGCCGCAGGCGCACTGGGGGACGGCTAGGGGCGAGAAGGCGGCCCGAGGGCGGAGAGCCTGTCAGCCAACGGGGGAGCTTCTCGCCTGAGGCACGATCCGGAGGTACGACACGGCGCCGCGCGCGTCGAAAGTGCAGTCGGACTTGGATGGAGCACTTGGAGTGTTCTTTAGCGACCAAAAATGAAAAGAAAGAAGAAAGCGAGGGATGGGAGGAGCACAGGGTCCCCACCTCAGGATTTTGGAAGGACGATCAGGGGGGGTGAACCTTCTTTTGTACTACTAGGCTACACAAAATGCGCCTGCGGGCGGACCCTTACAGATCACAGATCACTAGGCTAGGATTGAGAGCAGCCTCGCTCTCAATCCTAGAAGTCGAAGGATTGTGAGCAGCACTCCTCGGACCTCGCAATCGTAGCATCTCTGTGCGATTGTGAGCGCCTACGCTCGCAATCCTACATCTTCTAGGACTAAGAGCAGCTCCGCTCCCAAGGTGACTGGTGACGCCCACGACTACTACCAGCGCGCTCACAATCCGAGCAAACTCTAGGGGTTGCGAGCAGCTTAGGCCTTAGCTCACAATCCTAGCAACATGCCTCCGATTGCGAGCAGTAGCGCTCGCAATCCTTCATCTTGAGGACTATGAGCGGCGGTGCTCACAATCGTACCAAAGATCCAAGGATTGCTAGCAGCCGCACAGGGGGCGCTCCCAATCGCTCCAGCCGCGAGCGCTTGTGAGTGAGCGCGCCGGGGGGGTCTCCTCACATTCCAACAGTGATCGCACCGATTGCGAGGGGATCCTAGAAGTCGTAGGACTGTGGGCGGTGTCGCTCGCAATCGGCGAAAGTTCTAGGATTGCGAGCGCTGCTGCTCGCAATCGGAGGCTTGTCGCTAGGATTGTGAGCAGTGCTGCTCGCAATCCTAGACTTTGCTCGGATTGCGAGCGCGCTGGTAGTAGTCGTAGGCGTCACCAGTCATCTATGTCATCTTGGGAGCCGCGGAGCTGCTCTTAGTCCTAGAAGATGTAGGATTGAGCGTAGGCGCTCGCAATCGCACAGAGATGCTACGATTGCGAGGAGTGTGCTGCTCACAATCCTTCGACTTCTAGGATTGAGAGCGAGGCTGCTCTCAATCCTAGCCTGGTACAAAAGAAGGTTCACCCCTGAGGAGGGTACCACTCTGACCTGTTCCGACCTTGATCCGACCGTGATCAGACCGAAGCTGAGTACTGACCTGTTCCGACCGTCATCACTTTGAACATGGTCGGATCAGGGTCGGATCAGGGTCGGAACAGGGTGAGCCCCGTGGTGACAGTCCTATTTCCGGACCTTGATCCTTTCGTGATCAGCCCATGTTCTGACCGTGTTCGGCACAGCGTTCGAACACGGTCGGGCAGGTGCTTGGCGGGTGCGGCTGGGAGCGGCTTTGGAATCAGGACCCCTCAGAATTGGGTCTATCTACGAAGAGGGGGTGGCTTTGGTCACGATCGGGACGGATGACACGTCTGATGCAGACATGCGGTCACCCTCGCTCGATTCCTTGTTTGTTGAATGTTGATCCCCTCCTCAATGCCAGTGCAGGAGTGATAACCCATCGAGGTGGGAGCCGCCTGTTCACAGCCTTGTTATTGACAAGAAAATACGTCCTATGGCGCTTTGCGCTGGTCTGTGAGAGGTTGAGGTGCGAGCCCTGGAGGCCCTGGGGATGGGGGGAGACTACCCGCGGGCCTAGAAGGCCCGCGCGCAAGGGGGTGGGACATTGAGACCGGTCATGAACGAGTGCGCGACACGCATGTTGCGAGCAGCGTTGTTGATGTTCTGCGCGTCGCGCGAGAGCTGTTCACACAAAACACAACATAACGAGCTGTTCACACCAAAGAAGATCTTAAAAGAAGCACGTCTCAAGAGTGGAGTCGGACTCCCCCATGTCGGCCCGACACGTCCTCCTGGGTGTTACAGGCAGCGTCGCCGCAGTCAAGGCGCCGGAGCTTTGTGAGGCGCTCCTTTCGCACGGCGTCAGCGTCGACGTCGTTCTCACCGAGTCGGCGGTCAAGCTGCTTCAGGCTCGCTCGCTCGTCTGCTTTGGCGGAGACAAGCGCCGGGCTGACGCGATTCGCTGTCCCACGCAGGCCACGTACCGAGGCGGCCAGCCGTGGGAAAAGTTGCTTGCCCTCACCACAGAATATGCCGAGCGCTGTATGACGGCCGCGGCTGCTGGCGGCGGTGCCAGCTCCGGCGGCGGCGAGATCCCGGCGATGCGCATGTACCGCGACAGCGACGAGTGGGCGGCGTACGGCGCGGTTGGAACCGACCCGGTCCTGCACATCGAGCTGGCCAAGCGGAATCGACTGCTGCTGATCGCGCCGCTCTGCGCAAACACACTGGCGGCCGAGCAGCCGCGCTGCGGTTCCTCCTCCGCTGCAAAGTCCGGCTGAGTCTCCTCTCTTGCCGCAGGCGAGCTGCGCGCTCGGCCTGTGCGGCTCTCTCCTCGGCTCCGTCGTGAGAGCGTGGCGCCAGCCCCACGCGCTGCCGGCCGACCCCAGGCCACAGGAGAGAGAGAGAGAATGTGTGTGCTCTTCTCAGGTACTACGACCTCGACGACGCGTTTGCGGCGCCACTCAAGGCCGCCTACGGGCCGCGCTGCATCGAGCGGCCCTTTGTCGTCGCGCCCGCCATGAACACCTTCATGCGCGCGCCCACACCGCGCCGCACCTCCTCCGCCACCCCTCCTCCCCCCACAGAGGGGAGAGAGCCCCCCCCCGAAGCCCTCCAGACAAGCTCTTCCCTCTGGGCCGGCAGGTGGCACCAGCGAGTCACCTCGCAGCACGTGGAGGTCCTCGCGGGGCGGGGCGTGCACGTCGTCCCGCCGGTCAGCAAGACCCTCGCGTGCGGTGCGCAGCGCGCGCTACTCCCTCCCCTCTCCCGTCGAGCCGCCGCCCTGCGCCTCGCCGCCTGCCCACGCTCTCCTCCCGCCGCAAGGCGACACCGGCATGGGCGCGATGGCTTCCGTCGAGGACATCGTCCAGACCACTCTTCGCTTGCTGGAGGAGCACGTGGCGGAGGAAGAGCGCGCCAGAAGAGAGGGGAAGCCGATTTTTACGCCGTGACGCGTGAGAGCTGAGAGGCGCGGGCCGTGGGTGTGGCGCGCTGGCGTGCGCGGTCATTTAGTCAAACAAGCCGAGAGGCGAGAGATGACCCCGACGCGAGGCTTCGCGCCGGTCCCGAGCCATTGGTTGTGAGCGAGCCGTCGGGTGCGCCGACACACCAAACACACAAAAAGGATATACGCACACACGACACACAGTAGACAGTACACCGACACACAACGTCCGTCCACGCCGCTCAGGCCCCCGGGTACCACCCAATTACAGATCACACCTGGGGTGGCGGGGCGTGGTGGCCGTGCAGCACCCCTGCGAGGCGGCAGAAGTCCATGGCCTTGGCCATTGGGTCGGTGGCAGCGGTCGGGTCGTCGTGCTTCCAGTAGCCCAGCTCGGAGAACGTGCCACGCTCGACCCACCGCCGCTCCTCGCCATCCGCAATCGAGGCAGCAACGGTGTCCTGCAAGACCTGCCGGCGGCGGAGGGTTCGGCGGTGAACGTGCATTGTGGCGGCTGCACAGCACTCGCTCTCTGGTGCGTCGGACGCACCAGGCCCTCGTAGCCGGCAGGGAGCGGGAGGTGGCGCCCACGAAGCTGCCGCCCTCTGAAGTGGGCGGTGCGCCCTCCGTCGCTCGCGGCCTCGCTCGGGTGAAAGTAGGCGGAGACGGGCGCCGGCCCAGTGGAGCTAATGTCGCACGGCAGCAGATTTGGCGTGCACTGCGGCGTCTTCTCCTCGGGCTTGACGCAGAGCACCGTTGAGCCCGTCATCTTGGGCTTGTCGCGCGCACCGTTGAGTCCGCACCGTTTTTGCCTGACCGGACGATTTCTTTCTTTACCCTTTTGCTACCGCGTTGGTGTCCAGTCCGAGCCTGGCTGTTCTTCACCTTTCTACCTACCTACCTTGCTTCATACCGCTCAAGGTGAGCAAATCTCGATATATCTCCAGTCGTAGCGGTGGAACTTTTTTTTGGCTCGGTCAATTATTTAGCCATATATGAGAGGATCACGGCACAGTGTCGTTTGAGTCGACAGTAACTCTCCCACAGCCCACGTAACTCCGTCTTTTTCAGGCACCCGGAGCCCTCCGCGGCCGCTTCTACGCCGGCGAAGCACCATCAAGCTGCTGTACGGCCCCGGCATCGCCTCCCCTGGCTTAGCTCTCCAGTCAAGATATTGTGCACATGGGTGGCCTCTACAATATACTCACTGACACTGAACCTCCCAGAGGTCGTCCCGGTCCGTCACGGCCATCCTCGTCCTCCGGCGGGCCCCGGCCGCGGCGCGGTGCGGCGGCGTCACAAATCCGACCACAGAGCACCGGGACGCGGTCGGGCGATCTGAGGCCCAGGTAGGCGAATGCATTGCCCATCCAGGGCTATCACCTGGACCTATCAACAGGCGCAAACAGGCGCCTGCGGCGCCGTGCTCAGGAGTTGGTTTTCACTCGCTCGAAATGTGTACGTAAAAGGGTTAAGGTCATTCACGGGTGTCCGCGCGGCCCACTGTGCCCGCTGGTAGGACAGTGATCGCCGCAAACCCTGTGGTCAGCTCCATATGATCTCGATATTTTTTGTAGGCACCGTAACACCAAAAAACTACTATGTCTTCGAGTGAAAAGTAATCCGAGCAAGCACGCGGCCGCAGTGAATTAAAAGGGGCGGTTTTCGAGGGGGAATCTGGAGAATCTGGGAATCGGCTCACCACGGACCCCCACCTCCTCGAAAAACTTTTCACTCCAAGACATAGTACTTTTTTAAGGTGCTCTACAACCTAGGCACAAAAGATATGGCATTGCAGGCAGGCCATTTAGGGCCCCTTAGACGATCACTGAGTAGGCCGAAATCCCCACTGGGCCGGGAGCAACCTTAAATTGGCACGATGATTAAAATGAAGCACGATTGATTCATAGGAAGGCGAAGAACAGTCTGGCACGGACTGGCACGAAATAAGAATTTAACACCCGAGCCGGTCCATATGCAATATCACGCTTGGGAGTCGTTGCCGCCGTGGATCAGCGCCTCGGGCATCGCGCCCGTAGAACATGGACATGGAGGCCGCCATCGCGACGATCCAGCGCGCTTGGCGTCAGCGGCGAGATGCCGCGTGCCTGTGCGCGATCTGCCTCAGCGACGCCTCGGACCCTGTCGCTTGGGACGGTTGCGGGCACAGCTTCTGTCGCACGTGTGCCGTGCGCTGGTCAAAGGCGTGCAAGGCAGCGAACCATCCGTTGAGATGCCCAACGTGCCGCACTCGAGGCACGGCGTCGCCTCGCCCCGCTCTCAAGATACCGGACCAGCGGGCCGTCATTCTGCCTCAAGGCGCTTCCGACCTCGTCTCGCGGAACATAGCAAGCCTCTTTCGCAGGATGAGGGACCGGACGCCGTTCTCGCTGCCTCCCCCGATGCGTCGGCGCCGCTCCAACTTCGTCGACGACACCAGCTACTCACGGCGAGTCCTACGAGTCTGACGAGTGTCGGTCCCGGTGTCGGCGGCGGCGCCGCCGGACAGCCCAGCGTCTTTACCCTGGGATCTCTCCGCTCGGTCCGGGGGTGCGTCGACCCTGCCATTACCCTGGCGGAGAATATTATTTTTGTTGTAGCAAACAATATTGTTTTATCCCCCCCCCCCCCCCTCTCCATAAACACGAGACGAGAACACTGGCTCTCACACTGCTCACTGGCGTGGGGGAGGGGGAGAGAACTTTCAACTTACCACTGGAGCGGCCGCACATTGCTCGGTACCCCCCCTGCACTTCTAAGCCCGTCCCTGCTGCTGGGGGGGGGGGGGGTCTGACCCCCCCAGCAACAAAACGCTTCTTCTGGGGGGGGGGGGGGGGGCCCGACCCCCCAGCAGCAGAGCGCACTGGACCCAGCTCCCGCCTCCCGCCGCCCCCCCGCTCCCGCCCCCTCGGCTCGTGTTTGAGCGGTACGCTCGAGGCGGTTGTGTTCACCGCGCCTTCGAGCCCAATACACCTTCGTCGTGTCGAGTGCTGGCGTTTTACTAAAGACTTGTGACCATGGTGAGTCTATCTTGTACTACCACACATAGGCGCGTATAGTGAGCCACTCACTCGGGCGTCTCGCTGGAACGTGTTGATCGATCAGCGCTGATCTCCCTAGCCTATCGCCCACCCGCTCGATCCTCGGATCGCTCGCTTGTCGCAAATCGATCGACTGAGCTGTCATCCCCTCCTCCTTTTCTTTTTTCGAAAACGCGCGCGCGCCCGTCGCGGCAAAACTGTCAGGTCCGCCACGGCGTATGATGGGCTGCGAGAGCCGTATCTTCCCTCTTGAAGCAGAGGCGCCGCGAGGCACGAGAGGCGTAGAAGAGAGGCTGGCGTGCCCCGCACCGCCCGGTTGGCAGTAGGAGGCCCCGCCGGTGAGACCACTGATTTTGATGCCCATGCCGACCATAAATTCTCGCAACTCGAAGTCGAACGCATGCTACTTACAGCTGCTGTCTGTACAGAGATGCCAGCACCCCCCACAGGCAGAGCGCTGCTGCTGGGGGGGGGGGGTCGGCCATGGGCTTAGGTGTGCAGGGGCCAAGCTGCAGAAACAAGCTTTCAGTGCCTACAAGTGTAGGCACTGGATTATCGTGCGCGCGGAGCGCGCTGGTGCTACCCGGACACACGCGCGGAGCGCGCTAGCTGGACACACGCGCGGAAGCGCTAGCTGGACACACGCGCGGAAGCGCGCTAGCTAGACACACGTGCGGAGCGCGCTGGCTAGATACCGCGCGGAGCGCGCTGGCACCTATGTGCGCGGAGCGCACCGCGGTACCGGTAGAGTCTAGACACATGAAGACAGTCTGTTGCAGTCAGTTGTGGCCACGCTGCTTCGAAGCTGGCCTGACGTCGTAGCACGCGTCTGGCAGACGCTGTGTCTCTGCCTTCTTCCGCGTCATGACCACACCCCGCTGCAGCGAAGCTCCAATGCCGCCCCTCTGTGCATGTGACCTGTCGTTGTGGTGAAAGCGGTCTTCCCAGTTGAGCCCGCCCCAGTTCTCGAGCGCACGGTTGATGAAGGGCACGGCGACGGCCGCATGTAGCGCCGCCCCAGAGACACGCGCGGAGCGCGCCGCTGCAGAACACGCGAGGAGCGGCGAGCGCGCCGCTGCACAGGCGCGGAGCGCCGCCACTTGAGATTGGGCCTGTGGGTGGGCCGAGTGGTTCCTCTAGCGTGTGAGTCAACTCTTAAATAGAAATCGCACCTCGCCCTCCTCAACCCTCAAAATTTTCTTCGGGGCGCGCTCCGCCCCAACAGAGAGAACACATCGTCAATACGTCAAAACCACACACTGACATCTGCGCACATTCCGCGCCTTCCCAACGGCCAAGTTACCGTACCGCGCGCCTCACCTCTCCCGTACACTCAAGCGTAAAGCCGTACACCCAAAGCGCGCTCAGCCCTCTCCGTCAGCTCTCGGCGAGGCTGCGAGCAGCGAGGCCGAGAGGGAGTCGAGGCGGGCCATCACCCGCTGCACGATGGAGCCTCGCCGGAGCCACTCCTTCCCGCCGCCCGCCTCCGCTGCACCACGCGGCGTCGGGGCCGCCGCGGCGTGGCTCTCGCTGGGCTGCTGCTGCTGCTCCTGCTGCTTGAAGTACGACTCGACGAAGGATGGCGTCTCGAGCTGCAGGATGACGAAGGAGAGCGACGAGCGCGGCCAGCCGCTGCCGCCGAGGCAGTCGCGGTCGACGAGCGACCACGCGTCCCCTCCCGCCTACAGCTCGGCTCAAACACACGTCCGGGAGAGGTCGAGCAAAGGTCGAGCAAAGGGAGGGACGCCGCGACCCCTCCCGCCCCTCCTCCCTCCCCTCCCGCCGAGGGCTCGGGCTCGGCGGAGGAGGCGTGCAGTCGCCCCTCGAGGAGCGGGCCCTCAAGCGCCCCCCCCTCCCCCTCCCCGACCCGCGGCCGAACCACCAGCGTCCAGCCGCCCTCGATGCACCCGTCCCCAACGCAGCCGTCCCCTCCCCCGCCCTCGCCGAGCGGGCAGCCGCCCCAGCCGCACCAGCTCGGACCGCCGCCCCCCTCGCCGTCCGCCTCGCCCCTTGCCCCCTCCTCCGCATCGCCCTCCTCCGCCTCCTCGAGCGCCGCCGCGTCCCCCGCCCCCTCCGCAGCCGCCTGCGCGGCGAGCACGAGCGCTTCCGGCGCGCCGTCCGCGACGAGGGTGGCGGCCTAGAGCGGCAGCAGCGTGCGGGGCCGTCAGCCGCCGCCCCGCGGCGGAGGGGAGGCGGGGCGTGTGCAGCGCGCGTGCGAGGTGCGCAGCTGTGCGAGTGCGTGCGGCAGCAGCGGCGCGTCCCACGGGAGCGCGTAGGCGGCGGCGAGGAGGGGAACCGCCGAGCCGACAGAGGCGCCCGACTGCATGAGCAGCAAGTACACCTCACCCGGGTCGTGCGCCTGCGAGCCATGCACACGTGGTGCGCGTGGCGACTCTGCGCTCGGGGGAGGCGCGCATCTCGGCGCATCTCGGCGCATCTCGGCGCATCTCGGCGCATCTCGGCGCATCTCGCGCCGCGAGCAGCTCGTCTCTGCGCGAGAGGAAGAGCGCGGCGCAGAGGCGGAGGAGGAAGGGGAGGGCGGCGTCGCCCTAGAGGGAGATGCAGTACAGTCAAACACTTGCTCTCGACCACGACTGGTGCCTCTCCCTCTGACTCCGAGCACGCCCGCCTCGAGGAAGAGACAGTCCCACACGCGCAGCAGCGCACTCAGCGGCATGGCGCTCGCGACGAAGCAGGTGAGCAACCACTGCGCCGTCACGAGGGAAGGCGCCACCTGCACCGCCCCGAGGTGCGCTCCTCAGCGGAGGCGGCCAGGGCCAGGGTCGGGGCTGGTGGTCGCTACGCTTGCATCGCTTCGAGGTGTCGAATGGGAATGCTACATTGCAGATTCGGGTTCATTGCAGATTCGGGTTCGCCGCGCCTGCATCTCCTCGAGGTGTCGCATCAGCTGCGGGTCTTTGGCGGAGAGGAGGCCGCGCAGCACGGAGCCGTCGACGAGGCTCATCGCCATGTCGTCGGCGAAGTGGCCCTGCAGCACCCGCTCCACCACCGTCGCGAGGCACGCGAAGGCCGTCTCCTCGTCCACCACCAGCAGCAGCACCGCAGCCACGAAGTTCATCGACTGGCAGTAGCCGACGCGAGGGTTGTGCGACGCGTAAGCGAGCAGCACGTTGCGGAGCGAGCTGAGCGCCTCCGCCTGCGGCACCCGGACGCCGCGCACGTGCACCTGTCCGGAGGCGGACTGAGTCCACGCCGCAGCGAGCCGCGGTCATGCATGTATCCTCGCGGGCGAGTGCGCGCTCACCGAGCCGAAGGTGCGGTGCAGGTCCTTTTCGATCTGCTTGGCCACCGAAGGCGGGCAAGCGCCCTCGCGTGCTGCACGCAGCCGCTCTCCGTAGCGGCCAGGCCGGAGGCGGACGGCGCGCCGTGCCGCCCGGCGCCAGAGCGCCGGTCGCTCGAGCGCTGCCACTTCGCCTGCCCGCGCGGCGCGCCGCGCGTCATGGACTGACAGCATTGTGCGGTCAGTCCATATACACGGGTCTCCTCCTCGCTGGGCTGCTACCGCCGCCACTCGGGACCCGCACCTTTCTTTTCTCCATCCGAGAGCCGCGATGGTGTTGTTCTTCACCTTTCTACCTACCTACCTAGCCACGAGCGACCGACAAGGAAAACAGAAATTCAGGCAGCGCGATGATACTCCACTACCCCCGGACGAACATGACGTGACCAAACGCACATGAGACATGAGTGGGCGGTGGGGGGGGGTGAGGTTAGTACCCCTAGAGCCTTACGCTTACCGACTGCACTCGAAGTGCTCCAAATCCGTCTCCAGATTTTTTTTAGATATACGCACTCCCGCCGCGGTCCCGCTCAGCTACCTGCGGCGCGCGCCCCCATCATCACCCCGCCCTGCGACTCCTCTAGGAAGGTGCGCTGCCTCTGCACGAGCGGAGCGGGCCACCGCCTGACCTCCACCAGCCAGCCGCCCTCCTTGACGTCGCGATACTTTGCGCACCCCGTCGAGATCGCGTCGCAAGCGAACGACCACTCCTTGATCGCCTTCTCGCGATCGCCCCGGTCCCACGCGTCCGCGGCGAGCAGGACGTGCAGGTCCGTCAGGCCCGGGAAGCGGGTGACGACCTGCCTCGCCACCCTCACCGCCTCGTCGCGCCGGTCGAGCGCGTAGAGCGTCACGGCCTCGCCCGCCCGCGCGAAGGACGACTGCTCCACGTTCTTGTCCACGCGGGAAAAGATGGAGGACGCGCCGCGGTAGTCGGAGAGCGCGCCCTCGTAGTCGCCGACCTCTGCCCTGGCGCGCGCCCTGTAGGTCAGCGTGTAGGGGTTGACTCCGTCGCCCGCTCCGCCCCACAGGCTCACCGCCTTGTCGTAGTCGCTCAGGGCGCCACGCCAGTCTCGCAGCCCCTCGTTGGCGAGGCCGCGCTGCACGAATGCGTCCGGGTACTCGCGGTACGCGCCGAGCCCGTTGCTCTTCTCGCCCGTCGGTCTCATTAGGGCGATGGCCTCGTCGAGGTCGGCCTTGGCGGCCGAGAACTCTCGGTTGTCTGTCCGCACGCCCGCGCGCGCCACGAGCAGGCTGGTGATCTCCTCCACGCCGCGGTCCAGCCGTCGCCACTCCTCGATCGTCTGCGTAAAGAGGCGGTCTGCGAGCGGCAGGTCGCGCTGGTCGAACGCGGCGAACGCGCCCTTTGCCCTCGCGACGGCCTCCGAGCTCGGCTCTGCGGCGAAGGCTATCCCGTCTCGCTGCACACGCGCGCTGCCGAAGAGCGCGACGAGGCTGAGCGAGTGGCTGAGCGAGTGGGACAGCAGCGCGCGGCGGGGTAAGCGCATATCGACATGTAATTGAGCTTTTTTTTCTCTTCACAAAACAAATGAGCAGGATGACGCGGAGGGTGGGCACCGGGACTGGGAGGAGGACCCGCTCGGGTTCGACACCAACCCGATGCTGCTCCGCGCCATGTGCATGGCGTTCGAGTGAACGCCGTGCAGGCAGCGCGTGCCTTTTGGTGTACCGCGTTTGTACCGCGTCCTGCGCCGCCGAGTCCATTTAATAATATTTCTCACCATGTGCCGGCCCGACCCCTTCCTCTCCGGCCCCATCCTCGCCGCCGTGCAGGCCGCCAGCATCTTTCCCGACTGCAAGACCTTTGTCGACCTCTCTCTGCTGGTGCCGCCTGCCGAGTGCTGGCGCCGCTGGGAGGAGCTATCGCAGCCGCCGTCGGAGGAGCAGCTGCGACGCTTCGTGGCCTCCGTCTTCTCGGCGGAGCCGGGCGAGGGCCAGCTCGAGCCGTGGTGGCCAGAGGACCACCAGCCTGCGCCGGCGCTCCTCTCGAGGCTGCCGGCCGGCGCCGTGCGCGAGTGGGCGTCGGCGGTCAACGGGCTGTGGCCGCTGCTCGGCCGACGGCTCTCCGCAGAGGCGGCGCGCCGGCCGGACAGGCACACGCTGCTCGAGCTGTCGCACGGCGTCATCGTCCCCGGCGGCCGCTTCCGAGAGGCGTACTACTGGGACTCGTACTGGGTGGTGCTCGGACTGCTCGCTGTGGACATGGACGCGACGGCGCGCGGCCTGGTCAGCAACCTGCTTGAGTGCGTGGCGAGGCACGGCTTCGTCCCAAACGGGCTGCGCAAGTACTACCTCAACCGCTCCCAGCCTCCCCTCCTCACCCAGATGGTCGCCGCCCTCCTCGCCCGCCTCGACGCGCCGCCCGAGAGAGAGAGGGAGGGAGCAGAGAGGGAGGGAGCAGAGAGGGAGGGGGCCGCTCCGGCGCTGCGGCTTCTCCGCGAGGCGCTGCCGGCGCTCGACGCGGAGTACGGGTGGTGGATGCGCACCGGCGACGGCCGCAGCGCGGTCCGGCTCGAGGCGGACGGCGTGCGAGCCGAGGCGCTGCTCAACCGCTACGATTAATTAATCTCTAATTAGAGTTTAATTAATCTCTAATTAACGCCGAGGCGCTGCTCAACCGCTACGTTGTCGCCGCCTCCGCGCCCCGGCCTGCGGAGCCGTGTCGCGGGGGCGAGGCTCCGCGACACGTGCGCGACGTGCCGGTGGCTGTGGTCTGTGTGGTCCGTAGGCCCGAGTCGTGGCGTGAGGACGAGGCCACCGCGGCGGGCTTGCCTCCGGCGGCACAGGCGCGGGCGTGGTCCGAGCTGGCGGCGTGCGCAGAGTCGGGCTGGGACTTCTCGTCTCGCTTCCTGGGCGGAGAGCTGGGCGGAGAGGGCGGCGGGGAGGGCTGCGGCAAGGCGGAGGAGGAGCCGCTGAGGTCGCTCCGCACCGCTGCGGTGCGTCGAGCCGAGCGGCGAGTGCTGACGAGTGGCGGATCTGCGCCCGCCCCTCGCGAGAGACCTCGCGAGAGACTCGAGACCTCGCGAGAGGCGAGAGACCTCGCGAGAGGCTCGCCCCTCCGCGCCGCAGGTGCTGCCCGTCGAGCTGAACGCGATCCTGTGCAGAGGAGACGCGGAGGGACGGCCGCCGCGGCGACACCCTTCCGAGCGGCGCGCCCCGCCCTGTAGGCTGCGCAACGAGCTGACGCTGCAGCGGCTGCACGCGAGGCTGGCTCTCCTGCTCGCGAGGCAGGCCGGGGAGGTGTCCGGGGAGGGGGAAGGGGGGGGGGGGGAGGACGGGGAGGTGTCCGAGGCGGTCGAGGCGGCGGAGGCGGCGGCGCGGCGATATGCTCGCGCGGCGAGCGCGCGGCGCCAGGCGGTGGTCGGGAGGCGCTGCGGTGCGCGTGGTGTGGTTGCCGCAGAGCTGTGCGAGGTTGGAGTAGGCGATGGACGAGTGGATGTGGAGCGGCGAGACGGGGCGGTGGCACGACGTGGAGTGGGAGGGGCGGGGGCAGCTGCAGCAGGTCTCTGCGGCCTCCTTCACTCCGCTGTGGGCCTGCCAGCACTCTGCTGAGCGCGAGGCGGCGGCGGTGCAGTCGCTGCGGCGCAGCGGGCTGGTGCAGGAGGGCGGCGTGGCGACGACGCTCGTGGAGAGCGGCGAGCAGTGGGGCGGGCCAGCCGCGTGGCTTCGGAGCAGCACCGCTTCACGGCTTCAGCTGTGAATAGGCGAGCAGTGGGACTGGCCAAACGCGTGGCCGCCCCTGCAGCAGATGCTGGTCGAGGGCCTGGCGGGCTGCGAAGCAGACGGCGCAGCGGAGCTCGCCGAGGACCTCGCGCTGCGCTGGCTCCGCTCGAACCACCGCGGCTGGGCGCGCGACGGCGTGATGCGCGAAAAGTACGACGCGACACGGCCGGGCGAGAGTGGCGGCGGCGGCGAATACACGCCCCAGGTGGGCTTTGGATGGACAAACGGCGTGGCACTATGGCTGCTTGAGAGGTACGGCGACAGTTTTGCGCGATCCCTCACCGCACCCGCTAGCTCCGAGAAGTGTACCGCGATCGGTGATGGTGGGTAAAAAGTTTGGAGGCGCGATTGTGCTTGGCTTTGGACCTTTGCGAGAGGTGGCGAGCGGCGCAAGAGCGGTGTAGGCGCGTCCACGCGGCGCAGCGGCTCTCCCGCGACCCCGGCCCCTCTCATAGCCGCAGCCGTAGCCGCAGCCCCAACTCTTGCCGCTCTTCCGTGTCGGGTTGTGACGAGGGGTGAGGGGACACGGATTGAAGATCCCTCAGAGGCTAGTTCCATTTCACTGTGGCACAGCTCGCGTTACAAACCTTGATTTTGTCCATTGCGCGAAAAAGGTACATCTCGGTGCCTTCCAGAGGCAGCTGCGACCCCGCCGAGTAGACGGTTGCACACAGCAGGTGGCGCGGTGTGCCGCCGTCCACTCGGCGGGGTCGCAGCTGCCTCTGCGCGTCCTGGGTATGTACCTTTGTCGCGCGCCGGAAACGACTCGACGCCGCTGAGATCGGAGATCAAGCTCTGACAGGTCGCACGTCGCTCCTTTGACGCCGACGTGACTCACCCGTGCAGATCACATCAGGACACGGTCTCGACACGCTCGGTACGACTCCTGCGACCCGTCTTGGGTCAGGTGGCACGACGCTCATCGCGCCTACCAGCGCTGCCGTGCAGGTTGCCACGACGAGGTCGAGCACGCTACTATAAGCTCGCCCAGCCTTCCTTTCCATCCCATTAGGCAGCCTGGGAACGGTGGCGGTCAGAGGCAAAGCCTGCGAGGGGTGGTGGAACCACATGTCACGGCTACTGCCGGCTCGACCCCACGATAGCCTCCGGAGGCTGACTTTGCGGCACAATCATCGGACGACGTCGGCGAGTTGAGTCGCGCTCGCGGTAGCCAGATGACCTCTCATACTAGTATCATCGGCCATGGCCGCAGGAAGCGCGGGGGATTCCGCTGGGAGCAACACGGAGCTCCGTTGGACGCGTTTTCAAGATTAGCGTGTCAGAGTGAATTGGAACTAGCCACACCAAGATCGTGCAGGGCGGGGACACATGTCCCTAAATCCCATCTCGTCTCAGAGTTTGCCCGTTTTATTTATTTATTTATTATTGTGTTTGGCCCCCCCTCGAGAGATCGACATCAAAACTCAAACTTAAGCAAGCCGGGCCGATCGCGCTAGACTCACAGCATAAAAAGTGAGAGTTTTAGGTAATGACTGCTCACCACAAGATGCACGGACTTGGGGACCTTGTACCGAGAGTCAGAGACGACACACGTACACTAAGATGTGTGGGGACGACGCCAAGGTCCCACAGCTCAGCGCGGCGGTGTGCGACCAGGGCCAGTGGTAGACTTTCGACGCGGTGAGGCTGCTCTCTGAGCGATGACACTAGCAGGAGCATCATGTGTGTCATCGGAGTCACTTGTATTACGATACCACCACGCCGCCACGCTCGCAAGGGCCGCCTAAGCGCCTAAGCACCCTAAGCACCCCCCCGCTTAGGCCGCTTAGGCGCTTAGGCGAGTGACGGCCGGCTGCCCGGGGCCTGGCGTGCCTCCGCCGTGGGCTGAGCACCCAGGAGAGCCACTCAGCAAGTGGTGTGCGAGCGTGTAGCCTTTAGCGTGCAGTCGGCCGGTTGATGGTTTTTTGTGCACGCGCGAACGCACCCGCAGGCTGAGCGAAAAATCCCGCCTCTGGGACACACACACTCACACGCGCGCGCCCCGCCGCCGCCGACCACACACACACGCACATGCACATGCATGCATGCATGCACAGACCCACAGCCCCTTCCCCTTCAAGACCTCAAAGGACGAGGACATACGCAGGCCGCACCCGGTGGTGCGGTGGACGGTGTGAGCGCGCCTGGCCGCCTGCGCGAAGAGGGACAACAATGAACATATGAGGACAATGCACTCGTGTCTTCCGTGCTAGTCTCGGACACGCCTCGAGATGCTGGAGTGACGTCCAGTTGGGGCTGGCGACCAGCCAAGCAGCGATGTCGGCGTATTCAAAGAGGTCTGAGACCTCCTCGGCGCTACACGCGGCTCTACGGCGCTCTCGGGCGTGCCGCGGGGCGCCGCACGGGAGGCGCCATAGGCGATCGCGAGAGCCTAGCGCGCGCGCGCGCACACACCACACAAGACAAGGATGACCGCGGGGCGTATCCAGTGCAATTTTTTTTGCTTCAGAGAGAACGACCATTGACCGCGCGATAATGTGTGACTCTCTCCGTTGCGCTCAGACGTCGAGGGCCCAGACTCGAGCGGTGTTGTCGTCCGAGCCGCTGACGAGGTAGGCGCCCGCCTCCGGGTAGCCGACGGCCAGGCAGAGCACCGCGTCGGTGTGGCCGGTCAGGGTGTTGAGGCATGCGCCGGAGCGGGCGTCCCACAGCCGCACCTCCTTTGAGACGGTGCAGCTGAAGACGAGCGGAGAGCCGCGCCGCCACACCGCCTCGATGACGCCCGCCCCGTGGAGGCAGGTGTGGCGCAGGCCGTAGGTGTTGAGGTCCCAGATGCAGAGCTTGCCGTCCATGCCTCCGGTGGCGGCGAGCGGCATGCACTCGCAGAAGGAGGCCGCCTCGACAGAGTCCTCGTGCGCGGGCAGCGAGGCGAGCAGCTTGCCGCTCTCGGCGTGCGCACTGGGGCAGAGGGAGGGGCGGGGTGAGGCGGCGGGGCGAGGCGCGATGGCGGGGGGCGCGGGTGCGGCGCGGGCTGGTGCGGTGCACATCTTGACGGCCCCCGACTCGACGCCGAAGAGGTAGACGGCTTGGGACGGGTGCGGCGCCAGGCAGGTGACCGCCTCTGGCTCGTGCGGCGGGGAGGCGTGCGTGCAGTGCTCGACGGTGCCGGCGCGAGGGTTCCACAGCCGGATGGTGCCGTCCTCGGAGGCGGTGATGACGGAGCGGCCGCCGTTTGCGAACCCACCGTACGAGACGGACGCGGAGTGCGCAGAGAAGATTTGCATCACCGCCCCCTCGGGAACCTTCCACATCCACGCGGTGGCGTCCTCGCTGCCCGCGAGGAGGACGTGGCCGCGCGCGTGCCAGCACACCCAGTTGATGCCCTGCGTCGGGCCCTCGAGCAGCACCACCAGCGAGCCGTCCGCCGCCCACACACGCACCGCGCCGTCGAGGCCGCCCGTCGCCAGGTACGAGCCGTCGGCGCTGAAGCCGACCGAGCTGACCGAGTCGGTGTGGCCGCGCAGCGCGGCCACGGGCGCCTCTGAGCCGAGCCGCCAGAGGTGGGCCACGTCGTCGCCGCCGCCGGTGGCGAACACGTGAGGCTGGGCAGGGTTCACCGCGACCGCAAACACCGCCGAGGTGTGCGCCCGGAGGCACTGCACGCTGAGGTCCTCGACCGGCTCGCTGGGCGCGGCAGCATCGGCCGACGCGCCGGCCGCACCCGCCTTGTCCTGGCCGTAGTCCTCCATCGCCATCTCCTCCATCTCGTCCCCTGAGCCCATGACGGAGCCGTCGCCGAGCTCCGACTCGTCGTCCGGCGGCGGCACGTCGTCCGGACCGAGGTCGATCTCCTCGGTCACCTGGAGGTCGTCGAGCATCGCAACCTCGTTGAGGTCGCCGACGACCGAGTCCGTGTCGCGCGGCTCTAAGTCGGTCATCGCGGAGGAGGAGGCGCTGTTATCTGCCATAATATATCCAGCGAGAGCCTCGTGGTCGTCGTCGCTACCGGTGTAGGAGAAACCTCATAAAAATAACACAACCCTCTCTCCATGACGGCTAGCACCACACTCCTCATGGCGGCGTGCCGTCCTCCCATCCCTCCACTTGGCTCTTTGACTTCTTTCTTTCTTTTCTCTCACATGACAAGCAAGCGATCCCACGAGCGATTGTGGGGACTTAACTACATGATCCGTACGTGAAGCTGAAGGGTGGGGGGGGCCGTCCGCGGAGCTAGGCGGTACGGGCGCCCTCCACTGCGGCTGAGCGCAAGAAGCCGTCCGTCGCCGTTTGCTTGTTCGAGAGAGAATCTTCTTCTCTTCTTGTGTTTGTTGTTGCTCTTGTTCTCTCTCTCTCTTGTTCGTGACCCAGTTGGTGCGCATCTTGCGCGCCTGCTTGTTGATGTTCCTCTCGGCGGGGGTGGGGCGGGCACACACACCACGCACGGCGTGGGGGGGGGGGGGGGGGCAAAGCGGGAAAGGGTTGCTAAGTGCTAAGAATCCTTCGGGCCGGCTCTGGCTTGAGTGCCGGCCGGAGCTAAGAAACCACGGCATGGGGTGGGTGAGGGGTGAGGAAAGGCTTAGAAACGGCGGCGCGTCATCCTAAAGAAAAACAAAGGAAAGGAAAACAGACGGGGTGCGAGAGGCAAACTGTGCTCAGCCCAACGTGTTCGCGAGGAAAGTGAAACGAACTTGCCAGACACGTGCCTTCATCACAGCGCACCCACTGAAGCTAGCCGCACCTTACTGTCATCCCATCCCTGCCTCTCACACGACGTCACGACCATCACGCTCGATGTTGCCCGAGCACAAAACGCGCCGCGAGCAGCTCGAGACGAGCCTGCTGCACTCGGGCCGCCACCGCCAGCCCGCGGCGAGCCTGCTGCTCTCGGGAGGCACACTCAAGACCTCGCCGCTCGCGCGTCTCCCGCAGAACCTCTCCACCGAAGCCCTCCAGCACCTCGGCGTCAAGAAAGCGCAGCAAACGGCAGAAAAACCGAGGCGGCGGCGCGCTCGCTCCAATGATATCAGCGGCAGCATCGCCGCCCTCGGTGCCGCCGATCTATCTCACGGCTGGCGGGCGGCGGCGGCGGCACGGCTGCGCTCCGGCTCCGGCTCTGCTCCCGCGCCGCTCGACGGCGGCGGCCCGACGGCAAACCAGTTCTCGCTCTCCGTGGCCGGCGTCCTGATCGGTGCGGGGCTGCTGGGTCTCCCGTACGCAATGGGCCAGTCCGGCTGGGGCGGGCTGCTGATCATTGTCGCCGCGACTCTCGCCACCTGCACGACGGCAAAGCAGCTCATCTGGTCCTTCGACACGGTCAACGAGCGGTGGGCTCTCTCGGGCGAGGGTCGGCCCGTCCGCTCGTACGATGAGCTCGCGACCGCCGTCGGTGGGCCGCTCGCCGGAGCGGCCGTGCGCCTCCTGCTCGTGGTCGAGTGCTTCGGTGCGATGGTCTCCTTCATTGTGCTGCACATCTCGAGCTGGCCGGTCGTCTTGGCGGGGCTGCTTCCCAGCGACAGCAAGGTCCTTGTTGCCGTCGCGCTCTGCCTGGCGGTGGCACCGACAACGCTGCTGCGGCCTGCGCACCTGTCGGTCTTCGCGCCGGTCGGCCTCTTCGCGTCGCTCGTCCTCTTCTCCGCCGCCCTGGTCACGCCACTCGTCGAGGAGGGCAGCCCCGTCGAGGAGGGCAGCCCGTGCCCCGCCCTCGGCGACGGCGGCGGCACAGCGGCCATGCGCCACGACGTCTTCAACCCGCAGGGCCTGGGCGTCAGCGTCGGCGTAGTCCTCTTCTGCTTCGCGGGCCACTCCACCTTCCCCGACCTCTATCAGCAGATGCCGGCGAGTGAGAGGGCGCACTTCAGCTCCGCCTTCGACAGAGGCTTCGCCATCGCCGGCGTCGCGTACCTCCTCTTCGCCGCGGCGGGCTACTCGTCCTTTGGCTCGTGCTCCGCCGGCGCCGTCACATTCAACCTCATGCACGCGAACTCCGCCGTCGGCCGCGCCGCCGCCGTCTCCGTCCTCGTCTCCACCTTCACTATCATCCCGATCCAGTTCTACGTCGTGTACCGCATCCTCTCCGAGATCCAGTTCTACAGCCGGCGAGCCAGTCCCGACTACCGCGCCAGCGACAACGGCAAGGAGGGCGTCGACTGGCCGCTGGAGCCGGACAGTAAAGGGAGCAGCCCCTGCGTCAGCCTCGACAGCCTCGTGGGCCGCCTCCTCCTCCTCGCCGCCGCCGGGCTGCTGGCGGCCTCCATCCCCAACTTCCCATTTGTCATCGCGCTCATCGGCTCCTTCACGACCATGCTAATCTCGTTCATCGCCCCCCCGCTCCTCTACGTCGGCGCGCACGGCCGGTCGCTCGGGTGGCGCTCCCTCTCCCTCAACGCTCTGCTAGTTCTGACCGGCGTGGCGGGCATGGTGGCTGGGGTGCGAAACGCGTTCCTTTCCCTCGAATGAGGCAGCGGCGCCGGGGGTTGTGCATGTGGACATATCGGATTAACAACATACGACTCCCCGCGAAGCACGTCACACCATGAACATGCACATGTGCATGGACATGCACATGTACATGTCACACGCACAACAACAACAACATGACATGTGCATGCACATGTGCATGTGCTGAAATCCTTAACGTTGTTCAAGTGTTCACCCCAGCCCAAGCTGCTACGAGAGCGCTGCTACTGTTTTGTTACTGTTGTTACTGTTGCCGTTCAGCGCGGTCAGCAAGCAGAAATGCCAAAAACCCCGGGTAAACCCCGAAAAACCTGGGGCTCGAGACCTGGGCGCTGGGGGGGGGGGGTCCCAGGTTGCAGCTATTTTCTCGGATATTACCCGCACTGGACGCTGGAGATCGTCGTGGGTCACTGGTAGGCCTTCCTTATTGCAGCCTTATTGTTGTTCAGCCGGCCTAACGTTAGCTACTGTTGTTGGGGAACCCCACTGTTGTTCTGTTGTTAACTGACTAGGTCCAGCCCAGGGTGAGGCAGATCTGACGTTCTAAAAGAAAGAAAGAAAACGGACAACCCAAGGGAGGGATGGGAGGACGGCACGCCGCCACCACACAGGGATTTTAAGGAGAGGGGTGTGATGCGCTAGCCGTCGCCCACCCTTGGGCGTCCGCCTCTTCCTATCTCTCTTCGCAGTCTCTCGCCGATTCTCGCTGCAACCTTCATGCCACCTCGCGGTCGTCCCACTCTCGTCGTTCTCTCCCTTGTCATTTCCTCCTCTGTCGCGTCGTTCTCTTCTGCCTCGTCCTGTGACGCCGCCGCCTGCCGGTCCCTTGTTCTCGCGGCTTCTTTCGCCTTTCGGCGCAGCTCCGTCCTCCTCGCTGCATATCCTGGCCCCTCGAGTCTATCCACTATCGAGCTCTCCTCGCGCAAGGACGAGTCTTCTGACGCCCACTGCGATCATTTGCCGCCCAGTCATATCATTGCTCAGGTCCACTCTCTCTTCGAACACTTGTGCCTTCACGGATGATGCCGGCGCTGGCAGATCTGTGACATCGCGTCAGCCCGTGTTTTTGACCGCGCAAGATAAAAGGGTGGCTAAGGGCTCTGCCCGCAAGGCGCCCGCGTCGCAGACGCGGTACCATTGACAAATCTGCGATATACCCCCACACGAGCAAATAGCAAAATCCGAATACCGTGCACGAACTGCGTGATGTCGGACCCAAGCCTTCAGCTGGTGCCAAGACATCGTAAAATTGAGCCAAGAACGTCCGCCAAATCCGTGCTTTCGGAGCAACTGAGGGAAAGCTCCTGATCGAGCCCAGCGTGCCCGCGGCCGCCTCCCGCGCAGCACCGCCGCTGCGGAATCGGATCGAGCCCATGGAGGAGGAGGGCGCAGTCGGCCAGCGCAGCAGGCGGAGTCCCTCCCCGCGCCGGAGCCCCCCTGCAGTCGAGGGAGTCCTCGTTGGCGATGAAGGTGGCGACATCGAATCGCGGCCGACACACGTCACGGGAGGAATGGGCGATGAGCGGGAACGATGCGCGCTACGACGCCGACTCCGCCGTGCTCGTGGCCGCAGAAAGCCGCGCTCCAGGAGCACGCCAAGATGCAATGGCTCGCTTGCTTCGATTCAGCTCTCTCGGCAGCAGAAGTGGGGCTGGAGCGGGTGGGGGTGGATGCCGATTGAGGGGGAGCGTCTCCAGCTGCGCCCTGTGGCAGCTGCGCCCTGTGGCAGCTAGTCGAGGGACTTGGTAGTTGTGACCCCCCTGAGTGAGGACAGGAGAGAGAGAGCGTTTTGTGGTGTTGGTGTACGCAATAACGGGACAGGGTGGTTGTTCTCTCTATCTCCTCTTCTAGCTCTTAGCATGAGCTGCGCCCGGTGTCCGACCCCTTTTGCGCAGCAACACCTTAAACTTTGAGGCCCTCCAAATTCGGGTCGGAGCGTAGCGGAGTGGGCCCCGAGTTTGAAAAGGGCGACGGACGCTTGCGTCCTAGCCTCCAACAACGCCTCCCCGGCGCAGAGGGGCCCCCGGAGGGATGCACAACCGCTCCACGCCACGCCGCTTGCGGCGGTCCTCTTCCCAGCTCCGCTGAGGGCCCGCGCGTTATCTCGTTGTTTTGTCGCTCGCTCCGCTCGCCACCTCACGCTCGGCCGTCCGGCCATGGCCAGTACCCCGCGTCTCAGTGAGACGCGTGGTACCATCCAACTCCGGTCGACGGGCTCGAATGCGCTCAGCCTCAGGAGGGACAAAACCACGCGAATTCTGCACGCCTCGCTGCGCCGCTGGCTTGACTGAATCAGGCAGCAGCAGGCTGCTGCTGCTGCCACAGCAGCAGTCTGCTGCGGCCCGAATACGCAAGTTAATGACTATAATGATTAGCAGCACTGCCGGGGGCATACGAGCCGCCAAAGCCGGTGTGCGGCCGTGCACTGCCACCTGCCCGCGGCTACGCACAATGTGCGCTCGCATTGGATGAGCCCTGCTGATGGATCTGCGTCGCCAACTGCACGAGAGCAATGCCGCAGGCGGTGGCCGTAGAATACACTGCGAGCACACTCGGTGCAGCTGCGAGGTGCAGCAAGAGCACGTCGTTCCTGCCTCTGATGCCACTCTCGCGGCTCTTGCAGCGCGTCACTCGCGCATGCTCTCCAGGAGCTATGGCGGGCGCGTGTGTGGGGCTGTAGCCTGTGTTTAGCCGGTTCTCACCCGTTTACTATCAGTATCATGCCCGGGCCACAAAACACACACGGGTAGCGGCTCAGGGGCCCAGTAAGTCGCGGAATCGCCAAATGTCACAACCCACCTCACGGTCACGCTGACATCCGCTAATGTGAAAAGCTGCCCTCCATCGTCCCACAAGTCAAGCACACAGCTTCCAAGCCGCTCCCTCGTGTCACCACGAGGAGAAGCTCCGAGCCATCCGACTCCAAGGACCGCTCTGGCGTGTCCTCGCCGCCCGCCATGACGCCGAACGATATCGAGGGCGACGCACCGCGCGGGTCGAGCCCGGGCAGACTCACCGCCGCGACCGGCGCGACGCGGCGTGGCGCGGCGCCGTCGGCGAGGCGCATGTCGTACACGCGCGCCGCGCTAGTCTCGAGCGTCGCGAGCAGCCAGTGTGCGGGGTGGCGAGCCGGGCCCCACACCAGCGCCTCGACGCGGCCGCTGCAGCAGAGGACGGGCGACTCGCCGGCGGGAAGGGCGGTAGGCACCGCGAGGAGCTGGCTGCCTCCCACAGCGGCGAGCCACGCCTGGGGGGGGGGGGGAGGGGGGGCAGAAGCGGTGGGCTAGGCGGCGGGGGTGCAGAAAGAAGACGTGTGCGTAGAGGAGAGGTGGGGGTACTTCGGCCGCGCACCCCGTCTCCGCTCCACGCCACCAGCCTCACCGGCCCGTCGAACCCGATCCAGTCGTGCGCCTGGAGACGCAGTGCCGCGCAGGTGTCGCGAGAGCTGCAGCCGAATGGTGCCCGCACCCTCCCTGCCCGCGCGCCGGTGCGACCGCCCACGGCGCCACCCTTGCCCACGCACCCCGCGCCTCTCCTGGCGGTGCGCCCTCTGCCGATGCCGCCGCGCCGCCGCCGCCGCCGTCCAAAGTGGCTGCCCGCGAGGGGGCGCTGGGGCGCCGGAAGACGCGCACCCGCTTGTCGAGGCACCCGGCGGCAAGGTGGCCGCCGCTCGGCGAAACGGCGAGGCAGCGCACCTCACGGGAAGGCTCCCAGAAGGTAGAGAGGGAGGGTCGTAGAAGGAACAAGGTGTGCTGCGGCGAGAGCGGCGCACCGCACCGCCGCCGAGCGCGAGGGACTCGGCCGGCGCACCGCCCGCGCAGAGCCACTCGACGCCACCGTACGTGCCGACCGCTAGCCTCCCCCGCCAGCCCGCCCCGGCCTCGGCCGCCTCGTCCACCCGCTTAAACTCGCCCGCCACGAAAGCGAGCGCGGCGACCTGGCCGCTCGCCTCGCGGCGCGCGACCACCTCGCCGCCTGAGGACAGCAGAGCCACGCAGCGACCCGCAGCGCAGCCGAGCGCGCCGCCGTCGCCGCGCCACGAGAGCCACTCGACCCAATTGGACACAGCGACAGCGCGGCGCGGCCCAGCCGGCACCACGCTCACCGACGCGAGCAGGTCGCCGCTCTCCGCCCTCCACACCTCAACCTCGCCGCCCCGCCCGCCGACCGCCAGCCGACCGCCGTCCGCCTCCGAAGGAGAAAGGGCCACGGCGGCGGCAGCCGCCCCGTGGCGCAGCGCAGAGAGCCAGAGCCGCCCCCCGCCGGACAGCTCGAGCCGCTCCACCCCGCCCTCCGAGTGCGCGACCACCACCCGCGTGCCGTCCACACTCACGCCCTCCAGCTCCCCGCCAAACGCGCGCCGCCAGCGAGGCTCGAGGGCGGCGCCTCCGAGCCCGCGGCCGCGTCCTCCGCGTCCTCCGCCGCCTCCTTCCCCGCCTCCTTCCCCGCCTCGGCCCGGCCGAGCCGCCGTCGGAAGGCGGAGCAGCTCGGTCAGCGGCGGGCGGACGACTGGCAGGCGCGCGGCGGCGAGGCTGTCCTCGTCTGGGCCGAGGTCGACGTGGGACGGCGCGCCCTCGCCAGCGAGCTCCGCCCAGCGCCCCTCCCTCCAGGAGCGGGCGCGGAGGACCGAATCCGGCCGCAGCAGGTACCGCGTGTCCACTACTCTCGCGGCCACGCCGTTGACGCGCACAAAGCAGCGGAGCGAGGCGAGCAGGAGGCTGCCGGTGCAGACCACTCGCACGCGCAGGGTGGACCTCGACTGCGGGTCGAGGTTGTCCTGGAGCAGGAGGCCCCGAGGCGTGAGCCGCAAGCGGCGGCTCTGCACCCCAAGCAAGCCGAGTCGCTGTTTCGGACGTGTCAAGGACGTGTCTAGGACGTGTCTGGGAAGCGTCTAGGAAGTGTCTCGCTCCTCCCACAAGTCGACCGAGTCACAAAACTCGGGAGGCGCGTCACCTCGCCTACGGCGGGCGGAGAGGCGGAGCTCGCCGGGCGGACGGCACGTGCGGAGTCTCCGCTGCCCTCGAGACGCGCCCACGCAGCAGCGACGCGAGGTCGAGCTCTTCGGCAGCGCGCCTCCAGCGCGGGGGAGGCGGCGGACTCGGCGGCGCTGGCTCGCAGTCGGCGAGCGGGTGAGGGTCGGAGACCGGCACGAGCGGCGGCCGGCCGCTCGCGCCGCGGCACTTGCACAGCGGCCGCCTCAGCCTGGCGGGACCGTCGGCGAGGTCGACGGCGGCACGAGCGTAGAAGGTGGTGCCGTCGGGCTGTGAGGGCACTCCCGCGCCCGGCGGCGCGACGGCGACGGCGCCCGGGTAGGCGGTCGTGAAGGTGTAGTCCCACGCTGGCAGCGGCGCGCTGGGCGAGAGGTGCGGCACGGGCGCGCAGTCGAGGCCGGCCCACGAGCGAAGCGCCTCGAGCGCGCAGAAGCTGATGCGGACGCCAGAGGCCGGGTGGTAGAGCTCGAGGCTGTTGCCGCCGTACAGCTGGCCCGGCAGGTGCTGCCCCGCGTAGAGTGTGAGGCCCAGCTCACGCCGCCACGCGCCCTGCGAGTAGGCGCTCGCCGAGAGCTCCGAGTTCTTCAGCATCGGAGCCCGGTGGCAGCGCACCCGCCACCCGGTTGGACGGTGAGCAAACGAGGCGGTGTGCGTCTTCCCGGCTGCGAGCGCCGGCGCGGCTAGACGGCGTTGCTCGTCCATGCTCGTTGCAAGAACGCGCTCGAGCCGACACTGGCGAGTAGAGGTCCACGCACGCTCTCTCGACCAAGCCAAGCACCAACAAAGAATTCACGACGCTTTTTAACTAACTAGTACACTTATTAATTAAAATGGACACGAACCGTCTCACTCAGGCGCCTCTACAGCCCGTGCTCCGTCGCGTACTGCACCAAGAGCGGGGCCGCCAGCACGCCGAGGTTGTGAGCCGCGTCGGGGCTGTCGCCGGTGATGAGCTCGCGGTCCTGCGTCACCGCGCCGGTCTCCGACTTGTTGAGCACCTCCACGCCCTTGGCCACGAGGCACTCCTCCACCTTCCACGGCATCGGACCGGGCAGGTAGCCAATAGACGGCGTGAAGGCGTCCGTCTTGTCCGTAAAGCACATCGTCTTGTACCCCGCGTACGTGCACTGCGCCTCGCCGCTCGTCTCGGCGCACGTCGCCAGGAGCGCGCATGGTCCGTGGCAGAGCGTCACAGTCGGAAGCGCCCGAGCGTGCGCCTGGTTCAGCAGCTTGCCGAGCGGCTGGCATGCCGGCAGGTTGACCATGCACCCGTGCCCGCCGGGGATAAAGACCGCCGCGTACCCGTCGAGGTTGACAATATCCTCAATCTTCTTCGGCTTCTCAAGCATGGCCTTCACCTAAGCAAGCAAGCAAGTCCTTAAGAGCTTAGGGATGCCGTCCAGCACATTGCCGGGATGGTGCAGACGTTCACCTCCTCATACAGCGCCTTCACGCTCTCGTCCTTGTTCGGATACGCCCACATCTCGAGCACCACAGGTTTTCCGCGAGCAGTTGCAATGTCGAACGTGAAGCCCACGTCTTTAAAGTGGAGCATCGGCACAAACATCTCGACCGGGTGGTTTCCCGTGTTGAAGACCTTCCCGTTGGCCATTTCCAGATGCCCTTCATCGGTGCACACGACCAGGATCGGCTTCGTGCCGGCATAGACCTTCCCATCGTGATCCTGCTTGACGTATTTGGTTCTGCTCGACGTTGCAACCATGAGCGTGAACGGGCTCGGGTCGTAGGTCCCGTCTTCCCGCAGCTTGGACGTGCAGGCGCCCATCGTCGGAATTGGAAAGAAGAATTCGAATTGCGTAATGCGTTCTCAAAGGCGAAAGGGTCTAGATTTGGAGCGCTCGCCGAAGAGGAGTACGACAAAATAGCGCCCGTGATTGCCTGCACGCTGCCCGCACTCACGGACCCCATACCCGAAAGAAAGAAAAGGGAGCTCGCGGGGGAGGTGACGAGTGAACTACAGGTAGACTGGTTGGGTAGTAGTCTAAGTTCTGAGCCTGGAGGCCCAACGGGTCTAAGTGTGGCTAGCCACGCTGGAGTGCTTGCGCGGTCTAAGATCAGCGGGAGCCTCTTACATCGGCTAAGTCGGCCGTGGACGGCCTGGGGCCAAGAGGCTCCCACCGTGATCAACGTACAAACGATACGGCGCAACCCCCAAATTTTCTTCGCCTGCGGCGGGCGATCGATCCTTCTCATGCTCAGCAATCGCCGCCTCAGCATCCTCCTCTTCCGATTCTCGTTGCTGCTTCTTGAGCGCAATCTTCGGCGACTTCTTCGCCAAACAGTTCTCACAAATAGCCTCAAGCTCAAACAAACGCATGTCAGAGAAGCCTGTGTATGCTGGTCCTCTTTGAACGATCCGCGCGTGAGGTAGCATAGGGCCTTGTTGACAGCAGCCAGCTTGTTGCGCTGCTTCGTTGCGATGAGCTGATTGGGATCGCAGAAGTGCATGCCAAGCACCGCCACGATCTTGAAGCAGAACACATCGCAACCGCATCGTCCGCACTGCCATCGGCATGCCGCGCCCGCCGCTTCGCCGCAGCCGCCTTAAGGCACGCATAGCGGCAGCATATGGTACGTTGCGCGTACTTGAGCAGGCGTTGCGCGCCGCAAGTAGCGCACTGGCCCTGGGAGAAGGCGATATGGCGTCGTGCGCGGCACGCGGCAAACGTTGGTCGGGACGCGTCCAGGTATTTTTCGGGTAAACCTGAAAGCTTTTCAGGTATACCCGGGTTTTACCCGGAGTTGGCCTTATGTCGTCTAAGTTCATGGCCCCCGACCATGGGGGTCTAAGTCCGAGCCCGGCTCCGTGCGGGGGCTAAGTTGAGCGCTCGCTCGCTGCAGAGGCTAAGTGTAGAGCGACCCTCTAGCCCTACTACCCAACCATTACAGGTAGTGGGGAAGGCAGCCTCGACTGCCATACAGACATGGATGCGAAACAACGACAAGACCAAGGCACGGGCAGAGGAACGAGAGAAGAATATAGGGTGGATAAAGCGCCTGCTCACGGCATGGAGGGTGAGCCACGCCGAACGTACCGAACGTAGAGCTGAGCGGAAGGCAGCGGGGGAAGACGACTCCGAGGAGGACGAACCAGTGAAAATCCAGTTGTCAGATGTCACGATGCACCCGAAGGGGACTCCACTCTCCAGCGCCGGCATCATCCGTAGAGGCACAAGTGTTCGAAGAGAGAGTGGACCTGAGCAACCACATGACTGGGCGGCAAATGATAGCAGTGGGCGTCAGAAGACTCGTCCTTGCGCGAGGGGAGCTCGATAGACTCGAGGGGCCAGGATACGCAGCGAGGAGGACGGAGTTGCGCCGAAAGGCAAAAGAAGCCGAGAGGACAAGGGAACGGCAGGCGGCGGCGGCGGCGCAGAACGAGGCAGAGGAGAGCGACGCGACAGAGGAAGAGGCGACAAGGGAGAGCACGACGAGAAGGGGGAGACCGCGAGGTGGCACGAAGGTTGCAGCGAGAATCGGAGAGAGACTGCGAAGTGAGATAGGAAGAGGCGGACACCCAAGGGTGGGCGATGGCTAGCGCACCACACCCCTCTCCTTAAAATCCCTGTGTGGTGGCGGCGTGCCGTCCTCCCATCCCTCCCTTGGGTTGTCTGTTTTCTTTCTTTTTCCCATCCCTCTTGGGGTGTCTGTTTTCTTTCTTTCTTTCTTTTTCCCATCCCTCTTTGGGTTCTCTATGTTATTTCTTCCTTCCTTCACCCCTCGCCCTTCTTCAAGGAAAGCTCACCACTTGAACTGTGGGAAGGAGAGGAACGCTCTCCCCCGCAAGGCACGAGACAGCAGCTCACTCATGTGATGCTTGAACCTTGATGGTTTGCGTCACTAACCTGAAGACGTCAAACCTTCACAGACCTTGTTATTGACAAGAAATACGTCCTATGGCGCTTTGCGCTGGTCTATGAGAGGTTGAGGTGCGAGCCCTGGAGGCCCTGGGGATGGGGGGAGACTACCCGCGGGCCTAGAAGGCCCGCGCGCAGGGGGGTGGGACATTGAGATTGAACATTCTGTTCAGCGTGTGGACCACTTGTCCGATGTCCAGCGTCGGCGCGTAGCTCGGGTGCGTCGTACAAGTACTCACCGACCGGTCTCAGCGGCATTGCCATGGTAGGCCAGGCCCACCTTATACCGCAGCGCAGCGCGAGCCTGGCGACAACGATGGAGAAGGGGAGGGAACGACAACGCGCACAGAGGATGAGGATATAAACTGGGACGACGCAGCGGAGGGGATAGACGAGGGAATCGAGGGACCGGAGGGCTTTCGCGACAGCGACGATGACGACGAAGGCAGGGGAGGAGACGGAGGGTCGGTGAAGCCTGTGTCGTGCTGGTCCTCTTTGAAAGTGCCGCGCGTGAGGTAACAAATTGTCTTGTCGGCAGCAGCCAGCTTATTGCGCCGCTTCTTTGCAATGAGCTGCTCGGGATCACAGCAGCGCATGCCGAGCACCGCGCCTCAATCTTGTAGCAGAATGTCGGCGCGACTGCGTCGTCCGCACCGCCGTCTGCAAGCCGCGCGCGGCGCTGCGCCGCAGCCACCTTCTGGCACGCGTAGCGGCAACAGATGGTGCGGTGTGCGTACTTGAGCACCCGGTGCGCACCGCAGTTGGCGCAGGAGCCTTGGGAGTATGGCGTGCGCGGCATGTGTGGCGCGGCGCGGGTAAAACCCGGGTATACCTGAAACGTTTCGGGTATACCCGGGTTTTACCCGGGGTGCTCAACGTTAACAACAGGAGCGGCGCTTGAACAACAGTAACAATAGGCTAACCTCGGAATGTAAGCGCACTATGGCTGTGCTGTCTCCTACACAGCCATCTTACCTAAGGATGGCTGAGCTAGCTACAGTGCAGCCACATCCTTCAGCCCGATGGCTGCAACACACACACGGCAGCCATCCTTAGTAGACATGGCTGGAGACGCACTACCGCAGCCACACCGCCCGCCTCGAGGTGAGCCCTCTTGGCTGAGCTGGCTACATCGCAGCCATCTTGGGTAAGATGGCTGGGGGACAGCCATTTCAGCCATTTCAGCCATCTACTATGGCTGGGGCACAGAGATTGCCGTCTACACTCTAGAGCCATGGCCTGGTGATACCTCCCTTGACATCACAATGACAGCCCGGCGGAGTAATTTATGTTGGGGTACCCGACGCCCCGCGGAGCTACGTTGGCCCTGGCCCACATTTTTCCCTTTGTTCACCCTGAATTTTTCCGAAAAAGA